TAGTTCATTCGGCTTCCCACGAGAACTGGTGCGATGGGTACCTTGGCATTGTGTCATCGTCATCATCGTCATCATCGTCGTCATCACCACCACCACCTGTGGCTGGAAAAGCTGAGACGGATTTTTGGTGCCACGGAGCCAGCCGCCACTTTTGGAACTTTTGCGCGAGATAAGAGCCTGTGTCATTTACGTATGTATGTTGAACTTCTTTCGGGCCGTCCGTGATAATCAGAGGTGCAGTCCTCAGATTCCACTCCCTGTTCAGCCATCGCAAAGCTTTCTCCCGAAAGCGTTTCATAAATCTACGCCTTGCCCTCGGTAACGTTAACAATTAACAGTGTGGCAAATCGTTAACGTGAAAGTTAAACATTGGGTAATGTTATAAATTCTCCAAGGCAAAAGCAAGATGTATAACAATCATCATTAGCCGGCTGCAGCAATCAGCGAGCCACACACCGGATAAAGCAAACGGCTTTACTGCTCGAGTTACAGCATTACACTCTTTACATGAACTTTGCCGGACCCCTTCATTCATTACCCACACGTTAAAAGTTCCCCTTTGACAAATAAAGCGAGTAAATTGTCAGGTTTGAGACCACTGTGTTAATCTTTTGGTTGTAACTGCCTCCAGTGTTTGTTTGCGTCCTGTGCAAACACTGCAACGTCCACGCTCAAAAAATAATTAACAAGTTGACGACTGTTATTATTGAGAGGTAAACAAACAAACAAAAACCCCTCTAAATAATATAATAAAAGTCAGAATTCACGGCAGAGTAATTGCTCTTAAACTGTGGCAGCGTTTGAAAACCGTGTAGAGTATAGTGGATGTGGAATACTGGTAATTGTTATGGCGGCCACCTGCACGCTGCAGGTAAGGTACAGATGCGCGGAGCGTCTCGGTGACCACCCACAAACACCACGTTGAACGTAAGTTACTAATATCCAGTATTACTCGTCCGCAACAATTTTCTTTATTCAGTGAGAGTAGAAACTCGTTTTCGGGGAAGAAAAAATTAAGTGCTTTTCAAAATGCGAGCAAATGGAGGGGGGGTGCGCCTTCTCACGGGCGTGTGCACAGACTGTTCGTTGCCTGCTGAGTTGACGGTTAATGGAGGCTCGTTTGCATTCACCTTTTTCATTTGCGGATTTCGATCAAACGAATGCTGCGTCTTGGCAGATTTTTCGGACATCCCCGCATTTGCCAGAAATTAACCCCTCTCTCGTAGGCTCGCACTGAGCGCCGGCGGTTTCAAGGTTCCTTTGATGAACCGGGTGAGAACTCGGAGACGGGGATGAGTCTCACTTGCAAGATTGACCTGGTAAATATCCATCACAGTGTGAGCGGCTCACAGATATGATGCCTTTAGTAATTACGTGGCAGCCACTGACCTTGTCATTATCATTACGTTGACGCGCACGCACGCACGCACGCCCCCCTGGGCACCGAGGATAAACTGGGGCTGTTATTATTTTTTAAATTCCAATTCTCCTTGAGAGCCTCAAGTGTGGTGAAGCCTCGCCTCCCCGAGCGCCCGCTCGTCGCGAGAATTGCGCACAAAGTTGCGGATGGTCCGCGGATTCTTTGAAAGATGTGAACGCGAACCAGGGCAAGCCCGGGAGTGCGTTTTTAGCCCGGGCGGTACGCCCCGTGAGATTTGCGTTCGGTGGCTTTATAGCCTAATGGGCCTTGGTAGGTTTATGCTGGCAAGGGAGAAAATAAAGGGGGGGGGGGAGGACAACTTTCTTGCACTCTCTCCATTTCAATGAATCAACACGGCAGACCGACGGCCGCGCTGCATAAATCTTACGAGCGGTACCGTCGCCCTTTTTGTACATCCCGCCAGGTTTTTAATGCGCAGGGGTGATGGGGATTAATGGTAGCGATGACGAACGATGTCGAAAGTTTGTTGCCGTGCGATGACTTAATGTTAGATAAAGCGTGCAGAAATATTCAAGAGGTGCTTTTATGGAGCTGCGTTTTTGGCCCTTCCTACCAAGGGGTTTCTTGCCCCTGCCTGCAAGTGGTGGACAATCAGAGTTAAAGGCGCAGCCCTGCAAGCACTTACTTCACCGTGGGCGGAAGATGTCTCCACTGGAGGGAGCTATTAAGATATTTTACGGAGGGTATGATGTTTACTCTCTACTCCACGCTGGCAAAACGTCTCGGGGGGGGGGGGGGGGAAATGTGGGAAGTGCCCACACTTTACCCCACCGCACGTTAGCTGCCAATCCCCAAACTGTGGTGAAGCCATTTATAATGTTCGGGCGAACAGACGTAGAGGAATGAGGAACGTTGGCGCACCGTTTCAACAAAGTTCATTGCAGTTACTTTGCATGCAACTCGTGCGCGCTGTGGTCAACTTTTACCAAAGAGTTTAATTTTCTCCGGCGTGCAAAGCATTTGCACGATGGCTGTGGTGATGACTTCAGTGGCCCTGATTGCTTATTGATTGCAGCAGTGTCAAGAATGCTCGCGTAAGATTTTCAAGAGGTTTAAATTTGTCCGTGAGGCTGCTCGGCATTTGTCTTGAGGAAAAAAAAATGAACGCATCCCTTGGCATCTCTGTTGTAGCGGTTAAAAGCTCAATTTATGACTCGCTGGGGATGTTGTTTTATTAAATGTAACTATGCATGTGCCAGAGTCAATTCCGCACTTGAGTTACGGACACGACCCTGAACTTGCGAAGATTTGGTGCAATGATAAATATTTTGGAATGAGTGTACCATATGCCTGCTTGAAAAAACATTAATCTTTTTTTTTTGCTCTCCACTGTGCACTGTGGCAGGAGAAGCCTAGGTGATGCCGACGGTCGCCACACAAATGTTTCATTTGGTCCGGCAAGTTGCGCATAGCCGCAGCTGGTTGACCCAGCGCACTCCATGCTTGTGTAAACCGAGCTCCGTTGTAAGACCCGACGTAGAAGATCCCTGGCATCGATCTGCCGTAAATCTTCATGGAGCCGCAGCCCTAGACCGCATCCGCGCGCGCAAACCACGGCAGCAGCACAGACGTCGATAATCGTTGCGCGAATTGAAAATTAAAAACTTCTGTGGCAGTTTTCCGGGTGACTGTGGTCACCCAGAAAACACCGTGGGAACATTTAACGGCTCGATGCCCCCCGTTGATAAACACGAAGGGGAGGAGGCATCGGAGGCATCGTCACGGCGGCAACACCGCCTCCGCTACTCCTGACGCAACCATCTGAATTGGCCGCCTGAGTGTAAATTCATAGTCGTTGCTCTACATCAACAAAGAGCCATCAGAAGAAGAATAAACGCTGCGATTTTTTTTATTTTATTTTAAGTTTTGCTCGAGTCGACCTGACGCACTGCCGTACGAGCAATGCAGCGGGAAAACTCAGAAGGTGGTTGCCACGCGTGGATCAGGGGGTCAGCATTGAGCCAGCACCGTCAAGGTCATGGATTTAAATCTTTGCTCTCCTCCCGTTATTAAATCTGGCTCTCGCAAGTCTAGCGAGGTTGATGGCTCAGCCCCAGTCGCCGGTGACTGCACAGAAAGAAAAGAAACGAGCACATTTGAATGTTGTTAAGTTTATTGCGTTTTTGCAGCCAGCTGGCCATGATCGGGCAAAACCTAGCCCAATTTTCACTCAGGCAACTGGAGAGCGGAAACGGAAGTGCTTCTGACATAACATTAATACGAACAGTAACAGGTTAAAGAAACACGGTTCAGAGACAAACAGCATATATGCTGTTAAATAAAAAAAATTAACATTTTTTTAAAATAAAATCGAATCAATGGTCCACCGATAATGAATTTAATTAAACATTTTGGTTTGATTGGCATACGCAGTGCTTGATTACAACCACGAACTTGTGCACCCGGCACACCGCATACAAATCTGTCTCTCGCTATGCCTGTGGCTAGGTGTCACTACGTGCCACTACGTGCCACCTCGCGGTGTACCGGCGAGCCGGGGGTGGTGCAGTAGCGCTACCTGCGAGTCCCGAATGGAAATGTACTGAATGTATAATTTAGATAAAATAAAAAATTACATCGATAAAATGGAGAAAGTCCGTGTCCTGCATAAGCCAAGTCCACTTTACTTTGAGTGGTTATTTTTTATTAATTATTCAAAGCAATGTTCATCAGCAGCTACCCAAAGGGAATGCACATGGAAGCTGTAATGTGATTGGTGTTTGGGGAAGTCATTTGCTTTTTGTCGATGTTCGGTTAGGGAATGGCTTTAGTAATTGAGCACAATTCCTCAATAATGCGCTCACATGTTAAAAAGTGTGCCTCGGAGATATGCAGCAGCAAAAGAAATGATGCTTGGCCCCCTCTCGCGCTTTATTCTCTGGTTAGAGCTGTCTTATAACACTGAAAAGTTATTATTTTGTAGTACGGCGATGGTTGTTTGTGCAGGGGAGCCTCGCTGGCGGGGAGGGCCCTGCCTGTGTTTGCAGTGGCGGCGGCGGGGCGGGGGGGGGGGGGGTGATGCTGCTGAGCGTAATCCCCACTTGAAAGCATTTAAAGTAATATTTTCAGCATTGGGACGTTCGTCCAATGCCAGTTTCGTTTTTTGCCAGTACTTTAACACTGGCAAAATGTCCCATTGTGTAGCTGCTTACCCCGAGCTGTAAATGCTCTAGTGCATTGTCTTTGTACTGTTCGCTATATGGCGATGTTCTCTGGTCTGACACTGGTGAGACTAGGCTGTCAAGAAGGCTGTCTCTGGTGTCGGCCAATCAGTTTCAAAGACAATGCACATATAGTATCAGAGCGTGTTCGTTTGCATGTTCACCACAAGTATTCTGTGTCGTTAATGCAGTAACCTGCTTCCTAGAAAAAGGTTTCTATTTGGTCTTTGGACATCTTAACACAACTGTTTTATTGTCATAAATGGTTAAACCTATTCTTATTTTTTTTTATATATATACTAGATCCGTTGTTGTACGGCGGGGGTTTATTTTTAATTTTTTTCAAAGTGGCATAAATAAATGTGGATTTTATTTGTGCGTGTGCCTGACGTGCGCAGGTGGTACGAGATGCTCGGTCCGTATCCTCGTGCCAACAAGCAGAACCAGAAGAAAAAGAGAAAGGTGGATCCTCCCACACAGCAGGTCAGCTGTTTACCGCATCACCCTCCTATTTATTCCCGTGGGGCTATGGACGAGGATTTGCGTGTACAGGATGCTCGAATGTCTCGACAACAGCCTTGCCAGCGGCATCTCGTCTCAGTCTTTACAATGCCCAGCTGTAGTTTCAGCCCAGCGGAACGCCCTGACAGCCGGCTGTCCCTGTGCGGCACAAATTGAACGCAGCACTCCCCTGAAAGTGGGGCGGTGGGGATGTTGCTATTTTTGGATCACTTCGCTTCGGGTTGCTCAGGCTGAATGCTTGTCTTGACCACATCCAATCTTGATGAAATTTGGCATAATTATGGGTACCGTAGTGAAATTATAAAATGGCAAATTGGAAGTCACCGGGTCAAACGGCTTTCTAGTTACAGTGCAGTGCTGTCGTGGGTAGTTGTGCGTGTCTGTGAGGAGCTCTGCGCCGGAGCCTTTGTGTTTGAGCCGCGCGCTGTGTGCTTGTTGTGTAAGGGCCCGTGTGTTCGGCGTGGTGCTGGCCACCCACCCCCCTCCCTCGTGTGCCATGCCGGCTTTCACAGGTGCTCGCTAACAGGACTTGCCCGAACAGTCTGCTGAGGCTATACGGGGGGGATCTTTGTCTTTGTGTGTCCATATAAGAGCCTCGGTGCCCATACAAGGGCCTGTGTGTGTCTGTAAAGAGTTAGAAATAAGTCGGATGAGGTAAGTGGTAGGTCTCGTTGCCGAGAATAGATGTCATCACCTTTTCTAAAATAAATAAAAACCCGGTCGTAAGTTCTGTAAGGAATACGATTGATTCCTCCTGCGAGACATAACATATGGTAAAATAAATAGTTTGGCCGACACACCGTACGTGATGCTGTAGATAAATGACAGCTGTAAGGTGTTTTACTGAATGGTTTTGTCAGCGTCATAAAAAAAAGGGATTAATGGTTGGAGGTCACTGATTGCAATCTGGGGTGGAAAATATCTGCAGATGGCTTCAGTCACTGCTTTGGCCTAACCGCAACCTTTCACACGCTCCGTTTTTTCCATCCATCACAGACACGGTGAACGCGGAATTGCACGCGTGCTCGTTTAAGAAAAGTGTTAAGGTCGTGGACGATTGCGCTAACGATTTACCTAAATATAAACTCTCAGAATTTGTCACAGGTGCTCCCTAGAAGACGTCGTTGTTTGGCCTTCGGACCAGTGCCGGATTATCCTAGTCGCAAAAGTAGCTACACATGCTACGGGCCCCACACTTTCAAGGGTCCCGCGCTAAATGCTTTCAAGCTATCAATTCCGGTTCAGTGATTCTGCACTTCATCATTGGACCTCCTTTGGCAGTACCAAAATATAATAGTAGAGTTTTTCCCCTATTTTCTGGCAACAAAGCTGAAACATTTTTTTTACGAGGATTCATGTCTGCATTAACCACAATACTTGCAGTCAAAATGCAAACAAAAAACACACTATGATAATATGATGCATTGTCCTTGAAACTGATTGGTCCACACCAGAGACAGCTTTCTTTAGAGCCTGGTCTCAATTGGTACTAATCCTTGTAAAAAAAGGTTTCAGTTTTGTTGCCAGAAAGAAGGGGAAAAACCCAAGTATTATATTTTGGTACTGGCAAAGGAGGTCCAATGATGTAGATGCTCACCCCGAGCCCTCATTACTTTGATAGTGCATTGTCTTTGAGCTGAATGCCTTTTGGCGTCATCTGGTCTAGCACCAATTGGGACCAGGCTCTAAAGAAAGCTGTCTCTGGTGTGGACCAATCAGTTTCAAGGACAATGCATCATTTTGACTGCAAGTATTGTAGTTAATGCAGACATGAATCCTTGTAAAAAAGGTTTCAGTTTTGTTGCCAGAAAAAATGGGAAAAACCTTCGTATTAGATTCTGCACTTGCTCTATTACTATAGTACTATATGCCTTCAACTTTTATGAACGACTGGGTGTTTAAGGTCAACGATTTGTCGTTTTATCTGGCTGTATAGCAAATGGAAAAAAATGACTTTACTATGCAAGTAAAAATGTGTGTTTTAATATTTGTGTGTTTTTATTTAGGCCCCCTTTATAACATATGCTACATGCCCCGCACTAGCTTAACCCAGCACTGCTTCGGAGCTGAAAGCAGCGTCGCTCTAACATTCTTCCAAACGTTCAACTTCAAAAAACATACCGAGAGATCCGTGAAAGCACAGACTCACAAGTGGTACGGGGCGGATGTGGGCAGATATACTCAGCAAGCACATCCGAGCAGAGAGAGAGACGTACAGGTAGCCAGAGAGGCAGAGGCAAAGGGAAAACCGTTCATGCATTCCCCCACCAGCTTTGCTGTCCTAGGCTATGTATGAATGTTTGAAGTTATTTAGCACTTTACGTAACCAACCATAATTCGATCATAACAAAACACAAAGAACACACTCCTGTTATTGATTGGCTACACCATCCGGAAACTTCAGGCACCTATAACCCTATTATAAACAATTACAGTAGTCCCTTGGTTAACGGTGACATCGGTTAACGGTTTTTCGATTAACGTTTCGCCTCCCATAGGGGGACCCCATGGTTTCGACTAACGTTAACATTTTGACTAACGGTACGTTTACGTTATGCACGCGGGCGCAAATTTCGGCCAATCCGAGCGCTCGTAAGTGGGGCTGAGCCATGCCCTCAGCCAATCAGCGACGCTCGTTCATGAGTGTTTAGACCTCGATTGGCTTTGTGTACATTGTAACGTTTTCTGTTTTGGCAGCGGAAACCGCTGTCTTGCAGACTCAGCGATGTTTAATTATTTTTCGACTCATAAGCGAATTCGGTTAACAGTAGCTTTCGTGGAACGGATTAACAACGTTAACAGAGGGACTGTAGTATTTAAGTGTCGCTTAATGAGATCGTTTTTGGCTCACTTTGCTCGTATCTCCTCTGCTGCCACAATAATATAGACGTCCCTTCCCCCAGCTGCCCGTGCTGTCGCCTCCCTGCCCCGGTTCCACGTCCAAGCTCCAGGACCTTGCTTTTTTAATGCCGCCTATGACTGATTGTGACCGCCTGTTTGTGTGCTCACTGTTTACGTACAGTCTCTTGGGGTTCAGTCACATTTAGGTGCTGCTGTATGATTCCTAATTGTATTTGCCGTTGTGTTCGCAAGTTAGCCAATTTCCTCGGTGATCGACGGCGTTTTGGCTACACCCTGCACGCCAACGCGCAACAATGAATAATTAAAATCTCCATCGTGTCACCGACATTAAAATCAGGAATGTGTCTTTTATGAACGGAAAGATGACGGGCAATGGGGGGGGTCCTATTTATCAGTGTGTAAAACGCGTCCTGTCCACCGACCATGACGGGCCTTTGCAAGTGAGAAAAGAGGGCAGTCGGCGCACCTGAGCAGTGTTTTGGCGCAGAGATATATCCCTTGCAGGCCCACGTTGGACAATGGCAGGATGCGAGGAATGCGTGGCCCCTGTGAGCAAGCTCCACCCGGCACCTCGTGCTCAATTCGGGCCCTGGTGTCGACGCAAAGCTGGAGATCACCGTTGGCATGCAAACCCGTGTATTTCACAGCCATTGCCCTCATAAAAGTGACACATCAACTGCTTATTATCTTAACGGAAGAAACTTTTAAATCATTTCAGGCTGCCAGCGTAGGGAAAACAAAGCGATAAAGCAATGGGTTCTCTTGGCAAGGCCAATAACAAGTTGGTCGAGGAGTTGGGCTCACCGTTGATGTTTTATGGAACCAGACCTCAGTGGCCGGTTGCCAGTCGTCCCTTTCGAAACCGTGTTTGCAGTGCCAGGGGAACCCGGCTTGATTTGTGCTTCAAGGGGCTGCATCCCCCCGCGCAGTAATACGCCTTGCGTGTTTGCGCGCGCACTACGGACGCAGCCAAGCTCAAGAGACGCGAGCGTTGGCAGTCAGAGTTTAGTGTAGTCTTGCGCTCGGGTTTTTGCGGGGTTGTTGGAAGAAACGCGCATTGAGATTGCGGCCACGGGGTAAATTCAAACGTTTGAAAGTTTGCCGGGCCTCTCGACTCTGAAGTAACGTCGTGCACAGCATACTAATGAATTTATTCACTCAATGGGTATTGCAGATGTTTTCTGTGCTCATTGCAGACGTTCAGGATGGGTCTGCATTGCAACAACAACATAGCACTCTGAATTAATGTTTATTTATTTCACGATTAGTGCTTTGGTGAAATTGTTGATTAGTCTCAAGTTTTTTCCTCCACATTTAGAATCAACAACATGCTTTCAGAGCATTTTGCTGCGACTATAAATTTCCACGTTAAGCCGCTTCGTTGAGCTATCGTTTTTGATTGCCTGGAAGCTTCTGAAAAAGAGCGACAAAGCTCCGGTGCCCCTTACCTGGTAAAATAATCCTGTGCCCGGACACTCAGTTAAATGTTAAGTTCATGAATACGGTTTATTTAATTTGCATATATAATATGTAAATAAAACAATAAAGCATGGGTTCTTAGCAAGCCCAATAACGAGATTATTTGTATTATTTATAAAATCTATACGAGTGCAGTCTTTTTTTATCGGGGGCATTTCTATTCTGAAACAAAATATTTTTTTATCTTCAAATTAATTCATCATCATTCTGTTAATTGTTTTCCATGCAACGGTACTTTCACCCGGAGGGATTGGCTGTAGCTCGGCACAAGAGCTTTTTAAACGTCTTACCTGGGGAGGGGTAACACATTAATCACGTCCTCTTTCTCCAAATTTGCCCATGACGCCTTTGTGAAAACAATTTCACCGTAATCTGAGCGGACGCTTGGGGAGTTCCTTCACAAACTGAACGGGAATTGAAGGAGCCTTCCCCGCACTTGGGAGTGTAAAAAAATATAATGGTCGGACATCACAAATTCTACCTTCCGATATTAGGAAGCTGCCGGAGCTAAATCTAGATGGAAAACTCATTTCTTTTTAAGTGTTTTTGTGTTTAGTTTGTTATCCTTTCCCCACACCTGTGATTAGCACGGTTGGCTACGTACGGTGCAAAAGAAGTTCAACATACAGCACATATAAAGACAAAGATCTCCCTTACAGGCTTAACAGAACTGTTGGGGCAAGTGCTCTTAGCGAGCACCTATGAAGGGCGGAACGGCCAACGAGAAGTTCAACGTACATACAATGCCGAAAAGCACACGGTACAACCCGAAAGCACACCGGAGATCTGAAGGTTGCTCCGGGTTCAGATTGAACCTTCAGCCGCGGAGTCATTGGGCGTGGACGGAATCGAAACGGTGTGCGGTGTGCGGGTGACTTCCCAGGAGCCGGGGCCGGCCAAGGTGACGGTGACGAGCACGTCCATCCCGGCCGTGGAGAAGATCCCCGACCCCAAGTCGTCGCTGTGGCAGGAGGAGCTCAAGCACAAGGCCCAGCGGAGCCGCTCGCCCTCCGAGGGCAGCGCGCACGACGGTACCGTCCCCTCCCTTCCGCACGCGACGGAAGAACCGTTGGGGAGTACGGCATCGACAGTTAACAAAGGGGAAGTGAGGAATTCATGAACGCTCCATGCGGGTTTGGTTCATGCGATCTCGCGCTCTATGTATGGCTGACCTATTTCTACACAAATTTCGCTCTGTTATGCGGTTTGAATTCACTCTACATGTGGGTTATGCAGTCGGACTTGGGAAAACATTGCATGTGTACTGTGTGTGATTACTGTGTGTGTGTACCGCGTGTGTGTAATGTGTGTGCTGTGTGTGTGTGTGTACTGCATGCGCTACTCAGCATGCAGCTGTCTCCTTGTGCGGTTTCGCTTTACGTGTCCTTTTCTGGGAACGCACCTACCACTCCTACCGCCGCGTAGAGCGAAGGGAAACCTGTGTCACAAGAAGAACCTGACCTACATGAGTGCACATCAACGAAACTCAATCTTAATTTCGTTTTTTTTTTTAACACGATTACAATAAAAACATTTTTTTTTTTTAAATCTCTTTTCCCATAGACACGAGCCACCTGTCAGAAGTGATGTCGGACCACAGCTCCGTGAACGGAGACGAGACGGACCCGTGGCGCAAGAACGGCTACTTCATGGCCGCCGAGTCGGGCGGTGCGGCCGGCGGCGCCGGAACCCGCGGTCGGGGCGCCGGCAGCGGCAGCGGCTCCTCCAGCCGCAGCAGCATGCAGGACGTCGGCAGCCCGGGCAGCGTGGGGCTGGCGCACCTCCTCGCTTCGCCCACGCACAGCGACCCGTTCGCGTCGCCCCTGCCCTCGCCCGACCCCTACGCCAACGGGGGCGTGGGGCGGACTGCGTCGCAGGCAGCGGGAGACGCCGGGCAGCACGGGCTTAGGTACGGAGGCGGCAGCAGCAGCAGCAGGTAACGGACGCGAGTGACTGAAAAAGGATTGCGCGCAAACCCGGTCACGGCCGCGGTTTCTGTGAGTTTGACGATCCGGTTTGTTCGTCTGGAATGCTCTTCCTCCTGATATTAGGAAACCACTGGAGCTGTGCTATGCTCCAGTGGCTCTTAAAGCATCCAAATTGGAAAATAAATAATTTACTAATTGAATTGAAAACTAATTAATTTTCTAATTTAATTAGAACTGCTTTTTGTGTTTAGTTTTTTCTCCTTTTCCTGGAACCCCGATTAAGCATGGTTGGCTACGTACGGTGTGAAAGAAGTTCTACATACATACAACATACAGACACGTACATACGACGAAGGGGAAGATCAAAGAGCAAATGGTGGGTGAGTGTCGAGGCAGATCTTGGAGGTCTATAATGCAGCAGATGTGGGATCTGGCGGAGGGGCGAAAGTGTCAGCGAGTTGGTGTGGTGTTTTAACATCTTAACACCTCTTTCATTGCCAGAAAGGGTCAAACCTATTCTTATACTTTGATACTGGCAAGGCAGGTCCCATGATGGTGTGGTGGCATCAACAGCTTTGACATATACATTTTTAACTGTTTATGATTAGTCGGTGTGTGTGTGTGTGTGTGCGTGTGTGGGTGAATGTCATACAGTTTAACACGTAGGCTTTCGCGACTATATTATTATGAATGTCATGCGCATTGCTGCTCAGGTCCCGGTCAGGAACAATGGAGGAGGACCTCCCGGAGAGGATGGAGTTGGATTATGACCACGAGCAGGAGAGGGGGGCGGAGAGGCAGGGCCGCAGCGAGAAGCGCGCGTACGCCTTGAGAGAGGTACGCGGACGTGAGCGCCGTTTTGGGAGCACCAGCACAAAAACAAATGCTTCATTGTCTTTCGGAAATTAGCTGTTTACAGAAGAATGAAACCCAAATGAAAACTAAAATATTCAAAGCAACTGTCCGCTTGTGTTTTGCGGGTCATACAACGCGTTGTTCAGCACGAAGCCGAGTTCGATTCCCGCTCACGGCCCACACCAATCCTAGGCCTGTAGGTCGACTCAGCCTCAAATGAGTACCCAGTGCGGTGTGTTAACATTGCCACTGGGGGAGACAAAGGTGGCCGTGTGACGTGTCGGCCTTAAAAAGATGCTCGCTTAACAAACAGCACTTTCCTCCCCAACAGTGTGTTAAAAGCTACACGGGGGACCTTTGTCTTTGTGCGTGCCCGTGGCAATGGCAGCAGGAATGGAAGAAGGGAGACGTGGCGGTGGACATCTCGCCGGCACCGCACGCGCCCCTGCGCAGAGCCAAGTCCCTGGACAGACGGACCACCGAGTCCTTGATGACGGTAAGCCCTCGCCCGAGTCCCCAAGCTGGGCCCTCAGCCTCTCCGCGCGCTCACGCTGAGCTCATTAAACCTAAAATATTTACTATTAAACTTTTTTCATTTTACCAGGTAAGACCCACTGAGCTATACATAGCTCTTTTTCAGATGCGACGTGGCTATCACAAATGATAGCTCAACGAAGTGGCTTATCAAGTGGAAATTGATAGCAGCAGCCAAATCGTCTAAATGCATGTTTAGAAATGTGGGGGGAAAAACCGGAGGACCCGGATGAAAATCAACACGATCATGGGGAGACAGACACGCAGACTCCAAATGTACAGGCATCAGGGTCCGGGCCGAACCCACCGCTGGGTTTCCCCACAACTTGCGGTCATCACACAGTGGCCAGGCAGTCTAGCCTATTGACTTGGTGTTGTTGTCTTGGTGTTGTCTGGGACTGTTGTTGTTTTTGTAGTTTTGCTACCTTGCCCAAGCTTGTATTTATTGTTGAAAAATGGTCAGGAATTGTATTTACTTCTGCAATTTTCATTTATATACAGGTCTTCCCCACTTTTACGACAGAACAGTTTCCTGGAAACCCCATCGTGAATCGGAGACTGCCTGTACTTTATATAATTCTCATACATTTTTCATGACTTACTTACATTTTCTCTATGTTAAACTCTTATCGTTTTTGTTGTTGTAAATTGCTGACCCGCCCCTCACTGGAACACGCGTGACAAAAAAAAGGTGCTTCATAGCGCGTCGAATTCCTCCAGGACAAATACAGAATTCTGATAAAGGTTCTAAATCTGTCGTGCCCGTGGCCTGATGGGCGGCCGTGCGTGGACAGAAGTATATAAAATGCCCACTCCTCCGTGTTGTCGGGTCTAACCGCAGCGCTGTTGGGCACGATGTCTGACATTTCCCTCCACGCGCGCTTGGGAAGCTTCCCTTAGGAATAAGCCCCCAGCACCTGGAGCGATTTGCAATTTGCTTCCTTGTTGCCGTCAAAATAATCAGAGTGGGCAATGACGTGTGTGCAGCTTTTGTGATTAATTAGCTGAAACGCCAATTTGCCTAAGTGTCTTAATTTAAATACAATTGGCGCTTTTTTTTTTCTCTCTCTCTCTAATGAATCCCTTGCAAGGCCCTCGTGTGATGTAACGTTGATTGAAAACTAACGCAAGGTTAATCTGTAAATAACTTGTGTATAAATATTGGTTTTATTTTGTTGACCTCACAGCCGGACCTACTGAACTTCAAGAAAGGGTGGATGGTCAAACTGGACGATGATTGCCAGGTACGTTTTATTATTCTAATTGTCATCACTTGTAAAATGGTTAACATATTTAATGCATATTTACATGTTTTAACATTGGCAATATATATTTACTCATTGGCCTGTGGCCCCATCTGTGGCGTTACGTCTTTTGCCGTCTACTGCGCTTACGCGGTCGTATGCTTTCATTTGTTTAAATCGCCACAGAAAGTTCATGGTAGAAGTACTTCTCTTTTAAATCATCTAGATTTTTAAACTCATTTCTTGAGAGCTACTTTTTGTGTTTAGTTTGTTGTTCTTCCCCCCCCGCACCTCCGATTAAGCACGGTTGGCTACGTACGGTGCGGAAGAAGTTCAACATGCATTTATACGTACATAATTCTCCGTGTGCGGAATTGGTTTTAGTCGCCACTCTTCCATCTGGGCCCTGCACCATCCTCTTTAAACCCTGCCTCTTCAACTCACGTGTGCATCTTGTCCACTTTAATGGACTCTTAGTCATTTTATATTTTAAATCAACACATTTGTTTGTTGAGTGGGGTTGCATCGATTCTGAAATTGACATGAAACCGAAACAAATGTTTTTGGGTTTTCACGTGCGAGAGGGTTAACATTCAACATTGCCAAGCAGACCACGCACTGCATTTGTAATTCCCTGCAGAAATTACTGGGTAGCGACGGACAGAATCGACCCGTTTGCTCCGTGCAAACAGGACCCATTGGCGAGCTCGCTGACCGCTCAGAGTGTACGGCCGCCCTTCCGAGACCGTCAATTTCTGTTCCGCTAAGTGAGCTGGCAGTCGTGGGGAGGTTAACGTGGCGAGTGAACGGTGTGGGCGCCGAGGGTCAGGGTTCGGAGTGCAGCGCTCGCCCCCACACGCAAACACAGACCAAGCCTGAACAGACTGTTGGGGCAAAGTGCCGTAAGCGAGCACCTATCGAGGCCACCATGGTGCACGAGGCGGTGGGTGGGCAGCACCACGTGGGTGGCCAGCACCACACCCTTGTCTGCCTAGTGGCGATGTTTACTACACATTGCACCAAGTACTTATTTGAGGCTGAGTCGACCTAGGGGAGGCCCAGGACCGGTTCAGGTAATTGACACTGCTGTTGGTCGTGAGCCTGAATCGAACTCGGGACGCCGGGTTCATCGTGCAGGACACTACCGCTCCCCAACCGCCATTCACCAATAAGTGGCGGTGACGTCACCACGGCGCTTGTGCCAGGCTATGTGAACGTTAAGGCCACGTGAAGTATCGCTTCCCACCCACCCACACACACGCGCGTGCTGCTGTGGAATAGTAAAACGTGTGGTGTTGGCGTCATCATTGGGAAAATGTTTAGCATTGAGCTCTCAATCGCAAATCTCGCTCGGGCTCGCCGCCGTTGCGCGTATTTGAAAATGTTTCGGGGCAGACTTAAAAAAAAAAATAAGTGTAATATAATTTCACACGAATAACGTGGTTTATTAATACATTTGCTTCCTTGTCATCTTCAAAGGATGAAGTGTCTTGTGATTGTCATCCGGGGTGGGGTGCGGGGGGGGGGGGGGGAAGCGAAACACTCTCTCTCCCAAAATCCTATTCCGCCGAGTGAATAATTTAAAGATTAATGCCCGTGGAACACGGGCGCTCATTGGCATTCCGTGACGGCGCGCACGACAGTGACGAATGCACTCCCCGAGAGTTCCCCACACTCTTTACGCCCCCAGCGCACGGCCGGAGCCCCCGCCCCCCATCAGCAGTAAGGTTTCCTCCTTTATTGGTTCTTGCTTATGGATCCGGGCTCCGTCTGCGCGTAAGAAATGAACGCGTCGTCCTGAATGACCCCTTTGTACTTTTGGTGAAAAAAATAACCGTGTAAGATGTTTTCCGAAATGTTGGGGCTCTTAGTTGCCTGACTGTTGATTTTTGAGGTGTTCAAAGGAATTATAATCCGGTTGTAATTTTTTTGTTGTTCGTGGTACTTGTGTTCGGGCACATTTTAACCACGGACACATTTGGTCTTTATTTGTGGCTTCAACAAAAAGACTATTTCGTGATGTTTGTGTAAAATGTGAGAGCCTATGGAAATGTTGGTGTTCAAATGGCAAACTTCCATCTGGCCCAGTCTTATTATTTATTGCCATTCATTGCCAAAGCATTTGTAATTTTTTTAATAATCTTATTCTTTTCATTAATGTTTATATTTCAACAACCCCTGCTTTGTTAGCTCCCTGGATCTGATGAGGCCGGGCACATTCATGGCAATGCGATCACGTTGTTGTTCCAGCAGCCCAAAATTCACATCGTTTTTTAATATTGTGTGTGAGCATTGCGTGTTTTGCTGGCTACTCACAGTGCGCACCAATGGAAAGGATGCTCCATTTAATTGGCCTGTTTCATCTAAAGGAAAATACCACCACTACCCCGCACGGGTCTCACTCTGCATTCTTGTAGATGTTGGGGCCACTGCCGCTTTTCGAGTGAACAATGGATGAATGAGTGAATACGTACGTGATTGCACTGACAGAGGGAATGAATGGGTGGTTGTCTGCACAGTGGAAGAAACATTGGTTCGTGCTTACTGACCATGGACTGAGATACTACAAGGACTCCATTGCAGAGGAGGTACTGCCCCAACATTGTAGTTCTTCTTCTTTGGTTCTTTCGGTAAAGTCACGTAGAATGAGAATAAAATAATAAATTGATAAAATAAAATAACACAATAATATTCTCACGACGTTTCGGCCACAACACAAGCGGCCTTCATCAGGTGAAGGGAGCGAGACTGTCTGGTAGGACAGCGCTGGAGTTCCTACCAGACAGTCTCGCTCCCTTCACCTGATGAAGGCCGCTTGTGTTGTGGCCGAAACGTCGTGAGAATATTATTGTGTTATTTTATTTTATCAATTTATTATTTTATTCTCATTCTACATGACTTTACCGAAAGAACCAAAGAAGATGAATCATTGCAGTCACGAAAGCTTTAAATCGAAATTGTAGTTCTTGTTTGTGTAGATATGTACCTCTAGGCTATGTGTTCTGGGCTATTGAACATGAGTTTTAAGTTTTGTTCATGAAAAAAACACATTTAAATGCCGGAGTCAAGGTCGCTAAAGTAACGTCACTGTGGTGTCATTCTAATAAAGAGTCCCTGCAGTGATGCCATTAGGCAGCTGTCTGCCTGATAAGAGCTATTTGCTATGTGGGTTATATGTTTACGTGTGTGTGGTGTCGCTGTCATTTCCAATTATGTCTTAACAGTCGCCCTCTTCCCACTCTTGCCCTGCTGCCTGCGTGCGTTGACTGTGTCTTGATCTTGGCTGCTGTTGTTGTGTGTTGTTCAGGCTTCAGACCTGGATGGAGAAATCGACCTGTCTACATGCTACGGTGTCACAGAGGTCCAGGCACAGAGAAATTATGGCTTCCAAATACAGGTATGTATTTGTTTGACCGTTCATGCACAGAATCATCGGTGGTGTGTAACAACATTTTTTTGTGTAACCTCGTAGGCTTTTGCGAGCAATATTTATTCCTAATGAAGTTTTTGGATTAGATCGCATAAATGTAAATGCGTCATGAACCCACCTCGACCCACAGCATTTACTCATTGTAAGGTTTCCCACGTGACAAACCTTACTAATTGGCTGTGTCGGGTGGAGAGGTGGGTTTACGACGCAATTGACGCGATTTAACTCAAAATGTGTCACAACGAATATGTGCCTTTATGTATGTGTTTGTTCGTGTGACAGCGTTGTAAATGATACATGGTGGTCAGGAAATACCCTGTGTTTCTCAGAATCAGAATCTTTATTTATCCTGGAGAAATACCGATGAGCTTATTGAAGATCTTTCTCACCGATGTCCAGTGGCAGGGGGTGTGCAACCTTAAGGTGTCCAGAAGCCGGCGCACCGCTTGGTTTTAACCAGCCAGCAAGCGGAACCTTTCGGTGACGAATCAGAGCGGGCTGTCGGCCGTGGCCGCGCTGCCTGAAATGTGACGTCGCGATCGTGAGCGCGACGTCGGCTCCGCAAAACGTGCGCGTCGCGTTCCGCAGACCCCTCACACGCGCGCGTGCCCCTCTCGTCCCCTGCCGGGGAGAGATCAGAGATCCCCAATGCGGGGCCCGCGCTTGACAAATGCTGCCGCACGAGCCTTGTTGGGGAGCGGCGTTGCCGCGTACCCTGTAACGTGTGGATGCGTGTTGAGCTTCTTCCGCACCGTACGCAGCCAACCGTGCATAACCGGAGGTGCGGCGGAAGGGACAACAAACTCAACGCAAAAAGCATTCCTCAAGAAGTGGGTTTTCAAAGTAGATTTGAAAGTGCTTACTTCAAGTGGCTTCTTAATATCGGAAGGAAGAGCGTTCCAGTCGAGCGCGAAAGCGCATCTGAAAGCGACGTGCGATGCGGTGACCTTCTTTGTTCGATGGTTAGCCAAAAGCCGCTGCTGCGAGGATGACCGGAGTTTGTGGAATGGTTTATGCTCCTTGTATATTATCACTCGTAAGCAATGCAAATCCATCGCAGTGTGAAGTCGGTGCTCAACAACAGAGCAGCTATCCTTTGGCTCAGGAATGTGTCAGGCGGCGGTGGCAGCGGTAGCAGCGGTGTAACGTGACGGCTCGTTGTGACGCTTGTGACGCAGACCAAGGAGGGGTCGTTCACGCTGTCGGCGATGACGACCGGGATCCGCAGGAACTGGATCCAGGCCATCATGAAGAACGTGCGGCCCTCTACCGCCCCGGACGTCACAAGGTGGGGGCGGCAGTGTGTGGGCCCTGGCGGGGCAGCGTTGGAGGTTATTAATTTATTCGCTCTTGTAAAGGGGGTTGCGCAAGGGGGACCACATTTCGTTGGATCCACCAGGTGTGCGGCTGTGTCCATGTGGGTATGTGCGATTGCACCGCGGCAGCTGTTATAGATCCACACTGCGGTGTGTAATCGGCTGTGCGTGCAAAAGTAACGCAAACGGTCGCTCCTGGCCTGGCCCCCTAGCTTCCCGGAGGAGAAGGCGCACGCGAGCACCCTTCCGGACACGGTTCCCAAGCTGGACACGAGGGGCACGGATGCGTCCCTGCTGGCGCCCGACTCCGCGTACTCCGGCGCCGACGGCGAGCAGCAGCAGCAGCAGCAGTCGTCACGAAAGAGCCGCGCGCGCGACCGACGTCGCGAGGGCCGCTCCAAGACCTTTGACTGGGCCGAGTTCCGACCCAACCACCAGCAGCAGGCGCTGGCCGGCTGCGCCCGCAATGCCCCCGACGGCGGCGGCGGCGGCGGCGGCGGCGGTGGCGACGGCGACCGTGGGGGCGGCCGCTGCGGCTTCGTACCGGACGAGACGCAGCGCGTCGGCGCCGGCGAACCCGAGCGGGACCGCGCGCGGCGCTGGGAGGAGCGTCGCAAGCGGTACAGCTCCACGGAGGTGGAGGACGGGGCGATGGACGTGGAGGACAGGGGCCTGAGGCCCCCGGTGACCCCGCCTGCGCCGCCGCCGGCGCAGCAGCCACTGTCGCCGGCGCACGACGACATGCAGGACGAGATCGAGCAGAGGTGCGCGGATGAGGAGTGGCGTCGCTAGCTGAGGGGCCCTAAGTGTGACGCAGCAACTCGAAGCGTCGCGTACTCCCCCCTGGCAACGATGGGCGTTGCACGGCTCACACGGCTCGTGTGTCCACACCCTCCCCTCCCCACTGCCCCCGCCCCCCCCCCAAATATATATATAATTAACACAAATAACATGAACCTCTCGCCCCCCAAGAGAACCCGAATCCATAGGCGTGTATTGATTCATTGATGACAGTCGATTCTTAGGAGTAGAGATACATTGCATCCTCGTGTGCCGCAAATAAATTCGTTATTTTACGAACTACGCTAACGATACGCAAATTTGTATCTCCGAGCTAATGGACAGAATGAGGGCAGGGAAAGCCAAACGCGATGGACAGTAAAGATGAGACGGTGGGAGCGTGGGGGAAAATAAAGGATAGAGTAGATGTTGACAGTTGATTGAATCGTAGCACAGGATGAGTAATTCAATTACCTAGGACACTGTCTCTATATTGCCGCTCATTACTGACACATTACTTAGACTTGCCGCTCACTACTAACACATTCTGCTCATTACTAACACATGAATAACACAATCCTACTCGTTACTAACACTTGCCACTCACTATGAACACATCCTGCTCATTACTAACACATTAATAACACAATCCTACTCGTTACTAACACTTGCCACTCACTATGAACACATCCTGCTCATTACTAACACATTAATAACACAATCCTACTCGGTACTAACATTTGCCACTCACTATGAACACATCCTGCTCATTACTAACACATTATTAACACAATCCTACTCGTTACTAACACTTTTCGCTCACTACTAACACATACTACTCATTTTTAACTCATTACTAACGCTTGCCGCTCACTACTAACACAACAAGACAAAGATCCCCCATATAGCCTGTAACAGACTGTTGGGGCAAGTGCTGTTAGCGAAAAGCACCTGTGAAGGCTGGCATGGCACACAAGGGGGTGGGTGGCCAGCACCGCAATCAGCAGCCTTTGTCTCCCCAGTGGCGATGTTTTTACACCGCACCAGGTACTCATTGGAGGTTGAGTCGACCTAGAGGAGGCCCAGGACCGGTTCAGATAATCGTCACTGGTTGCTGGTGCAGCGCACGAACTGCTACACGACCGCTCCCCAAAACCGCTTACACTTATCATGGGACCTTTTTGCCAGTATCAAATAAGAATAAGTTTTGCCCTTTCTGGCAATACAACAGGTGTGAAGGTGTTCAAACACCAAATAGATACTCTTTGAAAGGAACCAAGTCTGCGTTAACCACACCTACTTGTGGTGAGCATGCAAACAAACACGCTCTGATAATATATGGCATTGTCTTTGAAACTGATTGCCCTACACCGGAGACGGCCTTGTTCATGGCCTAGCCTCACCAGTGTCAGACCAGAGAACGCCAAAAGGCGATCGGTACGAAGACAACGCCACACGTATCAGAGCACTTATAGCTCGGGGGGTGGGCAACGATATCGCGGGACGCTCGCCGCTCACCGCAGACGACGCGTTGCTCGCAACGTGCGACCCATTTTTTTTTTTCTTGTTACCGACGAGGTCGCTGAGCGCCAGGGCGCCGCCGCTGTCCTTTCAGGTGGCAGCAGGTGGAGCAAACGCCGCTGAGGGAGAGCAAGCAGGTGCCCATCCACAGTCACCTGACACCCACGGCCCAGCGCCCGCCCACCGACGGCCTGGTGGAGCTCCTGGAGAAGGAGGTGCGGCCTTAGTCTCTCTTTCTCTCTCCCCCTGCCCACTGCTGGGCCCCCCCCCCCCTCCCCGCGGGGTCGCTTCTCTGTTCCCCCGAGTCACGGGAGGTGGGGGGGGGGGGCACTCCAGCAGTCCGCTGGGCGTTTAGAATAATCATGACGACGATAACAATGAAAATGGTGAAACTTGCATTTGCGTGGCGTTTAAATGCCTCGGCGACTTCTAGGGCCCCCTCGCATCACAGTCTCATCCCGAGCAGGAGGAAGGGCACCCCCCGGTGGCAGCTGTCCCTGTGGGGCACAAGGTGACTCGGTAACTGGGCACCTGGCCTGCGAGCGGGCATTAGTCTGCCAGTTGGGGTTTTCACCCAGCAGTGGATTGAACACTGCTGAAGATGATTTAGTTGCATGGTGATGCTTGTGGAATTTGAACTGTGTAACACAGGTGGTCCGTTTCCTTTTTGTTATCCGATGTCTTGCAGTCAGTGGTTCATGTCGTGTGCTGGAGCTACACACTTTGCTGTTGATGATGATGTCGATGATGATGACGACGACGATGATGTTGACGATGACGTTGATGACGATGACCTCGAGCCGATCGCTGACCCCTGCGACTGCACCGCACGCGCGCAACAGATTGAGGCGCTCAAGCTGCAGCTGCAGCAGACGCAGCAGGAGTTGACGTCGCTGCAGGAGCGGAACAGCAGCCTGCACAGCCAGCTGACGGAGGCGCTGCAGCGCGAGCAGAGCACGCGCCTCGGCTACGTCTCGCAGGTGGGACCCCCCCCCCCACCCCCTCCATACCCCCCAACCCCACCCCCGCTCCCCCCTAACCTGTGGTTAAGAGACACCCGGTAATAAACAATGCTGGGCCCCAGATCAGTGCAACAACAACAACCGCCATTCGCCACTAAGTGGTGGTGACGTCACCACGACGCTTGTGCCAGGCCATGTGCACTTTGAGGCCCGCTGGCAGGTCACGGGGCAGACCCAGGTGCCACGGGTCGACTGACTGAGACGACCGAGATGGCTGGCTGATGCATCACCTGTGTCCCCTACTGTGCCAACTTGCTGTGCTTTCGCCACCCGGCGCTCCGCTCGTTGTTGTGAGCGTCGCTTCCCTCGCACACATTTATCACACACACACACATTCACAGAGTGAGCGCGACAAGCAGTCAACACACATTCAGCACACGCACATATTTAGTCAGCACACACACACACACGTTCACACAGTACGCATGGTGCTAATAGGACCACTTCCAAAACGTGGCTGCGATCCTGCCCCCCCCCCCCCCACCACTGGCTGGTTCCGCCACGTTCCCCCGTGGCACCAGTGCACGCTGCCCAGCGATCCATCATTTCACGAGACGAGAGGCCACGACGTTTTTTTATTCCGCCGCGGAGACGCGGTGCAACGTGTGTGCGCGTGGCTATTTTTAAGGAGCGCAATTTCGTATTTTAGCTACCGATCGTTGGATTCGTTACCATCCCCACGAGATGTGCTCACCAGAAATAGGCCAATCTGTGCCAGCGGACTCGAGTGGATTCATTAAGATGTGTTACTTTCTACCCAAGGGAACACAAGGCTCACATTATAAGGGATGTCTGTGCAGCTTAAGAATTGATTAGTGACCGAGCATATCCGGAAGGACACAAATAGAATCATTATCAAGTATTTATTAACCAAGAAAGTGGAACCTTTTTTCTACGTGAAGACTTTTGGAGATGGTCATTAAAAATCGTGCCTTCTGCAACTTTGCTGTGCTCGGAAGTTAGCAGAGGAGAAGGATGGGGTTTTTTTTTAAGAATACGTGACAAATATCGCTAATCTAGACTTGGCCATGCCTCGGTGTCAATTGGTGCTTCCGTTGCTGTGCTTGCAGAGTAACGACTGCATCGTTCTAATTCTAAGCGATTTTACGCAGACCTACGCTCAATTGTAATTACAATTACAGCAGCATTGTCCGCCAAAATTGCACTTACAACGCCATTGTGTTTTACAATGATTAATTGCACAAATGCAGTAGTAATTTTTTTAATAAATTCACAAAGATCAGGCCCAGACCTGAGGTTAAATTACAATCGCGTGATTCGTGATTGGGGTGGAGTGGCATGGCGTTGCTCGCTGACGTCATCGGCCTGGGGTTCGGTTCCCTGCTTGGGTTGTCATCATTGGCGAGTGATCTCAGGCCTGGCCACTGCTTCGCGCGGCGCTTTCAGATATGCTTCTGCGGCCGTCTGGAACGCGCTCTCCCGTCCGATATTAGGAAGCCACTGGAGCTGTGCACTTTTAAATCATCATCTAGAATGACAAACTAATTTCTTTAGAACTGCTTTTTTGTGTTGAGTTTGCTGTCCTTCCCCCGCACCTTCCATTAGCGCGATTGGCTGCGTACGGTACGAAAGAAGTTAAGCGTACATACACTTCCTCTTTTTCACCAACTGGCACTGACCAGTGTGGTGAAGTATAGTGAACACACATTCTCCATGACTGAGACTGTGTGGGATGGCCTTCATCCAGCAGTGGATTGAGTATTGGCTTTTTAAATGATTGTTATTATTATTAGTAATAATATGTCATTTAAATTTCATTTTGCAATCGTGACTGTTATTGGAATTATATATAATTAACCCGTGGTCTGATTACGTGTACACCAGTGCGCTCTGTGTTCTCCATTACGTCGTTGTTCACGGATGTCTTCAATTGCACGTTGCTGATGACAGACAGACCAGGAAGTAATGGTTTCCAGCGTTCGGGGCATTGAAGCCGAAATGTTCCCAAATATTTAAATTGTTCTGCAACAGCGTTGGAAGCCGAGAGACAAAACCTTGGGTGGTGCATGTGATTGTTGTTTTTTATCGCGCGCGTTCTTTATTTGCGTTATTCCAAGGCACGGTCACTTTCATTCCCGCCGAACCTTCTGTTGAGAAACCTCCAACATTGTGTATATGTCTCCTCTGCAGATGTTCCATTTCCCCCCCTCTCCCGACTCTGCCCCCCTTCCGCTTTGCTTGTGCTTTGCCAAAGAAATGAATGCATCCATTCCTTGTTTTTGCTGCATGTGTATAAGGCTTGCTTTCTCTTTTACACGGTTATCACGCCACAGCTGGGACCACGCTTAAACCCTCTGTTGTTTGTGCGGCGTAAACAACAACAGAATGGAAATGGATGCGTTCCAATGTGGCTAATAATATATTACCTTCGAAGGCCTTCATGGCAACGTTCAAAGTCAAAATAAGCGATACCTTGTATTATACGAGCATTGAGGCGGTGCTCGTTTCCTTGTTTACAGCCCTGAGGCAGTGGTGGCTATTCCACATTTCTGTGGCTGGGGTGAGTCTATCCATAAGACAACCGTTATTGATTTCCCCCGGAAGTTGGCGGTACTCATTGTTGTTGACCTCGGAAGCGGGGACAAGGGGCTGAGTCGACACTCAAACCAGGATTTGAGCTCGCAACCATCCAACTGTGAACCACTGAAACTCTGCCACTGAACCACCGGTCCTTTTACTTACCACGAGCAAGGTTGCAGAGGCACTCTTCAGTAAACGCCCCCCTCCCCCGTGTCGTATTCGTTAAGAGTGACCGTGAATTATTAGACGAGTGTCGTGCGCGCCGCTCCTTGCGCGCGCGGTGGTGGGACTATTAAGTTGACCGGGAGACACGAGGAGTGCGATTGAAAAGCGGCACGCGTTGTGAAAGTGGTGGTGCCCGTGAAACCGTGTGAGTGTGTCGAGATTTTGTGTTGCCCTTGCGCGCGTTGCAGCTTGCCCCGTGGGGGAGTGCATGTGTTTTTTTGTTTTGGGTGTCCGTGGTGTTATCGTAACGTTTCGCCATCATCAGTGTTTTCCGTACAACGTGTCTCGCACGCTTGGTGCCACCACGCAACCCCCCAGCTTGCTTTTGTGTTTTGTTTTTGAGTTTGTTTTTGTTCAGTCTCTAAAGGTAATCGCCCTCAGTTTAGAAAATGGAAAGAGCCCAGTTTAGATGCAGTGTTCCCTGCACAAAGTGAAGCCTCCCGACTTGGCACCGACATTTTAAACAAGAGTAGACGAAGCGACGTGTAATCGGTTCGGTCGGCAGCCAAATGCTAATGTTATTCACATCGCTACGCATTAGAGTAAACGCCATGCCACCCCAACCTTGCTTTTGACCTTAGTGGCAGCCTCGGGGCCCGGTTCATACCTGAGCGACCATATCTGGCGCAACCATATCTTGAGCGAGGGAGTTAGGTAACAACAAGCGTGCGTCTGGCTAAAAGCGTGTCTGGCCAACGCCCTCCTTTTACGGCATAGCCGCATCCTTTTTATGCCTCCCATCCACCTCAGGATTACAACAGCCAATCGTAGTTATGCAAATGTGCAGCACGAGACGATATTCGTCGCTGCAAATGTCTGAGCAGATCGATGCTTGAATGTTAAAGGGGGTTGCTCTCTCTAGTGTTGGCTACCGGTTGCGCAACTGCTCGCAATCGTTTGCCGAGACATCCAAATAATTTAGTTGCATGCAACCGAGTTGCACAACTGATCACCAAGGTGTCGCTCTGCTTTACATCCTGGACCAATGTCCATAGGGTGGTCAGACAGAAAGATTTTTTAAATTAAACATTTGCCCCGTTACATACAAAATCATCACCAGCCATGATCAGTCCACTGCTATAAGAAGCCCACGCATGCTTTCGCTGTCTATCCGCGGAAATATTTTTCTGCATATTAGAATGTGGGGCTAAATAATAGCAGTAATAATGATGCCAATTATTAACCCGGAAAAAATATTACTGAGCCTCAAGAAAAAATATTTTGAGGAGGGTCGTGCATTGGGATATTTTGTCAATTGCGTTTACGGAGCGTTTGGCTTCACTTGGCAAAAAATGGGCGAAAACCCACGCAAACAAGGAGCGAAGCACTCAACGCTGACATCTCCTGGCCACCTCGCAACTCCACACCTACAAACGGCCGTCCAGCACTGGGGGTCACTCACGCCAGTGCTCACCGGCTTGGTCACGCTTATCTTCTGAGATCTCATTAAATAGGATCCGTTTGGGGTGACTAGTTCATGAGTGACGTTCAATTCGGGAAACGTTTGCTGTGCTGATGGCAGGGATATTTTAAATAGTGCTGATGCTAGAGGAAGCCAGCGTCTGGTTGACAGGCTTGAGCAGTGTGATGCGTTAAAAGCCTTTTGCCTGCAGCGCCAATTTATGGACAGTGTAAACAGGCACTGGTTGGTTTCAATTTGTGAGTAAGTGGTCCTGTATGGTGACACATGCTACAGGGATGATTTAAACTGCCCCGGGAAGAAAAAAAATACTGAATTACAGCTTCGTTTACCACCGTTAACGATTATACTTTTCTTTAAAGCGTCAAATGTTTACGTGCGAAAAAACATGCCGTGCCGAAAGCGTGCAGAGCTGTCAAGGCTCCCGAGGTGTGACGAGCCAACGGCTTCCCCCTGAAATTCAAAGTCGCTTTAAACCATCCCTGGCATGTGGCTGTCCGTTAACGGTGTGTGTGGTGGCTCTCCCAAGTCCGGCGCGCTGGCCGGGGCCGGCTCCGGCGTCAGGCAACAACTCCGCCGCCTCAACAAGGAGCTCCGCGCTGAGCTGGAGCGCCAGCGGGAGCGGCTCGAGCTGGTGACGCTGCAGTCGCGCACGCTGCGCCAGAGTTACACCGCGTCCCGGGAGCTCATCCAGCGGCAGGAGGCCGAGCTCGCCTCGCTTCACAAATGCGTCGAGGTGCTTTCGGCCGAGCGAGCGGCGCTCGAGCAGAGCCTCGGCGAGGCGCTGCTCGGTCGCGAGGAGGAAAGGGCCGACGGGCCGGTCGAGGGTGCGGCGGCCGCGTCGGCGGCGGGCGCGAGCGAAGTGGCGGCGCGGCTTGGGGAGAGCGAGGCGAAGTTAGAGGCGGCGAGGAGCCTCCTGCTGGAGAAGACGCAGGCCCTCGGCGAGCTGGAGCGGCAGGTGGAGATGCAGGGCAACCAGCAGGAGGTGGTTCAGCGCTTACGGGAGCGCCTCGAGGAGGCCACCGAGAGGCTGCGGGCGAGCGAGCGGGAGTTGGCGAAGAGCCGCGAGGACTTCGAGGCCCGGCGGCGGGCGCTGCTGGAGACGCAGGAGGCGAAGACGCAGGGCATCCGCCGGAGACTGCAGGAGCTGGAGGACGCTCTGAAGGAAAGGGAGGAGCGCGTGGAGAAGCTGGAAACATGCGTGGACCGTTTGGAAAACGAGAAGGTTGCGGCTGTCCTGGAGAATAGGAAGCTGGAGCAGAAGATGAGGGACGACGAGGTTTCATTGGAAAGTCTGCAGAGGTCAAAGGAAACTGTTGAGGAAGACAATCAGCAGTTATACCAGAGGCAAAAGGAGGTCCTAAATCAGTTGTCAGAATCAAATAAAGAGAACTCCAGGATTAAGGCAGAACTTGAATATCTGCGCGAATACAGGAGCAAACACAATGATTTTACGGACAATGTTAACCCCACTGGTCACGATTCCAACGGTTCTTCCAAATGTCAGTGCAAAGAGGATTGCGAGCGTTTACTTAAAGAGCTGGACTCTGTAAAGGACGATTTACGCACACAGCGCATTTTAAATAGGGAACTTGGTGAGTCGTACAGCGAGCTGTCGCAGGACATGGAGGCACTTAAGGTCGACCTTGAGCAGCAGTGCACAGAGAAAAACGAGATTAAGGACTTCTACGAAAGTCTTTCCCAAGAAATGGAACGGGTGAGAGCAATCCTGAAAGAGACGGATTTCCAAATCAACTGCTTTAAGAATGAATGTGAGGAGCAGCTAGAGAAGGTTATGCCGGACATACTGGATCGGCTGAACACCGTGGCGAAGAATCTCTCGGAAGCCGAAAAGAGGCTGGAATTCGGACAGGAGGAGCTGCGAAGGATGAGTGGAAACAAGGTGCACTCGGAGGACGAGAAGGGACGGGCGGACCTGGTGGATCAGCTCCAGCAGGAAGAGGCCAAGGTCTCGAGTCTGCAGGCCGAGCTGGGAGCCCTGCAGCAGAGCTACGAGCAGCTGTCCCTGAATCACACCAAACTGAAGGAGGACTACGACGTCTTAGAAACCGCTCACAACAACTCGTGCAAGGAGTGGGAGCAGATGAAGTTCAAGCGGGGATTCTTCAGAACGGTGCAGCAGTCGGAGGCTGCTCATCGCTTTCCCGTGAGCAAAGGGTTCTCGTTGAAAGAGGAGTCGAGCAGGCAACAGGCCATGGCAAGGCATGTCGAAGTGCCGTCGGCAGGAGCCCTGGGCGCTGGTTCCAAACGCAGCTTGTGGGGACAGAGAAGTGCGGGCTCGTCAAACAGCTCCGGGAATGAAACCTTGCGCAACCAAAGTGGCGACGAGCAAATCTTCCCGCTGTCGTCGAGGGAAGACTCCTTGCAGGAGTTCTCGGGCAAGAAAGTCCAGCCGCCCGTAGACCTGGATTCGACTTCCAGCTCGGCGGGGCTTAAGATTCAAAGTCTGGAGGCCAAGCTTCTGGCGACGGAGGAGAAGTTGAGGGTGGTGACGGCTTCGCTCGTCGAGCAGAAGGCGTGGGAGATGGAGTCTCGATCGGAGCAGCTGGCCCAAAAGATTCAGGCCGAAAAGACCAGCCAGGAGCAGCTGCAGGCCAGCGAGGAGGAACTTACGGCCCTCACCGCACAGCTGCAGATCGAGAAGAGTCAGAGGTGGAGGTTGGTTGACGAAACGGACAAGCATCTGCAAAAGTTGGAGGCAAAAATCGCAGAGGTGCAAGAAACAATAATAGCATGCAAGGGTAAAGTTGAGAAAATCCTCAAAGATAAGCAAGTGGCGGAGTCGCAGGGGATCAAAATTCAGTCGCTCTCAGAGGTAGAAAGAGCTCTGGCGAATGTGATTCACAGCCTGGAGCAGACATCACTGGTGCAAGAAAAGCAGGAAGCTGCCCGTGGATCAGAAGTAGAGGGTCAAGAGGCGTCGTCGGGATGCTGCCAGACTTTGCCCCAAGATGAAAACCTACAGGCGCTGGCGGGGAAGCTGGTGTCCGAAGCGTTGATCATGGCCAGGCTCATAAGTGTCCTCCACAACACCGGCCTGCACAGCTTGGCGAGCGTCGACGAGCTCAACGTGGAGATCGAGAAGCTGGCGTCCGTTCAGCACGCTGTCATTGTCGGGGAAGCGTCGCAAGGTGGCGACTCGTTGACGAGGAAGCTTCTTCTGGAGGGGGAGTTTTGGACGGAGTTGCAGCAGTTGAAGGTGGAGCTGCAGGCCGACTCCACGGAGGAGTCCAGCTCCGAGCCCTCGGAAATCATTCAGTTCATAAGCACATTGGTGGACAGTACGTTGCTGAGGGGCGAGCTTGCGCTCGTCCTCCAGAGCGTCCAGAAGTCGGTCGACAAAAAGTTTGGCGATCTGCAGAGCGAGTTGAGCGTAGCTCTGCAGCGTGTGCAGAACCACAAGAAGATGCTCCAGCGTGTCATGGAGGCTTGCAAAATATCCACCCTGGTGGAGGTGCGCGAGGCTCTGGAGAAGTGGGTGGAGCACGCCGAGGGAGCGGAGAAGCTGGGCAAGGTCAAAAAATGTGGCGATGCAAAGGAACCATTGAGAGAACATTGCAACGAGCCGCCAGGTGGCAATTCCCAAGCTCAGATGGAGAATCTGCAGGGTGGACAGTGTGCAAGTGTGGAGTTGGCAGATCCTGCTCTGGAGCAGATCGCTTCCGACTCGGAGGCAGCTCTGAGAGTCGAGTGTGAGGAACACATTTTGACAATTTCAAAGCTCCGACAAGAGCTGGAGGAACTTCGAGCCGCAAAAGATTCACAGTCTGAGCCGGCCCAAGAGCTGGAAGGCACTGCCAATAAAGAAAAGATGGTCATGGCGAAGGACAAAACCGAGATGGCAGCGAGGTTCAAGCAGCAGCTCTACGACTTGACCGACGTTTACGAGGAGAAGATCGAAGGTCTGACCGCAAAGTTTGAGGAGGCCGAAGAACTGCTCAAGACCAAACTGACGGAGAAAGAAGAGCAGATATTAAAACTGACGGCCTGCATAGAGGAGCTGGAACGGGAGCACTCTGAGAAGTTTACCCAGCAGTTGCAGAACGTGGAGGCGTCCCGGCGAGGCGCGGAGCGGCTGCACAGGGAGGAGCTCGACAAGCTTCGCCAGGAGTTCACGCTCAAGATGAAGAGCCTGCAGCAGGAGGACCGCAACGAGCCTCTCGCCGGGCTGCAGGAGCGGCTCCGACCGAAGGCCAAGGATCTGTGGAGGCCTTCGCAGGAGGAGGCGTCGCCGACCGTGCACCCGAAGCATCAGCATCATCAGCGGGACCTGCAGAAGGGTGCGAGCGAAAACACGGTCGAGTCGTTTGAGAGCGCCCAGGAGGACGTGAGTGACGCCTACCGCGGCGGGGACGCGCTGCGGTCGATCCGCTCGCAGTTCGAGGCGCTCCAGCTCCAGCTGTCCGCGTTCCCGCGTCACGCCGGACAGGGACGTCGCCGAGACGGACGTTGGCGCGCTGCACGGCAAAACACCAGGCAGACGTTGAGAGCCTAAAGGTGGACCGCTGCCCTCCGCGTGTCTCCTCGTGTCATCTCCCTTCAGTCCCGCGCGGCGGTTGCGCTTTCTTTTTTTGTCATGTGGCGAGAGAGAAGCCACGTCCATTGAATGAGTTTTGCGAGGAAGCTAATTCGGGTGTGGACGCGAGGGTTGGTCGATTATATTTTATAGAATGTGAAAGGTGTGATTACTTCAGCACCTCTTGTAAGTGCAATGGTGGCAGCAGCACTACAGAATGCATTTTATTTTTTTATTTTTTATTATTATCTATGCATGTGTTTATTGTCCCCATGCGTGCCGGATACAGAGAGCTGCAGATGTGTACTGGGTTCTTGAAACGGATATTTTCACAAAAGAACGAATGAATTTCGCTCAGTATTGACTGATGACACATGCATTCTGTGCTGAGAAGCTTAATGACGCAATGGACCACGGGCAGCCAATGCGATCTTGCTTTTTGGCAAATTGCTTATGGATTGTTTTTATTACTGATGAACACAAAGATACAATTCCTGCCCGTATCTAGTAAATCTGTACATTATGCCAAAACATCATATTCTATTATTTTAGACTATTCCCTTCGTCACGCACAAAGTACCCCCCCACCCCCCAGAGTGCATTGGCTTACATCATTATATCAGCTTATTGTGGAAATACATCAACAAATGTTCGTACGGGCGGCTCTACCAGCATCGCCATGCGAACGTGATTTGCTGAACCGCCTTCGGCTAAAACGTTTAGGTTTCAACTCATCTGCAGTTTCCGCTGCCGCTTCTCGCGAGTTTTGTATTCCTCATCCCATGCCACGCTGTTGTTGTTCAGTCCCTTTGCAATTCATTCATCTTCTCAAATCTTTCCAAATGCAAGAATGTACCTCTTGCCCGGTAAAAAAAAAAATCCTTGCATGCACGCACGCACGCATGCGTCCATTGTTTTGTGTGTCCGTGGTTGCCACAGGCCAATTAAAATAAATTTGTGAAACATTTCAACCGGTGCCCGTTTTTTTGGGGCACTTTTACGCCCGGTGCCCATTTTTGTTTGTTTGTGTTGCGCGTCTTTTATTTGCTCCAAACGCATCTTGTTGTGCATCATTGGTTCCCAACTAGGATGTTATCACTTCAGCCGTCGCAGGGTTTCAAAAGTTCTTGAAGTTCTCCCAACGCCTTGGCGCGGGTGCTTGTGACGGCCCCAGGTAATTCCCGAAAGCTGTCCCAGGGTTAAAAAAAAAAAACCTTTGACGAGCGGAGGGCAAGAGAATTGTGTCACGCTGCGACGGCAATGGTGACAGCCTCTTTCTTGTTTAAAGCGACATCCCATTTTCGGAAGCTGCAAGCATGCCAAACCGGCATCCGACTCTTGATAAGGCATTTCGCGACGCTTTGGCAGCTTTATTTATTTATTTATTTGCTTAGAGTGACATCGATTGCCGTCGTCATCAAAACCAGGCGACGGAAGAAAAACAAGAGTTCTTAAGCCCGGGAGGTTGGAAACGGTGGTTGGGAACCGGTCATGATTGCTGACCATTTGTAACACTCATCTTTCATACAACACCATTCCCACCGCGTGGCATCTTGTGCCATTATTTTCGTTATACTTTGTATTGTGCTACGTGCAACTTTGGATGCCACGTTAACCCACGTGCGTGTGCAGACCCTGTTGTTCGGTTTGCTGCATACATACATACATGGTGCATGAAGCGAGGTGCCATTTTTGTTCTTGTTGTAGCTTCCAGTCTCGTTCATTTCACCGTCCGGTGTTTTTTCCCGTTTCACCCCCCCCCCCACCTCTGAAAGCGCGCGGGGGCTGTGGCTCCCCGCTGCTTTGGCGATTGCAGCGTGGGTTGGCGAAGCGTTCTAAACGCTATCTTTACCGCCATTCACTGCGTCGCCCACGCACGGCGGTGGTGTCACGGCAGGCTCGGTTGCCACAGCCTCCCCTGCCCCTCCCCCCAGCCCCCAGGGCTTTTGAGTCGCAACCAACTTGGTGACAATCCTTCCAGCGGCAGACTCCACCCACTCCCTAAAAACTCGCTTTCTCGTGAGGCTCGTTTGTTGTGCTGGCTTGGGCCTTGATGAGCTGTGTCCGCTGGTGCCCAACCAACAAACGGGGGCTTGGGTGTCGTAATTCCCGTTCCTCGTTAAATACAAACGAATTCGTAAATATTTCAGGCGGTGATATTTCACGCTCGCGTGCGAAGCCGCGTGCTGTGGCAGGGCCCACGCGTGTTGCAGCGAGCGAAAGCGTCAGATAATTGGCAGCGCAGAGGAGGCTGCCGATGCTGCTAGGTTACTACCTACGCAAGCTTTAAGTTGCAGTCTCATCACAGCGGTCACCGCCGCAAAAGCTTCCGCGAAATCCTCACAGCGGCATTGTCGCCCGCTTATCGGCCCTAAATGTTCGTGGCTGCCATGTCGCGCTGTTCTCGAGAGTGTGCCAAAATAGGGTCGGGGAAAAATATTTGCCAGCCACTTTTAACACTTCCTGAGATAGAAGACTCGTCAATAAACAGACAATAAAACTATTTATAGTTGCCCCTTTTTATGCCGTCACTTGCCCGTGCCAAGCTCGCGAGCGCTTCAATTAAGGCTATATTTAAAAGATAATCACTTGCAGTGCTGCGCCGGTTCACTCCTGGTTGAAGGCCTCTGCTAGCTGTCACTGGTGGGAGTTTGTTTGACCATACTTCACCGTATTGAAGGATGATTGATTACGATGATTGTGGTGATCAAGAGTTCCAGCCCCGACTATGTAGGTTTAGACGAGAGAGACACCAGATATAAATTATTTTAAACGTAAATCACACGCGGTGGGTTGATTGCCTTTAAAACGGTCTTATCGGCTGTAATTACAGCACTCTAGTCACTAACTGATTACTTCTTCCATTCGGCTAAATGGCTCGAGTCTGCTTCTCACAATGGGGCCAATCAGCTCGGCCCTGAGAGAGTCCGGCGGTGCACAAACCGCGCTGGGTACAGGCGAGAGAAGTACCGCTCGGTGAACGGAGGGCGTGCTGCTACTGGCCACCGTGGCGAGATGTTAACTACCTCGCCTGGTATACAGGAGGTCATGGGTTCGATCTTGACTGATGATGCCTGTATATTTGGAGGTTGCATGTCTGTCTTTCCGTGGTCGTGTGGATTCTGCTCCGGGTCCTCCGGTTTTTCCCTCCACATTTAGAATCAACGTGAGTTGAGAGTATTTGGCTGCTATACATTTCCACATGATGAGCCACTTCGTTGGGCTATCATTTGTGGGCAGGTCGCTTCTGAAAAAGAGCTACATAGCTCAGTGGGCCTTACCTAGTGAAATTTAAAAAAATAGTTTTTATTTAGTTTTTATTTCACGGCTCCTGCACACAGCGGCCGTTCGCTGCCCTCCCGGCCGCCAGGGGTTGAACCGTAACGTGGCGGTGAAAAGGGCGGAGGAGTGGCCCGAATTCACGTGGGTCTCTCTTCCGGAAGCGTCCTCCCCTTGCCACCTGCTCTCCTGTCCGCTCGCATGCGAAGGTCACCTCGTTGTCCGTCCACCAACTCTTGCCACCCCCCCCCCCCCCCCAAGGGCCGCGTTTAATCTGTTTATTTTTTTTATTTTAGTTGAACGTGTATAACAGGTCACAGCCGAAGGACGTTTTACTTTTGTGCGTTTTTTTTTTGGTCAGGTTTAAAAAAAAAAGTAATCCCCATGATTCCCCTGCCGCCCCCCCTCCCCCCCCATGTTACAGCTGCCTGTAAATCTGCTGCCATTCATTAGGAGTCCTCGTGGTAAAGGGTACCTGTTATGCCCCCCCCCGTCCTCCGCCTAATTGAATGAATATTTAATTAATCGTCAACCTCTTGTACTATAAGGTCGGCGTCTCGTCGTGTCAAGGCTGTGGAGGTTGCCAGCTGTTCGGTTAGAAATCTGTCTCGGGGGCAGATCCGACTGCGGGGGGTGGGGGGGGGTGGAAATGTCAGCGTAGTCCCTGCGGCTGCTTCCCTGCTGCGCGTCTGGTAGGCGCGCCGTGCGTTCGTGCGCGGGTGATGTGGCGCGACCGTTCGTACACTCGCATGCGCATGCCCCTCTCCCCCCCCCCCCCCCCCCCCCCCCCCCCACCGTGTGGACGTGCCTGCTCAAGGTCATTTCACGAGCCCTGTACCGTGGGAGTAAAAGGCGCGGCCATGCAATTGCTTTGCTCATGCCACTGCCAGCAGAAGGGGGCCTCCGCTAAACTATTAAACCTATTTTCATTTTTTTGTTTCAGCAGGTGAGGCCCACTGAGCTGTTTTGCTATTTTCAGAAGTGACCTGGCCATCACAAATCATAGCTCAACGAAGTAACCTACCTTGTGGAAATGTATTGCAGCCAAATACTCTAAATGCACGCTGATTATAAATGTGGAGGGGTAAACCTGGAGGGCCCGGAGAAAAATCCACGCGACCACGGGGAAAGAGACGCGCAAACTCCAAATATACAGCAGCAGGCGTCAGGGTCGGGATCGAACCCACGAACCTCCTGTAAACCAGACACGTCCTCACTGTGGTTGCACACCCATCTGTACCGCTGTTTGGTGGGATTTAAGAAACTTGCCCCGTTGATTCAACTTGGCGTCCCCGTGAGATCAAATCATCAAACCGGGTGACCTCGAGATTCGTGTATAGTAATAATCCTCGGAAATGTATTGCACAAGGAAGTTAATTTAAATATGAAAGCGCCAGCGCACACCGAACACTGATTGGATGAAATTGCATTTCTGATGGAAGTAACGCCAGTCTTAGCGCTACCTTTGCATGCGTGCGTGTGTGTGTGTCATTGGTGTATCATTGTGTTAGTGTGTTCCTGCACACATGGCACACATGCTTGAGCCAGCTTGTATCTCCGTGTATATCTGTGAGTGTTTAAGCACGTGCTGCACTTATTTGCATTGCCCCCTGTCCTGCATCGGTGTCCACGCACACGTGTTGACACGCAAGTACGCGCGTCTCAGCGTACCCTTGCGTACGCTCACATATGCTTAACTTGACCACGACCTTCCCTGCCCCTACAGCCCTCCTTACACCCCCTCACCCTCGTGTACCTTAGCAGTGTGCGCGCCAATCTCCACGTGCCTCTGCCTGTCAATGCGTGCGGCTGCATGTTACTGCGCGTCTCTGCGTGTGGTTGCGCAGGTGCGTCTGCGTGTAACTGCGCGTGTGTGCCTCTGTGCGTGCGACTGTGTGTGCGTGCGCGACTGCGTGCATGCACGCGTGGGACTCTGCTTGCGTGTCTGTGCACCGTGTGCCTCTGCGCAACTCTGCATGCGTGTGTTTTTGCGCACGTGGGCGCTAATGCGGTGGGGGGGTTGGCATTGTGCCGTGTGCGGCCGCGAGCAGGCGACGTGCGAGCGCGGGTTTGCCGCGATGGAGGATTCGCACCAGAAGGTGATCGAGGAGCTCCAGCGAGCCCACCAGGCGGAGCTGGAGAAGCTGCGCTTGGAGAAGGACAAGCTCCTGGCAGAGGAAACGGCCGCCACCATCGCAGGCACGTGGAGAACCGCACGGAGCACACACATGGAGGACGCACGGAGCGCGTGGAACACACGCGCATGGAGCGCCTGCCAGCTGAGTCCCTATCCACACCTTGGAGCAGGCTGGAGCGGAGAATAAATATGCAGACAATACGCCTCCCTTATTCCCATTGTTGTCTCTGCGCGTACAAAAATTAACTTTTACACATCACATCTGCTGCATGGTCTTATGAAAGGCCACATAGCAGAAAGATGCTTTTAGAGTATTTGGCTGCTATAAATTTCCACGTGATAAGCCACTTCGTTGAGCTATCATTTATGATAGCCAGACCACTTCTGAAAAAGAGCTACATAGCTCAGTGGGCCTTACCTGGTAAGATAAAGTTGTTTATAGTTTTAGTTTTTGGAGCCAGTCCAGAGTTTGTATTAAACCAATGCTCATGATCGAGTTTGTGGGTTTATACCACGTAATTATACTCGAGTTGTAAACCCACCTCCGCCCGACACAGCCCAACGAGCACGGTTTTGTCACGTGAACAGAACGTGCCAACTACGTGAACTACTTCAGCACACACCGGCCGTGTGTTAAGAGGGCAAACCCACGACGTTTTCCAACTCGCGTTAACGACGCTTCGCCGGCGATCACAACCGGCTGTGCGCCGTGCTACGGCGGAGTTGTTAAAGCGCAAAACAAAAGCCCCCGGGCCCCGTGGGCTGCGCCTCTCCTGACGCGACGACGGCCCCCTTGCTGCGTTTCTCCGGCAGCGATCGAAGCCATGAAGAACGCCCACCGGGAGGAGCTGGAGCGGGAGCTGGAGAAGGTGCGCAAGTCGGAGACGCACAGCGTCAACCGGGACATGGAGGCGGTGCACGAGCAGCACGAGTGAGTGGCGACGACATCACCACCGCCCGCCCGCTCGCGTTTTCGCTGAGTTCGTCCGTGCCAGCGCGCGTGAAACCATTGTGCGCGCGTGTGGCGCTGCGCTGTGTGTGTGTGTTCGTCTGGTGGGGGGGGAGCGGTGGTGCAGTGGTTAGCGCTCTGCCCAACTAACCCACACCTCCGATAAGCACGGTTGGCTATGTCCGGCACGAAAGAAGGTAAACATACATGCATACATAAGGGTCTACTCAAATGTAACTGGATTTTCAAATCCCTTTCTTATTCGAATCGGGGCCGTTTGTTCGAATAACAGTTATTTGGGAAATCGACGGCGCAGATAAAAATGTCTGCGTCCATCCACATTTTTTTTATCGGGGGAACAGGATTTTTTGAAATGCACAAAACCCATATTTTGTCAAACAAATGCTTTTTGAGATCGGCGAATACATTTTAAGACGTACTACGCTGTACGGGACAGATTTCGTCCAATTTCAGTCTGTGCTACTGTTAAAACAACGCATACATCACAACTGCGAAAAATACACAATTCCACTTTGGTGAGTTGCTCAGCTTATCAGAATAAAAACAGGGACATTTATCGTCGAGTTAATTTGGTTATCTCTCCTTCCTATTAATGGAAGGCTAGTGACTCGCGATAAGTTACTGCTGGTGACTGTAAATAGCAGCAGAGGTGCCGGAATTGGAAGGCATTAGGACTACTCTTCCACATTGGCCATACTTAATTGGAAGAGGTGGGAGTAACGTACGCACGTATGTACGTGGAACTTCTTTCGCAGTGTACGTAACCAGAGCTGTGCTATATTAGGAGGTGTGTGGGGGGAAGGGAAATAAGCTCAAAACAAAATCCGTTATAAAGAAATGAGTTCACCACAACCGTGACCTAAACTTCACCCCACGCGATCTGCCGATCGGCCAGCTGTGGTAGGGGGGGGACACGTTCACAGCCGCTGGGTGTTGCCCGGCCGGCGGGGGGGGGCAGGACTGACAAACCTCCAGCGTTGTTTCAACATTTAAAGGTGTCGCCTGGAATGCTTCGCCCACGGGACCTGCGGAAGTACACGTCCGGCCTCACTCGTGGCGGGCGTTGTCTTGGACGCCCATGCGTGTTGTGGTAATGGCAGGCTTGATGGGGCTCCGGAAACCTGGCCTTTCTTGGGGTGCGAGGACGTCCGTCGTTTGTCCCGTCTTCGGTGTGTTTGTGAGATGTGCTTGCAACATCGCCCGAGAAATGCCCTTGACAGGGTGGGCCCACGAAGGCAGGCTGTCATCTTCCCGCCACCGCTATCCTCACGAGTGGGTTGCTAGGATTCTCACATTCATCGTCGGCAATCTGAAATTACCGCTGCCGCCCAATTACAGTGAGCCGCCAGCATCAATTATCTGCCACAACAATGTCGCAATTTTTGCCTCCCTTTCAAACGTGCGAGTTATCACGATTCGGGCTTGTGAATTGGTTACTTAGTTGTTGTTGTTGTTGCCATGACTGTGAATGTAGCGCCTCTAGTGGCTGCAGAGTTTACGTGAACCTATTACAATGCGTGCAAATGGAAAAATGATTGATTCTCGCTTCATACCAATATCACGAGCGCAAACGTCCTTTAAATGATAAGTCGATGCATTGCTGCTTGCTTTAACGATGGCAATTACGCTATGCGCTGGTACGTGTACTGCACATACTCTGCATGCGTTACAAGCAACTATCATGGTTGTCCTCTCTGTGAAAACGTCGTTGAGCTAGTGAAAGGTGCCTGCCTAGATTAGTATTTATCGGCGAAGGGAAACAACACGAAGTTAGGCAACTGCGTAAAAATTGCACCAGTCTGCAAGAAACAACTTCCTCCGAACTGGTTGAGGCACACCTCTCCGTGGTGCGTCATACAGCAGCAGGTTTGCCTTTGACAGCTGCATAATTGAGTGGCATTTGTGCACTCTTCAGGAAAGTCATAATTGCTGTAAATGCTAGCGGTTAATTATCTTGTTGCGTTTGTCGCTGGGAGCGGTCGTGTGGAGCGCCCACCCGCGAATGCGTGTCGGTGTATTTTTAGTCGCGGTGGTTCTGCTGCCTTTTTCCGCGATGTAATTTACATTCCTCCACCGAATCCGTAAAAATAATTTCCAGTTCAGAAGAACGTTTAATTTCCTGTTTTCCAGTGTGTCACAAATGATGTTAATTGATGGTGCCGAATAGGGACACGCTTTTGTCTTAAGCCTGCGATGGTACGCTTGGGTGTGGTGGGTGGAGGGGGCAAGGAGGGGACGATTTGATTCTGAAACCATTTGCGCCGTCTACCATTTAATAGCTGACGGGAGCCGACCCAATTTTCTTTTGTCAAGATCCCAGTCGCAACAGCAGCAGCAGCAGCAGCTCCGTCTTGGAGCAGATCAAGCCCATTAACGCATTGCACATCTCCCGGTGCTCAATCAATGAACTATTTTACTCGGCCTTGCTGAGCGGGTCCCCGCCCCCATTAGACCGGCAAGCCTTTGCGACTCGTGCTGTCAGATCTGCTTGCGACGGGTTTGGTGCGACTGCCAGCGGTCTATCAATCCCTTTGTGACTTGGAACGGAGAGTGTGGTAACCTCCGTGGGGGAATATTTGTACACAAAGGCCAATATAACGGGGTGATTTTTTTTTACGTAGCCCTCCCGACCCCAAATTTGAACCAAAGGGCGCGTAGGGTTATTGGCTTCACCCGTTTTGGGCTGAGTGAGTCACTCTTTATTGATGTGCCTGTCGGGCAGCAGCTGACCTCAAGAAACCATTTTTTTGGGGGCTTCTCCATTAAGGGCAATTCGAGGTGCAAATTAGGAAAACCAAATTGCGTGGTGGTGGAGGTGGTGGTAGAGGTGGTGTTGTTGTCAGTCAACTGCATCCAAGGCAGAGCTCGCCCCCAGAGAAGATGCATTTCGTGACAACATCTCACGTGCTCTGAAGATGGGCCAATGCCCAAAACGTCACTTATTGTGTGCATTTTCCTTCCCCTTTCGGGTGACGGGTTCATGACGAATACGTTGACGTTTTGGTTGTTGTTGTTTGTGACTTTTGTGCACCCACTGCTAACGCGGCATCGCACAAAACAAATGTTTATCTGAACGGAAAGCAAAGTGGGCCTCGGTGCGAGCCCCGAATATCAGTGGTATGATGCTCGGTCACTCTCAATGCTCAATAGAATGCTCACATCTGGAAAGATCCTCGGGGAAGGAAGGAAGTTCGCACGGATTGTTGTTTGGGGGTTTTTTTTGTTGTTTAAAACGCACTGCGTCACGGTTATAGAGCCGCAGTCAACACACACAAGTCCCATACCTCTGTGGTTCTTTCGCTAAAAGTCACGTAGTATAAAATAAATGAAAATCGCGACGTTTCGGGCGCAACACAAGCGTCCGTCACTCCCAGCCCCGCTCACTTCCCCCCCCCCCTCCCCCCCGGCATTTTGCCGTACTCGCCCTTGAATCCCTTCTCGCAGCGCTGCACTCCCCCTACCCCACATCCCCCTCTCTATCTCTCTCCTCCCTGGCTCCTCCCCCCCCTCTCTTACCTATATAGCCTCTTGTTACAGCAGCCCCTTTTGCCCACCTTCAGCAATTTGTCTCTTGCTGTGGTTGTCCCACCTGATGACGGATGCTTGTGTTGCACCCCAAAACGTCGTGATTTAATTTATTTTATTTTCTACTACGTCGTGACTTTACCGAAAGAAGCAAAGAGTACGGATGCCTGCAGTCACGAAAACTTCAAATCTAGATTGACACACAAGTCCTTTTATAGATTGTACTTATTCCTTGAATGAAATTTGTCTCTTAGTTTACGTAATAATTGTTTAATCGGTGGAATTTTGGCAGGGCCATTTTTTTACCAAAATGCCCATAAACACACACTTACATTTATGACAAAAAAATCAATCATGAATGTGCCCTGGACCGCTGTTACGTTGTTTATGTGTGCGGTCGTGACCAGTTGCGCGATGATTCGCACCCTGCACTGCGATTCCGGTGACCTTGGATCAAACCCACCCCCCCCACCCAGCCAAATGGATCGCAGCATAATTCCGGTGGCAAGTGATAGATGAACGTCTCCTTAGTGCTTCCCCGTAGGTTGACGACTTGGCCTTAAATGTAGTGGGGTGGGGGGGGGGAAGTGAGGTGAAAGGTGAGCAGGTGCCGGTGGCTGACCACTGCGCCCCATCGTGCGCCGTGCCGGCTCGATTGGCTGCTCGTTAACGGCGTTTTTAACATCCCCGTGTGTCCGCCGATGCTAAGCTGCGGGTGGGCGTCCGCGTGGTCTCGTCGCTTGTTTGTTGCTGCGGCGCGTGCAGGGAGGAGATGATGTCGGTCCAGCGTGAGATCGAGGTGCTGTCGGAGCAGTACTCCCAGAAGTGCCTGGAGGGGGCGCACCTGGCCCAGGCCCTGGACGCCGAGAGGCAGGCGCTGCGGCAGTGCCAGCGCGAGAACCAGGAGCTGAACGCGCACAATCAGGCACGCGGCGCAGGCACCGCCCTTCCACCCCCTCCCCACCCCCTCCCCACCCGTCACATGACTGTGACACGCATCACGTGCCTACGAACACGGGTCCCGCATGCCTACAACATGGGTCACGTGCGTACAACACGGGTCACACCTCGGTTTAGCGGCGGTTGGCTACGTAACGGTGCAAAGAAGTTAAACGTACGTGCACACAAACACACACACATGCGCTGACCTTGGCCCCGCCACACTGCTTTCCTTTGCCAGGAGCTCAACAACAGCCTTAGCGGCGGAGATCAGCCGGTTACGGGGCCTGGGCAGCGCCGATGCGAGCGGCTCTCCCGTCACGCAGGGCGTGTACGAGCTGGAGGTGAGTCGTCAGGCGCGCCGGCAGCGGTTTGCAGAGCGGTGCGTCGGTTGCGGCCGTCGGCCTCCACCGCCCTCCTATCAATCCATCACACGAGTGTGACTCCGGGAGCGAGAAGCGGTTGTGTCCTCCTCCTCTACTGGTCGGTTCGGCGGGCTCCGTTTGGCAACGAATGGGGAACCCATCGGCCAGTGCATGGGACGTCTGACCGGAATGTGGGGGAACTGCCAAGGCCAGGCGCTTGTTGCGTGGCGCGCAAGCGCCTGCCTGTTGGGCGTTCGCCACGTGCGTCAAATTAATTCGCAATTTTGACGTTGCCCTTTTGCTTGTGAATGGCGACGACGGATGGAAGTGCACGAGGAGGAACCCCTTGGGCCTTCGTTTGGAGGGCATTCCACGGCGTGCCGCTCCCCCCCCCCCCCCCCCCCCCCCCCCCCCCCCCCCCCCCCCCCCCCCCCCCCCCGTGTTTAGTGAGTTTGGTTATCTCATCTGGGTCACCGATGACTCTGCGCAGAATAACGGGTCGAGTACAACATTTGATTACGCAACTTAATTTGTCTGAAGCCCAGGCTCTGAAAGTTAAAATGCCCAGCTCTGAAGTTAAAACGCAGGGCGTGTACGAGCTGGAGGTGAGTCGTCAGGCGCGCCGGCAGCGGGTTGCAGAGCGGTGCGTCGGTTGCGGCCGTCGGCCTCCACCGCCCTCCTATCAATCCATCACCACGAGTGTGACTCCGGGAGCGAGAAGCCGGTTGTGTCCTCCTCCTCTACTGGTCGGTTGGTGGCTCCGTTTGGCAACGAATGGGGAACCCATCGGCCAGTGCCATGGGACGTCTGACCGGAAGTGGGGGAACTGCCAAGGCCCAGGCGCTTGTTGCGTGGCGCGCAAGCGCCTGCCCTGTTGGGCGTTCGCCACGTGCGTCAAATTAATTCGCAATTTGACGTTGCCCCTTTTGCTTGTGAATGGAGACGACGGATGGAAGTGCACGAGGAGGAACCCCCTTGGGCCTTCGTTTGGAGGGCATTCCACGGCGTGCCGCTTCACCCCCCTCCAACCCCCCCCCCCCCCCCCCCCCCCCCCCCCCCCCCCCCCCCCTCCCCCCCCCCCCCCCCCCCCCCCCCCCCCCCCCCCCCGTGTGTAGTGAGTTGGTTATGTAATCTGGGTCACCGATGACTCTGCGCAGAATAACGGGTCGAGTACAAACATTTGATTACGCAACTTAATTTGTCTGAAGCCCAGCTCTGAAAGTTAAAATGCCCCGTTTCACTAATGTGACGTATGTATATATGTTGCCCTTCTTTCGCACCGCACATATCCAACCGTGCTCATCGGAGGTGCGTACTCTCATATGCAAAGCCGGATTGGGAAAGTGCTGCCCTCTAATGTGTGATCAGAGGTCGCTTGAGGGGCTCTCGAGAGATAATAAAGACCGTTTAGTCAGTTACCCAGATAGTTTGCAATGGGAGGAGCCCATCCGGTTCAGTTCCCTAGGGTCGTTATGATATCACAGGCAGCTATGTGATAACCACTTACTGTGGGCCTCCTTTTCATAAGCACGAAGGGATGCTGCACTGTTCTGCGAGAGATCCGAACGGACGCTACGTGTCTTTGACGTCGTGATGCCGATCGCACGAGAGAGAGAGAGAATTGGGCCGGGGGGGCGTGGGGAGTGAACGAGTGGAATGGGATAAATTGGGAGGCGCCGGGCCCGTCCTGGCACAATTATCCAGCAGCGTGCACCGGTGGCGGCTGTCATCCCACCTCGAGAGAACGAGACGCGGGTGGCGTGAAAATCGCACCCCTTAACGCGCCTGTTGGGTCTGTCGTCATTCATTCACTCGGTATACCCGTGTTGATTAAGTTGTCGGCTTGTTCCGATGCGAGTTCATGTTCATGCAGGTCATGTTTATGCGACTCATGTTCATGCACGAGGCACCCGGAATAACACTGTACGTGCCACAGGGCATTGGAGCTCCGCGTTGTATTTAATAACGAGGTGGTTTGTTTTTTCTGTCTCGTCTTGCGCCGCTATTCGATGCAATGAGAAGCGCTTATATATATTTTTTACTGCAACTGTAATTTACATCGCAAGCCCAAACAGGGGAGAATAACCACGACGGTTGGAAGTTTTTTTTGTGGGGGGGGGGGGGGGGGGGGGTTGGGCGGGGGGGGGTGTTTTGATGGCTGTTGGTGATGCCAGCGATGGGTTTGTTCAAGGTCAGGCGGTAATGTGTGGTGGAACCTGAGCCCCTCTCCCCGTGCCGCCGTGACCCCGGCTTTGGCTGGACACCGCGCATCCGCGAGCCACGTTCCCGGCTGAGTAAAGCGCTCGGATTTTCTTTCTGTTTTTGGTCTCCAGGTCCTGCTGCGCGTTAAGGAGTCGGAAATTCAGTACCTTAAGCAGGAGATCAACTCTCTGAAGGAGGAGCTGCAGACGGCCCTGAGGGTACGTGTGGTGTCACCCCCCCCCCCCCCCCCCACGGCTGGCATCAAAAGGTCGGAAACGCCATCGGTGGTGAGCTCGCACTGAGAGTTGGGCAGGAAAGGGCCGAGCTGCTGCTCCGTTTGTTACGGAAGGCAGCTTGGCTTTGGCGTCGATGCCGAATAGTGGATGTGGTTTTACGAGGGATAGTGATGTGGTGAATTGCCACGGTCGTTTGTCTTTCTGGCAATTATGAAGTGGATGCTAAAGGCCCTGTGACGTAATGTGAAAGAGAAGGCTAATTTCTGCAGTGTCGCAGTCAACATTATTAAATATAAAGTAACTCACAATTTGCTGCGCCTTAATAAATAGTCAGAGGTCTCCCCTTGACATTGTTATATATAGTCTTCATATACTCTGAATTGTTTCAAAATAATGTCATTCGTGTATCCAGGAAAGCCTCACCGAGTCTCAACACTCTCATTCGGGGAGTGTCCTGCGCCAGGATGTTTGGCCAATTCCTAAGTAAATCTTTTTTTTTATCATCTCTCTGTTTGCGAGATTTGATGGTTTCACCCATGGTCATTGTCCGTCCGCCAGCACTCGCCGGTGCTGGATCCCCTTCTGCTGATCTGTGTAACGAAAGTCAAAAAGCCAAACTGCCACAAGGCAACACACGGCGGTGCATTCTGGTGGGCATTGCTGGTGATGGCAATAAATTAAAACGCCTAATCTCTTCTGCAGCACCTCTCTGCCTGCACAGAACAATAACAACAATAATAATAATACAATTATGTATTTTTATAGAGTGCCCTTCACACAGGAGCTTCTCATAGCGTTAATAACAATCATTGGTACATTTTATATTTGTGTCATTGGGATATCACAAAGCTATCGTGCAGGCGCTATGTTTCACCTGTGGGTATCGTCTGCGAGTATTCCGTTGCTCTGTGGTTTTACCCAGTTTGGTAATTAGACCTGCGCCCCTCGCTTGCTCGCTCGGCATGCGCACGGCATTTTTATCGGACCATTCGAGATCCCGTGGCGCTGACTTATTTCGTTCCACATTCGTATTTTTTGTTTGTTATTGATCCCACATTGTGGGAACGCATCGTCACTGCCGAGCGCCGACCGCACTCGACGTCGCTCGGCTTCCAATAGCCGACGAGACCGGCTGGGCACGCGTTCACGGCGGCTTTTGGTCCGGGAAATCCGCTCGCTCGCTCGCTCACTCGCCCCTACACCGCGGCGCAGGACAAGAAGTACGCGGCGGATAAACACAAGGACATCTACAAGGAGCTGAGCTTCGTGCGCGCCAACGCGGAGCGCGACATCGGCCGCCTGCAGGAGCAGGTGGAGTCGCTGGCCGAGGCCCTGGGGGACCGCCAGCCGCCAGGAAGGCAGCCGCGCCGGTTTTCGGTGAGCGTCGTGTCCCCCAAAGTCAAAAGATTTCCCCATGCGTAGCCTCTACCCAGGCGCTTGGGGGGCAAGCGCTGTTAGTGAGCGGCACCTACGAAGGGCCCGCACGGCACACGAGGGGGTGGGTGGCCAGCACCACGCCCGGCCGCCTTTGTCTTCCCATTGGCGATGTTTAAACACCACACCAGGTACTCATTTGAGGCTCGTTCGACCTAGGGGAGATCCAGGACCAGTTAATATAACTGTCACTGGTGTTGGGCGTGAGCGAGGGGAATTGAGCTCGGGTTCGCCGGGTTCATAGCGAAGCGCGCTAACCACTGTCCCCCCCATCCACACCACCCCCCACACCTCCCCCCACACACCCCCCCCCACTCTGCCACCCCCCCCCCACTCTCCCACTCGTGTCGGTACAGAGCCCCCCATGCTGTGAACCACGTTGCTCCATTCACTTGGCTCCAATCTCACTCCATTCCCACTGCTTCCTCACCTTCTCTGCCTCCACAGCCAGGGGTGTGGGGGGGGGGGGAATGTGTAGAGGTCATGAAGGCAAATTGTCTTCGAAAATAGGCGTTTTATATATTTTTCATGGAATATTATTGGAAGTTGGCTTGCCGTACATTCTTCAGCGACGAGGAAAGCGCCTGTTATGCCGACTGCGATTAAGGAATTATTGCAAGCTGGAGACGTTGGCAAAGTCAGCGCCGCGACCACATTCCCGCAGCGGCGAACATCACCTGACGGACACCCGGCACCGTTGGCCTTTTGGCGATGTTCTGTGTTCTGACACTGGTGAGACGAGAGGCAATCAAGAAGGCCGTCTCTGGCGTAGGCCAATCAGTTTCAAAGACAATGCGAATATTATAATCGGAGCATGCGGCTTTGCATGTTCACCACAAGTACCGTGTGTGGTTAATGCAGACTTGATTCCTTGCAAAAGGTTTATGTTTGGTGTTTGAACTTCTGTACACCTCCTGTTGTAATGCCAGAAAGGGTAAAAATCTATTCTTAATTTTCGCATTAGATCGCATAAGTATAAATGTTTCGTAACCATCCACCACCACCCTACACAACCGGTAAGGTTTGTCACGTAAACAACGCGCCAATTACTTACGACTTCAGCCCACCGGTGTGTTGGAGAGTAAATCCACAACATTTACAATTTGAATACGGCGTTTCGCTGGTAATTACATCCAGCATCATTGGGCGATTTGTCAGAATACTTGAGCGATCTCACCCAAAAACCTTTATTATGAATACTATATCGCTCTCAAACGCCTACGTGCTAAACTATTCTTATTTTTCATACACAATGCGTTGTGTGTGTGTGTGTGTCCACCCCTCCACAGACATCATGAAGTCCAAGAGCAACCCCGACATTCTGAAGATGGGGCGGCGTCCTCCAGCAAGCGGGCCTACCGGGCCCTGCGCTCAAAGGTGAGCGATCGTGTGCCGTCCTCCCAGCGCACGAACCTCGTCCAATAGGAACGCGGCGGGGGCGGCGGCGGCGGCGGCGTGGCAAGACGCACACGCGCGCCCCACCCCAGGGGGAACACGACGGTTGCGTGGTCGTCGCTGTGCGTCGCTCCCGACGCCCAAGACGGGAAGTAGATAACGGCGTGACCTTTGACCTGACTTCTCAGCGGTGAGCGCGGTCGCTGGCCGGACGCGCTCGCTTTGATGGAATCGGTCGGGTTACTGACCACGGTAATAGTCATCGTAACCGAAGCTCTGTGATAGAGCGGACATGCAATAGAAGCCTCTACTGCCTTGTTCAGTGCTGTGTGGGGTAACTTGTTGCATTGTAAAGCTCTGTGCAACTCTGGGAAGCGTGCTTTGTGTCTTGTTCTGACCGAATTATAAACTGCCATTGGTCTGTCCAGTAAAGGAGGATATGCTCAGTCTGCCACGTGAAATATCCTTTGGCTGTGGACCTTCTGTTCATTGCAGAACACGTTTAAATTGAAAGACGACTTCTTCAGAACCGCTTTTTGCACCTCCGATTCGCACGGTTGGCTACGTACAGTGCGAAAGAACTTTCAGCATATGTACGTAGTACATACAGCTCTTCATTCTACCCCCCCCCCCCCAAACACCCATTGCTGTGCGTAAAACGAGCCACTGCTCGCAAACGAAGAGACCTTAGTGCCGTTCACCACTTTGCGCCGCTTTCCTAACAATTGTTCGTCGTGACGACCTGTGTTGGGAGATCCCCGCAGGGCGGTGCTGTTCGTCTAAAAAGTTTGAAAATCGACATTTTTTTTGTACATCATGACTGCCGTCCTCTGTTTTGAGGTCGTTCTAAATTGAGAATCGGCCACCGTTTTGATGCGAGGCGTTGTAAATCCGCCCCACTCAGCGGTTAGCGCAAGCATGAGTGAAAGTTAGCGCCGGTTGACGGCTGCGAATTGGCAGGGGCGGCCTGAGTGAAACGCAACGAGACCCAGGAGAATGGTAGGGCCCGGAATAGCGGAATAGCGGGTGGCCTCATTGGGTCGGGTGTGAGGTTTGGGTCGATACATTCCACCACAGCCCCTGCCTCCCTACAAACTGCCCCCACCCTTCCCCACCACCACGGCTCATTAACATCCGTTCGCTACCAAAAGTGCCAAGACTCATTTAAAACGGAGGCAGCGCTTACTGAATTGTAAACACGTTCTTTGCGATCCTGAATGGAATAATGTGAATAAATAGAGGGTGCCCGCAAAAGGGGGTCAACACTCTAACTTTTCTCAATTGCCTCCAGGAAATGATCGCTTTTAAATGGATGATTAAGCAAAATAAACATTGGCATTTTTTAAACAGACAACGATAATTTGTGGGTTCGTGTTGAACATTGAACGTTGGCGGGGCAGGACTGAGCCACCCGCATGAGCTACAGAGAGTGAGGCTGTCGAGTTGTTCCCACATCGTGAGCTCCGAGTGATGGGGATCCCTTGTGCCAGGCGGTTGTGTGCGGTCGGTCAATAGATCGGCAGGTCTCCCTGGATGTGGGGGGCGGGGGCACCTGCAGGTGTTGTGTAACTCGGCAGTAAAATGCGGCATTCTCCGTGCTCATACGTCAGGTATCCATCTCTGGCGGGGATTGAAGTCAGGCGGTTGCCAATTCCATTGTGATTGTGCTGAAACGGATCATTGCAGTTTGCAGGTCCAGGGAGATTAGGAGGAAGGAGGGAGCAGGTGCAGGAAGTGAAATGATTAAAATTTTACGTTCGGCAAACCAGTTTTTTCAAATGTTTAATCTTTGGGGGAAATATACTTTTCATCCCTTTTTATTTCTCTCTTTTTAAAAATTCATCATTTTTTCGCTCCCTTTTATGCCTTCTCCGAGTCTAATCCTGCGCTTAACTTATCTAAACGTGTGCCCAGCACCACGCAAGCTGGGCTCAAGGCAGACGCATTAGGCAGTGGCCACCTGAATCGGAGCCTGCGTAGAATTGACGAGAAGTATGACTTCTTCGTTGAACGTTAAATCCGGTTAATCAAGAAATTGTCCTTCACCGTGATGAAATATTTAACACATTTTCTGCCGATTTAAACTCGCCATAATTTTAAACTGCGAATAAACATTGCCGCGGTAATTAGATTTACAATACTTTTTCAAGGACGTGACATTTTTTGGGACACTTCACTTACATTTATTTACATAAATCCAATAACATTGCACCCTGCCACGGTAGTTCGGAGGACAGATGTTTCACTGCCAAGATAATCATGCTTTTTTCTCGGTATTCATTCATTCACGTTAGGCCATCTTAATGTTATCCCGTGACTAAAACGTATTCATCACCGCTGTCCTGTGACGTTTTTCATGCACGGGAGTACAGATTAAAACAGCACTGAGTGACATGCATGAAATCTCACAGGGAGATGCGTTACTGTTTCTCACGTGCGCACACACCCGCGCCACGGTGGCGAGACGTTAACTACCTCGCCTGGTATGCCGGAGGTCGTCTGTTTGATCCTGACCCTGTGACACCTGCTGTATATTAGGAGTTTGTGGTATCTCTCTCCCCGTGGTCTCATGGATTGTTCTCCGGGTCCTCTGGTTTTTTCCCTGCACATTTAGAAACATGCATTTACAGTATTTGGCTGCTATAAATTTACACGTGGTAAGGCACTTTGTTGACCTGTCATTTGAGGCCAGGTCGCTTCCGAAAAAGAGCTACATAGCTCAGTGGGCCTTACCTGGTGTAAATAAAAAAAGTAAAACACATCTTCGAAGCACGGCGGTGTTACGTTTCCATTGAGCGCTTATGTAACGCGACGATACGAGCGATCTGCAACAATATATATTTGAATCAATTCAGTCTTATTATCCTGCTTTTATCTGGATTCCTTAGAAGCCCTGTCCGGCATGCGGAAACGTTGCTGGAAGGTATTCAAAGTGCACAGTCGGCCGTTGTTTAAATTTGGCGACGCAATACAGCCCAGGCGATTTGAGCACGGGGGAATTTTGCACCCCGAGTAAAAAATCACAGCGCCAGTGACAGCAGGCTCGTTGCAACGAAGCCTTAAACAGACGCGAGTGGCACGCCACGCGAGCGTGTCGTTACCCGTTATAAGCAGACCCCCAAACGTGGTTTTACTGCGGCGTTGTGGCCTTCCTGCGTGAATGATTCATTAAAGAGTGCCGTGCTTCAGAAGTACACAAAACACCACGGTGCTTAGCGGTGGCTGTGGCGGTGCTCTTTGATTGGCGAAGAGCTGCGTCTGACGTGATTTCTGCACAGGCACACGCCTTTCGGTCGCTCGACTGTGACGCGACCCAGTGGCTCAAGACTTCTCTGATGGTTGTGCGAGCACACCCCCCCCCCTCCTAAATTATAACTCTTGTCTCGAGATGCGATTGTATTTACACGTGATGTCAGTTTAAAATTCCTGTCGTCTGCCACTGAGCATGTGCAATTTGGCGTCGACAGGGTAACAATCATTTACCAAGTGCATTTTCTATAAATACGCTGTAAAAGTCGTGGATCTTGGCTGTCTGAGCATTACCCTCCTTTATATATAAAAGAAAAGCAAAAAAAATCGCCGAGTGCACAACGGCGGAAATCTTCTCTTGTGTTCGCTGGCGGCGGGGGTGGGTGGGGGTGGGGGAGGGTGGCGGCAGCATCCGCATTGCCGCCGTAGCCGCTCGGCAAAGCCCTTCTCGCGGTTCTTGCCTCTGATGGTGGACTGAGCTTGGGGCTGTAACGGTTGGGAGCTTTGCTGCGGCCGAGCTGTCTGCTGGTGGAGCCGGGGGGCGCGCTGGAAGGAACTCCGCCCCCCTCCGCTCCTACTCGTCGATGAATGTCGCGCTGTGCATTTGACAGTAACTGCTGCTCTATTAGGCCGTCTGTAACTGTGGGCATCCGATATGCAGGTTTTTACCCACAAGTAATTGTTTTAAAGTACCGGTGTGTACGTGTGTATGTAGATTGTAAACTGCTCTCGAAATGCGAGATCAAAACCAAAAAATTTGAACTCTGTCATCCAGTTGGATGTTCAAAAGTCCGTCTCTTACATGTTTTGAGGTGGGTAAAACTGTTGTTGGATGCCCCGTGTGCGCATACGGAGGCCCGTGCAGGCTGTGCGCTAATCTCGCCGTGACGTGTTTGACCCTGCTCTCCGTCTCTTCCTCCAGTCAGTGGTAGAGCAGGAAGTGGACTGGGACAGCTATCTGTCTGTAAGGCCCATAGGTAATCTCTCTCTCTCTCCCCGTGTCTCCCGTCATTCCCTCCCTCCCCCCGTCCGCCTCCATCATGCGGTGGAGGAGGTAGCCCTGGAGCATTGCCGTGCTTGACCAAAGCGGCCGCGCCACTTAGCACGACCGTGACGAATGCCCAGCCTCTGCGACGGCTCGTTCGTTGAGGAATCTGGACACCATTGCCCCTTCCGACTGCAGTTCCGCAGTCATTAGTTGCCGACGCTGCGAAGGCAATGCGGTGCCATCACTCGCCCTCCCCATTGTCACCTCTGCAAATCGTCACCTCTTGATGCCTTAGATCGAGACGCCAAAGCGCCGTTTATGAACGCCAGCGTCGTTTTGGCGCAGTCGCTCAAAACCACCGCACGCATCGTCACAGCCTCGGTCGTGGTTACCGGCGCCAACCCCCCCCCATCGTCGTTTCACCGCAGATGGTCCCGAAGCCATGCACTGTTTGTCACGGGCCATTTAAGCCGCTCCATTTGGGCTTTCCTTGCCCAATCTGCATTTGTTCCTCCCACCACCTCCACCCCGTGATGGAGTTGCTGAAACAAGTGGAGAGTCTGCATTGCATGCCTCTGTCGGGATGTGCTTATATTAACGCGCCTCGTATGTGTACTCATATGCATTCCTACTGCTGCTCTGCTGGCCGGAACATTCAGTTGTGTTCAATCAAAAGCCCGATTTGCGTAACTATGCATAAAGCCCGTAAGGTGTCGCGTATGGCTATGTTTGGCGTTTAAAAGTAACAAAAATTATCCACCGATTACGAGCGACTGAAATGTACATCTCAGCAGAGCAAGCATGAGGCCTGCCCACCGCATTCCTTTGCAAGTTCCACTTCATTTCATTTTCTCAAACTCGGCATCTTCATTTCTTCTTCTCTGCATGCAAAAAACGCTGCTGCGCTTGTTACGCACTTCTTGGGGGCCCGAGGCGACGTTCGTCTCGAAAGATGATAATCTTCCCAAAGTGCGCAACGGGAGTTTGCATGACCACTCGCTCGCTTCGGTTGAGCAGGCACCCCTGACTTAGCATTGGCCAAGTCCAAACAAAAAGGCCGCCCTTGCACTTGTCCTGGAAACATGGATAACTTGCACAAGTGCTGTGGAACCATATGACTGCATTTTTACGTGACCACGACCACTTGGCGGATATTGTCTTTCGCCGCAGGCACTTCTATTACATCCAACGCAAATGTTGCGTTGTTCAGCTTAAAAGTTGCCGAAGAAAATTATCTTTTGCACGCGGTTTTGTTTTGTTGTTGCTCATCAATACGAGGTAATGGCAATGCATCTCATTGAAGCAGTGGTTAGGAGACTTTGTGAAGCCGGACTTCACCCAAACACGTGTGGGTGCTTAAATGAACACGAGCGGGTCTGTGGGGACCTGGTAACCCACACCCCACAGGACCCAGTGCTAAAACACGTGCTGCATTAACTATAGGAGCAATTCAATTCTTGGGTAGACTTCAATGAGTGCCCACCTCTCTCCTTCTCTCTTCACCCAACCTACCCCGATCACTGTGCGTCTACTGAAATGTGTGGACCCTCGCTCGCTCGTTTGCTCGCTCGCGCGCCGCTCACCGCCGCTCACCGCCGCTCACTGTCTCTTGGTGTGTCACCTTTCCGCAGAGCCTAAAGGAAGGCCTGACTGTTCAGGAACGGATGAAGCTTTTTGAGCACACGGAAGCGAAGGAGTTCTGAGCGGCGTCACTTTGCATGCACACGTCTGTATATACTCGTTTTCACCCCTTCTCCTCCTCACTACCCCCAACCCCGGCGCACGCAGATCTGTGGGGCATAAACCACGAGGATCACCGTGCACCGCCGACCCCCCTCCCCGCCCATCGTCTTATGCATAGTTAGCCGACAGACAGACCAGCAATATAGAGTGCTGCATTATAAAAGTCTGAATCTTCTTAAAACGCGCTGTGGCCGAAGCATTAGCTCCGTGGTTTGTAATGCACGAAGCAAGCGTTGTACGCTCTCACTTGGCTGTAAATGCGATGCGCATGCAACCCCGGTACCCGCCTGCACTTGGTGAGATTTTTTTATTTCTTTAGGAGGTACCCCCTTGACCCTTAACCCCAACCTCCCTCTGCTACATTTAGTGAGATCGTGAGCCCCGTTAAGACGTCATATAATGCAGAGAGCGACACTGTGAAATGGTACTACGTGTGTATATATACGTTGCTTTAGAGAGATTAGTTAGGAGTACGGTGGGGAAGTGGCTGCTGCGTTAGGCGTATGGATGAGGGTTAGCCGTGTGTCGTTACGCGTACCGTGAGTGTTCGTGTTTAAAAAAAAGTTCCACCCCCCCCGCCCCCCAATTTTATTACTTCGTATGGCAGCAACCCCCCCCCCCCCAACTCACTTCACACTACAGAGACGAGACTTAGGTAATGGTCGCACGAGAAGAGCTACTGAGCTGTAACGCTTGAGATGCACCCTTTTCCCTGTTCACACCGTATTTATTGACCAATTGTGTAACCCATTTTTTTTGTAAGGTCACTGAAAATCCCACCGACTGGACGTCGCCCGTTTGACGTTGCTTTCCCTTCGGGTGCGACCACACTGTTGATCGGCGGAAACTTAATTTGGATAAAAATAAGCTCGCCTCGCTCCGACGTGAAAGCAAATCACCGAGGTTCGATCTGTAAAACAAGCGGTTCTGGTGGGTTTTTTTTTTCACTGACCCTACCCATTTTTAGGCTCTTCACACTAGAGAATCCAACCAGTTATTTGTAAATACAAATAACCATTAAAGTATTTTTGCACCTACAGTTGGCTACATTTCGTTCTTGTTGCACTTGTTGCCGGCAAGCGGGCTGGCTGAACGCGCACACAAGGAACGCTTGTGTATATATGTTGGGGTTGGTGATGTGGCCAGCTACAGTGGCTGACAGTTTGAATCCATTTGCCGCACCCTGGTTATCACCGCAGGTGATGTAACAACCATAAAAGTGCGACGTGCCGTCTGCTTCACAGTGGGCGTTGAGAGTATTTTAAATGAGTGGGATGTGGATGTTACGCATAGCAATCGTCCCCCCCGCCCTCCCCCCTACTGCGACCACCTGACAAGAACCCTCCGAAGAGTCATCAGTCTTGGTGAGGATTTCCTGGGTGGACTAGCGCAATAGGAATTAAATTCAATGTAAAGAGCTCTTTGCACATTGCTCGATGTACATTCCTCAAATATTGCAACAACAAATGTCGGGCCAAAGTAATAACCCAGTTGTGCCCAGCGTTGTGTGGTGTTTTCGTTGATGTCCGCAAACCAAAGGGGCAGCCGGAGCAAGGTGGGCAGCGTCCACGCGACACTGCATGCTCGGCGCGCTGTAAGAGGCGGGCGACCGTGCGGGCGAGACCCTCCGCTGCTCCCTCAATTCGCTCCAGCAAGCAGCGTCCAACGGCAGGTGCTGCTCCCCCCAGCGTCTCCCCCCGCTGCCCGCACGGCTTCCTACGCGAGCGAGCCCTCGCCAACTTAGTGCCCGGTCACGACGCTTTAAGCGGCGGTGGCTGTTTCCAGTCGATTACCGTTTTTCAAGTTGATTGCAGCACATCTGGTTCAGTGTTGAAGAGGGGGCAGACGAATTTATTTTGCTTGCTTGAACAGGAAAAATAATACAGCCCCACTCGTGGACGCCGCAAAGTGCTGTAGGAGTCTGTTTTTTTTTAATATTTACATTTCTGGAGGTAAATAAATCGGGGAGGGGCTGTCCGCGAGGCAATCGCGATGTAAAACAGCAAAAAGATGAAGGAAAAAAAAAACACGTTACAGAATTATGACCGTCACTTTATTTTAATACGTGTTTAAAAATCTGTCAAACACTTCATTCCAAAAGGCATGTATTTTAGTAACCTACTTGATGTCCAGCATATGACTTTTTGAGGGGGGGGGGATCTCAATTGGCGAGGTTGCATGACAGGCAACCTGTAATTGGGACATTTGGAGAGCCACAACACAAGTTATAACCACACTCCAAGAACTCCCCTCAGTGGTCTGTCATCACCACAATTAAAGGGGTTCGTTTATCATTTTTTTAAAGACTGATGTTGCACGTGCCAGCACAAAACAAGTGTTCATTAGCAGAACCTAAAACAGGACTTCTGCGTCTTATCACGTGTCAAATGTAAAATATGGGGGGGGGGGTCCACTTAAGTGCGCTGCCCAGATTGCTGCAATTCACCCTTTTTACATTTTTGTTTACATAAATGTTAACAAAAAGCGGCGGCGTTTTTTTCCCCCATGGCTTTCACACCGAGATGAAGATTGGCTGATTCGAGTTTCAATTCTCGGAAAAACCGTTAATTCCCCACTCTTGGGACTGGAAGTCGGGGGACAGGGGACAGCATGGGCTGGGGGGAGGGGGTGAAAGAGACATTGGGTTCAGACGAACACTTCTCTCCAAGGGAGTCATATACCAACAAGTGCCCCCACCAGGTCTAACGTGCCATTGTTGAACGTTGCCAACACGCGGTCGAGCACACTTGTGAAACGCCAAGAGTCGCGACGCGTTAGTGTCAAGGGCGCCCACTGGCAAGGTGGCATGACATTCACCATCATATTTGCAGAAAGTACTGTACCTCATTTTACACTTTTTTTTCCCCTCAATTTATCAGCCTGCACATGAATTGACACTTGAAAGAAGTTGTAATCGTAACAATTGGAGGAAACCATACGAGTGGGAGCTGCACCAAATAGTACGTATATTTTATAATAAATTTACCGTGAAATGGCAATATAATTGGCAGTTACGATATTTGAAAACAAATCTCAGTGCATACTTTGAATATGCTGTTCTCAACTCAGGACAACTTTTTCCACATTACACATTTATATCCAGTACTGTGTGTATATACATATGCACAATAGTATAATTTTAAACCTGACACTTGGACTTGTAAATGGCACCATAGTCCAGCAGCCGCTTAACCCGCCTGTTTACAAACCCAACATGACACACCCCAGGTATTGTAAGCCACACACACGTATGCTTTTTATGGGTTTCGAAACAAGTTAACCTGGGGGACATTGAATAACCTCCACAAGATTTGAGTAGGGTGTGTTGCTGGCTCGAATGTAATTTTTTCCCTTTTGGTGGAGGGGGTGTAGGGAACTTCCCAGAGGCGCAGTCGAGTCAAACGCGAAGGCATCGTGTCGGATTTGACGGGGACGTGCAAGCGTACACCTGGCATCACTCCATGCTCGTACGATTAGTGATCCTGTTGAGCAACTGCAGGTTACAAGCAGCTTTAATACGACAATTATTCAACACTTAATGCTGAAGTTAAAACTTCAGTCAATCGCAGTACTGTAGGGTAGAGCAGATTTTACGATTTTTAAGAACAAAAAGCTTCCTTCTACAAACTTAAACGTTTGTGTTTTTTTTTTCCAACGAAGTGTCCTTGTTAATAATTCACAGCCCAGAGGAACGCAGCATCATATCTGCCTTTAAAAATCGTGACATGCAGGTTGTCCATTCAAAAGCCAAGTTTACACTTGCGTTCACGGACTTCATTATATCACCTGGGGGGGAAAGTGCATTCCATCTACGCGCGTGCGCACCACGAGCACGAAAAATGACCCCTCTTCCTTATACATTTAAATCCCCGAAATGGGGAAAAAAAAACTACAAAACAAGGCATCAACACAAGTATCTTCAAAGTATGCTTTAGTTGAGAAAAAAAATATGTACAAACTGTCGCTGCCAATGCGGTGAGGCGTATCGCGTCACGTTCAAGAGCAATGGGTGGTGTTCCCAGGGCATGGGTTGGCGACTGGGGTTGTCCCGCAAGGTATGCAGGAGCTGCCACAACAATGAATTGAATCGCAAGCTCCACGCATGACCAATTCAGGGGCGTGCCTCCTTGGTGTAATCCATGATGCGAATTCAAAGAGCGCCGGATGTTTGCGATCGGGACTAGTACGGTACAACCGTGTCTCACAGATAATTTACTTTAAAAAAAAAAATATGCTAAAAAAATGACAGACTTTGCAGACATAAGGAGCTGATGGTGGTGCAACAGCAGCAGCAGCGTGCTTAGCTCGTATTTTCCTCCGCTATGCATGCGACTGCTCAGGGGGTAGGCAGCAGCAGCAGCAGCAGCTGCAGGGGTCCACATTGAAATGACGTGGTGGCGGTGCAAGAGGTCTCCGTTGGACATGCAGCTCGCGAGCACTGGCAAGGGGAGGCGCGTGGGCCAGGAGCCTTGTCAATCAGTGCGGGGAGTGGGGGGCAACACTTCACCCCCCACCCACGTGTGCCGCAGAAGCGTCACTCGTACTCCAGGATCTGCTTGTGGTAAAACAGCAGGTAGCTGGGAACACAGTCACAGGTACAAAGTGCATGTCATTCATTGCCATCCTCAGCTGTTGGGTCAATCCAATGCTAAATTAAGATCTCTCCAAACCACCACCATCTGTGTCCGTGTACTGTATCACTCATGAGTCGATTAATGCAGCAGGCAGAACGGTGCCCCTAAGTAGCGGTGTACCCTCAGTTACGTTCCGCAACTTCACTGTGTGCGTGCATGCCCACAGTATCTCGCCAAACGCTATTGTAACATTATTCATGGCGACATTTTCGCTTAACGCGGCACTTTCCAGGAACGCCGTAAACGAGAACTACCCGTACCCGAGTTCGTTTTCATTGAAAGGTTCAATGAAACGTACAATCTGTTACCTCTTCGGCCACAGTGGGTACCGGCAGCAACATCTCCATTGAGGTCCACACACATCGGTGTGTTTTGCTGCAAATGCAAGCACATGGCCTAATCTTTTTTTGAATATTGTCGCCGCACCTTTACCTTCTACTAAAGCAGACGGCACACATTTTTGGTTCATTTTACACCCGCCGCATTAACCAAAGACGACCACGCGCCAGGCTCGAATAGCGAACCTCTGCAACAAGCGGCGAAGGTGCCACACACAGTTCCGCCAAGTGACCGCCCTAGAACGCTTGACGCACGTCCGACCCGTCCCTTCGCTCACCCCTCACTGTCGAGCACATCGGTGACGCTGGCGCGCGTTATGACTGCGTCGTCGCATTTGAACCACTGGTCGCGGTGCAGACGGATGAAGCTGGTGTAGTGGCCGCTCTCCAACGTGCCCTGGTGGTTTACCACCGCAAACAGAGAGTACCTGCACGCCGGGCAAAAACAGCCAACACCGCTGGCTCAGAGGCGCGTGCCTGCCAACAACCTCCAGTGTCTACCCATTTCCCCGGAGTGTGAGCTTCATCGGACTTAAAAAGTGTAGGGATATGAATAAAGTGGTGAAACTGGTATACAACAAGCAGAACTTCGTTCAAATCCATCTTCTCTGCTGAGCGGACCGATGGGGCATGAAGAGTTCTTTGGACAATGGAGCAGTTTACAAGACTTGCACACACATCCCTCCCCCTCCAGCCCGATTTGGCTTCACACAATAAAACATGTTGGACATCTGTTTTGTATCATTGTCAATTTCCTGGCATCACACCCACGTTTGTTTTTACTCCCAAGTTCTCTCTACTCCCAGCTGCCAGTAAAACCTCTCTAAGCCGGACTAATTCGATGAGAGATTTTCTGGTTTGCCGTTGTATATGTATTTAATTATTTCGGATTGCCTTTTTGGCTTACTCTGAAACCTGGCTTCGGAAGTTTTGCTGTACATTGTACACGTCAAGTTTCAACTGTTGTGATATTCAGATTTTAAGATGTACTTTACTTCCCATGTAATTTAGGCATACAGAAAAAATTAAGTATGCACTTCTGTGCAACAGAATATAATTCAAATGGCTAGTAAGGCACTTGGGGCCGAGTCCTGTGTCTGCAAGACAATGATAGTTGAACATACCGTTACCATAAACCGATTTGCTCACGTGCTCCCCCAGATTCTAAGGCTCTCCGGAAAGTATCAACGCACCCCAATTTGTGACTGGTGTCAATTGAGTTGTTACAACCTGGTGACGCGCACACACACACCTACTACATGAAAAGATACCACCCCCCCCCAAACTTTTACTTTAAAATACAAGGGGGGGGGAAAGTACATCTCATTATCTGGAGAATACTGTATAGCCTGTACAATACAGGAGGATCCACTGTGAATATCACGAGAAGTAAGAAAGAGCTCAACTAAAATTATGCAACTGAACGTGGCAAAGGTTTAACTTAAAAAAACAAATCTCCCAATTCCATCACAGGAATTCTGACATGGCTCGGACATTTCATTATCACGGCAAATTGGAAACTTATTTTCAAACTGCAGATGGCGTGACAGATTTTGCAGATTATGGTGAAACTGAAATAGCCCAAAATATCTTCTTTAAGAAGGAAACATGGTTTAGTTTAATATGTGCCATAGAACAACACGATCCTGCAAGTCGGATGCCAAGGCCTTGATACTGGTCATAACAAGGGTTGCCACAATTATCAATTGTCATGATATGAACCTTATGGCAGGACCCCGGGGTCCCATAACCCCCCCCCCCCCCGGCTCTCGCATAAACCGCGTTGCGACGTCATTTTGTGTCTGTTGAAGGCGAACGATACGGCACTCTATTCCTCTCGACGAGCTGTACACGATGCGCTCATCAAAGTTTGGAAGTTTTGTTTATGACTACGGCAATTTTGGCAACGACGGGTGCTTGGTGAAGGACGAGAGGATTGATTTCTGGTGGGTCGCGGCGTTTATGTGCACGGTAAAGTTCATATGCTAAATATCTTTATGTGCACGGTAAAGTTAATATGCTAAATATATTTACGTGCACGGTAAAGTTCTGATGCTAAATATCAACTTGTAGCTATTGTCAGTTTGCCGTGACTTTGTCATTTCATATTTCCGTTGTTTTTGTGCTTCGCAATACTTCTTCGTATGAGTGAACATTTAAACATTCTTCAAGTGCAGTTCACTCGGTTATAAGCCCTCAAGTCGTTCTCTATTACAACCCGTAACGCAAATAACGCAAGTGGCTAATGGCGACACTAAAACTATACATGCCAACATCTTGACTCAATGCAAGTGCCATGGCGTCAGTTACTCTTGAAAACATGATAGCTGTTGAACATTTAACACGGTTGGCCACGTGCGGTGCGAAATAAGTCCAACATACGTACATTTGAGACATCCGAGTTTGCTATTTGATTAACATCTCGCCAAACGAGCAACGACAAAATCACGACCTAAAAATACTTTGCAAAGTGGAATGATGAGATTATTGCAGATGTTGTGCACGATATGAACGCAGCATTGCCTGGTTACTGCAAGCGTATACGCACTTGTTTTCATTGGTGCTCTCTCCCGTTTGGTACTGGCCGTTCACTCTGCTGTCCTTGCTGGAATTGTACAAAACACACGGCACGATCAATACTACGAGCGTGGCTCTACATGCGTGGTCATCACAAGAGGCTGTGCAAGTGGACTCAAACCAAAACCCAGATGGGCACGGGCACAACGTCTCCGCAAGTATACACGCATGCCGAACAACCGAACGTAGCGCTCAAGCGGGTATTCACGCACCCTGCGAGTGTGTGCATACAATGCACAAGCAGCCACATGACCCAACAAAAATGTACATTTACTTTTAAGAACAGCTGTTATAGTAATTCAAGTCCAGTACATCCAGTGCCATTCAATGGATTTCCACTGGTGCGGTGTGCTCTGGTGAGATGAACGTTTCTGACAAGTTGCCTGCCGGCACCTCCCCGTCAGGACACATGCAGTCAACGTGGAGGGTTATGCAATGAGGAGTGCGATTTGTCTGACGGCACAGAGTGCGGCGCTGCGGGGAAGGCCTGGTCAGCCAATGCCCCTCCCCCCGTTGCGCTGTACAATTCATCGTACCCCACTCCTTACAAATCGGTCGCAATCTATTAAAATTAAACTTTTTATTTTACTCGGTAACGCCTACTGAGCTATATAGGTCTTTTGCAGAAGCGACCTGGCCACAAATGATAGGTCAACAAAGTGGCTTATCACGTGGAAATGTATAGCAGCCAAATACTCTAAACGCATGTTTCTAAATGTGGATGGAAACACTGGAAGACCCGGAGAAAAATCCACGTGGCCACAGGGAGAACATACAAACGTCAAATACGCAGGCATCATCAGGGTCGGGATCGAACCCACAACCTCCTGTATACCAGGCGAGGTAGGTAACATCTCGCCACCGTGGCATCCAATCAAGTTTGTGAAGGCACAGGAGGAGAGACGAAGGACCTGGAAGCCATGAAGGGCGTCATGTCGAGCTCCAGCGGGAAGGACACGTAGGTGGAGATTTTCCTCCGCAGCCGGGCAGAGTGCTCGAACCTCTGCCAGTCCGCAGGCCAACGGCGACAACACAGAGGCACGGGGAGCAGACGACACATGCTCCGGTCAGTAGAGATACACACAGGTGCATTATATGTACGTTTAACTTCTTTCGCACCGTACGTGGTCAACCGTGGCTAAGCGGACCGGGTGCCTCACAACTTGAGTTATGACAAACGACATTCCTCAGCACTCCAGCCAAAATAAGATGGGTAACGAAAATAATACTCAGGGCTATAATGAGTTGAGGCTAACATAAAAGCCATGCAAAGCACTGCAGATGCAGCATGAAACCTAACTACAATATTCTGCAGTAATCAATTCACGGTTATTGTACCACGGACGCGTCAATATATTTTTTATGCAAGTTCATTCTGCGTTGCAAAGCCACATTATTACTACTACCCCAAAAGCAAAAGAGTGCAACAAATTATTTAAAATTTCATCAAGGGGGCGTCAGCTCCTGAAGTTTAGCTGTATCGCTTGAAACGTAATTGTTCCAGGGCAGTCTAATGTTAGCATATTCTAAAGGCAAAGTAGAAAATTATGATGAGAGTTAGACATTTGACAAGTGACGTGCAGGCTCTTAAGGCTGTAAATTTCGAGAGTAAATGAGAAAGTTCGTTTAAAGTCATCATGCTCAGCAAGATTAGTAACCCTGAATGCACAGTGCCAAAAATAAGGTTATCAAGGCTAGCCAAAACACTGCCGTCTGCATATGAAATGTGAAATAACAGGGTCAAGCGTGTCGGCACAATTACTGTCTGCAAAGTCATTCAGGGCCAAAAATAACTGGATAATTAAGTAACGTTTATAGATGACGTCCGCTGAAAAGAGGTCGCCTGTATGTTTTACTGGTTCGAGTGTGTGTATGCATGTAACCGTAAAACGAAAAAAATGACCAAATGACTTCCAAACTTCCAGCGCACTTTCCTACCAACGTGGAGACGCGTTTTTTTGTTCTTGTTTTGTTTACGAGTGGTCGGGAAAACTGCAAGGACGGTCAAGTGCACTGCAATGTAAACGCGATTTCGACAAATAATCACCGCTTCCCTCTCTGCCCCGCTAGCCACTTTGCATTGTTGGCGAACAAAAGGGTCGTGTGAAAAGCTTTTCAAGTCGTGCTACATCTCAATAGACTTGTTCCAACTCGTTTTCATCGTGAGTTCATCTCTGTGCATCTCATAAACATAATGAGTGATGTTCGCACACACAGTGTTTCAAATGCAGCTTAAGGCCCACCCACACAAGGATTTATATCATGGTTGAATGGCCAAAAGGCTCGGAAAGTGTTCGGAGGGAAATGTGTACTGGTACATGCAAACAGAGTTAGCGTTAGGATAAGAAAATGGATTGAGGAGGATTAAACGAATGTACGGTAATGTCTAGGATTAAGGGGCTTCAGTTAAGGATCGATATAAGGGTGCATGGTTAAAAGCCAAGGAGCCTTGGGCAAAGGAAAAGAGGTGCACCATCAATTTGAGATGTTTCACTTGGCAGTAGCACCAGGTTGTGTTGTTATGCCTACCAGCAGACACCCGATCTTACAACGAGCGGACATAAGCAGCTACGAGCAACGTCTTAACTGGGGCGCCTTCCCTTGTGGTGGCAGGGGGGGAGATACCTTGAGGTGAAAGCAGGCGACAATAGGCAGCTTCCGCATGGTGAGCTGCTTGGTGGACTCCTGGTAACTATGGCAGCCGTTGCATTTTATCTTGGCACTGCTGCCAAGATGCTCCGGCCGGGTGAACCTGTGGACGACGTCAACTGATGAAGGCCGTGTCTCTATATGAAGAATAAGAATACGTTTTACCCTTTCTGGCAATAAAACAGGTGGTTAAGATGTTGACACACCAAATAGATATATCTTTGCAAGGAACCAATTCTGCATTAACCACACACATGGCAAAAGATACAAACAACCATGCTCTGATAATTATATATGCAGTCTTTGAAACCGATTGGCCTCCACGAGAGACAGCCTTTTCTATGGCCTTCTATGACCAGTGTCAGACCAGAGAACGTCTCTATGTAGGCTGCTCAAGGGAGGCCCTGACATCCCTTGGGGCAGTCCACTCGGACCCTTGTATCTTCTGGAATATCACAGCCGTGCAAGCGAGAATCCCTCGCAGTACGGGTGGTTTTTCACTGGCCAATTGGGGTGTCGAGCCACAACCAAACGGTGAAACTCTGGCCTAAATCTGGCTTGGGGCCAAGCTGGGTCAAAAGGTCAGGGTTAATCAACTCGTTCAGTGTGTGCGAAATCGGCGGCACGGCTCGGGTTCAGCAGTGGAAAAACATCCAGGTGCCTCTTGAGCCGCTCCAGACCGCCTTGGCTCAGCCCTGGCATGGCCCGGCTGTACAATGGTAAAGAGGAAACTGTGTACACACGCAGGCAAGCTGTGTGCGTGTGAACTTGCACGTCTGGAGTGGTAGCGCAGCAGTGACAACACTACGAACCCGACGCCGCGGGTTCGATTCCCACTCAAAGGAGTAGATGGTGTGGTGTGTTAACATCGCCACCCGGGAGACCAAGGCGGCCGGGTGCGGTGCTGGCCACCCACCCCCTCGTGTGCCGTGCACTTGCCCTAACAATCTGTTAAGACTACACGGTAGGGGGTGGGGGATGGGATCATTGTTTGTCTTTGCACTTATTTCGTGCCTGCGCAAGCAGTCGTTGAGGGTGGTCGGCCCCGCAGGGATGAGGGGGCCCCCTCCGTTGGGTATTCCGCTCTCAGCTGTGGGGCTGAGCGGCCAGAAAGGTGAAGAGGAGCCCGGGAGGTCAAGGGAGATGTCCCAGAAGGGGTCTATGGTGGTGGACACGCCCCTGCACACACGCGCGCAAACGCACGCAAACATCCTCCCATTAGTACGATCAAACCACAGCGGTGAATTGACACTTTGGTGCACGGATAAGAATTGATTGGCACTTTGGTAAATGGAAAGTCATTTGAAAAATTAACAAAAGCAAGATGAATATCATCCGAACGTAACGCTAATGTGACGTTATAAGAATACATTTGTATGCAGGAAAGCTGAAGTCTCAAAAGTGATTTTTAAGGAGGGTCTCCTGCATGGGAAGATTTTTGACAATTCCCTTTGAAGGAGCGCATTTGCAAGTCGAAGGAAACGGAGTGCTTGGAGGAAAACCGCCGCACAGAAGATGCAACAAACGCTCAAAGCGCCACACAGATGGATTCACAAATCCATTTGGCCTCGCAAATACTTTCCTCCAAAGTGCTGTATTTACACGTGTGCACCAACACACCCATCAATCGAACCTTATGGCGGGACCCCGGGGTCCCATAAGCCCCCAGCTCTCGCAAAAACTGCATTGCGACGTCATTTTATGTCTGTTGAAGGCGAACGAGACGGCAATCTATTCCTCTCGACGAGCTCTACACGATGCGCTAATCAAAGTTTGGAAGTTTTGTTCATGACTACGGCAATTTTGGCAACGACGGGTGCTTGGTGAAGAACGAGAGGATTGATTTATGGTGGGTCGCGGCGTTGATGTGCACGGTGGGACGGAGTCGCCAAAAATAAATAAATTACGATTTTGAATTCCGTTTATTTGGGGCGCCGGGGTCCCGCCATAAGGTTCAATTGTGGATACCGTATTTAGATGTTAAAGAATGTTAAGAAAATTGTGTCGCTTAATTACAACCCTCCATGAAAGCGCACAAATGTAATATTACATAGACGGTGTATAGGTGGTTTTAATTGTCTTATAACCCCCCCAATTCAATGATCCCTATTTTTTCCTTTGAATATTAATGTCTGTTTTAAATAAACCTTACTTAAAATTATGTAAACCTTAAGAGAATTAAATGGGGGGGGGGGACACAAGACAACTGGACCACCCTGTACAAAGTACATATGCAGTGAGGGTAACAAGGGTTCATGGTCCTCACTCACTGGCACACTTGACAGGTGACGTCAGACTGCAGGCCACCAGTGAAGATTTGGTCAATGATGCAGTTGCAGTGGTTGGGGTTGTTTGACCTCTTCCCATTGGCATCACCTTGAGAGACAGACGCAGCGCGAGCTACAATTTAAACAGCTGTTACCTATGCAAGGAAAAAACGGCCAGCAAACCCCAGAATGCAGTGTCATTGAAAGGTCAAATTCCATAATTGTATGTATATTTAACTTCATTCGCACTGTACATAACCAACTGTGCTAATCGGACTGAGTAGCACACGTTTCATTACATGTCGAACTTCTTTCACACCGTACATTGCCAACCGTGCAAAATCGCGAGTACAACAGTTCACTTCCAACACTGACACCGAGCAATCGGTACGAGACAAAACGGCGGGTACCCTTGCTTGCACTACCAACGCCCCCGCGCCCAAGCGGCACGCGACCCTGCCCCCCCCCCCCCCCAACCCGCGCCGCCGCCACGCACCCTTGCAGTGTCGATGCAGCACGTCGAGCGCGGCGATGAGGAACTCGTGCGCGTCCTGCTGCTCGTACCCGGCGAGGTGGCGTGCGTGCGTCCACACGAGGTGCAGCAGCCGGTACGGAATGTGTGGCGATCGGAACCCCGAGTAGAACTGCAGGGGTGGACAGCGCGCACGGCACACGGGCCCCCACCCGCCCCCCAACGCCGCGTCGCGTGTCAGCAAAAGGACGGCTTCGGAGAACCCCAACAAAGCATCGGGGGAGGGTAAGCCCTCCGACGTGCTCCGAGTCGCTTCACGCGTTGTTCGGCGCGACGACGTCCGACGTTTTTGCTCCACGTCGCTGGGAGCTTCTTCGGGAATCGATCGGAGCTCAATTATGGTCGCTGAAGAAGCTCCCCGGCACGTGAGGCAAAAATGTCAAGACACCGTTTCTAAACAAGAGGCAGCACAGCCCAACAACAAATCGGGGGGGGGGGGGGGGCTGTACAGCACAACCGCGCCAACCCTACGCAAGCAGCAAAGCAATGGGGGGACGTTGCCTGCGTGGGGTTCGCGGCTGCGGTTTCTGGAGCGTGTCGCGCATCCGTACGGAGCGGGGGGTTACCGACCTCTTGGAACAGGCGACACATCTCGCACACGAGGCAGGCCTCGGGGCTGGGCATGCCGCAGCGGTGGCGATCCGACAGGAAAAAGTCTCGCAGCAGAGGCGTGTGCGTGAGCGCCTGCACGATGCAGTTCATGAAGCACGTGTTTCCCAGGTTCACCAGCCCACGCAAACCTGCGCGCGGGCACATGTGGGCACGCCGGCGTGAGCGGCACGCAGCCACCTGCGCTTCAACAGAGGTTTTTTTTTTTTCCCCCCCCCGCACGAGCCACGCGGTTGCACGGGTAAGTGCTCATTCCAGTGCACACACACACACACACACCGACGGTGCAGTTTGCTGATATTTTCCGCCGCTTGGGGTTCTGCTTGAGGAGTTCGAGCTCTCGGCGTGAGGGTTCCCAGCCAATGTAGCGATCTCCGAAGCCTGCAAGGGGAGAGGATCCGTGTCTCGAGCTTATCTGGACTTGACACAGAAATTATATGGCATCTACCCAAACCTTCAAATGTGCGGGCTGTGTGTGCGGGCTGTGTGTGCGCATTGGGTATTCCGCGTGTACCTTGCAGCCTCCACGCTCGCCGTTGTTCCTCCCGAGACACGAGCTCTAAGTCTCGGTCGTAAACGTAGTCCTGGCACAGCAGGCAGAACACCGTGCCGTGGTACAGATCCATCGCTGCACACTCGCACACATACACGTACACGCACATAAAACGGGTGCAGAGGGCACGCTGATCTCAAACAGCATTCGCGCACAAGTTACAAAAGTGACATCCAATCTTGTACCATGCAGTGCTGATGCAGCAATCCTTCCTAAATAGGTCTGCAATTCTACACAGAACCTGCACAGGCAAAACATTAAGATGTAACGGTTTCAACTGCAGGGAGGGAAAACTAGTCATGCTCCGGTCAAAGCTTCAGCACACTGGGGAAGCATGTTGTCTTACGCCGATGCCAAGAAATACAGAGCTAATATAAGCCACTGGAGGTTGAAGACTAGAAGCACCAGTGTCCTGCCTTAAGCACAAAACGTGGCATGGTGGACCTGCAGAGCGCCGAACCGCCACCACGGGTGGATGCCAACCGTGTGCTTACAGCAGGGCTACGGTTAACACGAGCAGTGTTGCGGCATCCACACAGGGGCTCCCGTTGTTTATTAGCGAAGGCTCTGTACAAACCGGCGCCCCTGATGCAACCGACATCAATCGAACTCAAGTGGGCAGACGTTCACTTGACCTCTGGTAAAGTGACGATGGGTGAAAGTTACTGTATTCAAAGTCATGTAAATAAAAGTATCTATTATAAGAATTTACAGCCCTTTGTCAATCCACTGTTGGATGAAGGCCTCCCTTGACATGTCAGTCACGGGGGGTTGTGTGATCATACTTCACCATGCTGGTAAGTGCAGGCGAGTGAAGGGAGGGCCCGGGGACCGGTCCCGTTATTACTTGCCACCGATGTTAGCCATGGCCAGAACTCAAGCTCAGCTCTCCGAGGTCAAAGTGAAGTGCGCGCACCACTTTCCCACCGCTCCTCGCCAAAACAACGTCTATATGATCTCAATAAACGATTGGCCTTTGAGGCTGTGGAGGGTCCCCAGCAGCAAACACCAGCAGGGGAGCGTCTCCAGTGGACCAATATATGGCAAATGCACTTCTGACAAATGTGGCCATGAGCAAAACCTTACAAGATTGGCCAAACACGGAGCCTTTTGCGACCAATATTATCCCTAATGGAGCTTTTTTTGGGTTAGATCGCGTAAATCTAGATGTGTCGCGAAACTCGTCACCACCTGACACAACCAATGAGTGTGCTTTGTCACGTAAACAAAACATGTCAATTAGTTACCAGTTCAACACAGCAGTGTGTTGGGGAGTAAATTTACATTTACAATTCGAGTACGACGTTTTGCCGGTAATCACAACCGGCCACGTCGGTCGACGGCCGGAAGATTATTCTTGGCAAACATGGAGCAAAACTCTCCGACACGATCCCACTTGGGGAGGACCTACTTGTGACGGCAGGGTACAAAACACCCCCGTCTCGTCGTGGCGCGCACAGTCTGCGCGCGTGGCGCAGGGCCATTGCGCCCCGAGACCGCCCGCGGTGCTCACACAGAGGGTGACGCTTGGCCTTCGCGTGCTCGTGGATGTGACGACGGGCGAAGCAGCCGAAGTAGATGCAGTGCAGGCAGGCGTGCAGGCGGCCAAAGTGGGCGCCGCACAAGTGGCACACGCACGAACGGGCCTGCAGGGCCGGGGGGAGGGGGGCGTCCGTCCACACGCACAAAGAGGAGACGCGCACGCGTTAGGGAAACCGGAGCTAAAACGCGCGCACGGCAGCCATACACGCGTGCGTACGCGCTCCTGTCCAGCCGTGCGTGTGCATACGCGAGTGTATTCGTGCGTTCCTTTATCGGCGTGTGTGTGTGTGCGTGTGCGCGCATCCACGCGCGTGCTTGCATCTCTCCTCGCGCTTGACCTTGCACAAGAGCCCATTGTTCGGCTCATCGTGCAACAGAATTTATCACAGCTCATTGGCGACACCTGTGCTCCTTTATTTAAACTTGATTACTCGGATATATGGACATATTGTCTGCTATACGCATAAGGAATGATTTTCGAAGTTCGTGCTGTTATCGCGTAGCCTCCATCTGGGGAGCAGTTATTATAATCGTTGGCGATTTGCGTGCCATTAATGAGTGACCATTTGCATGCGCTTACCCTTTGCGGGGTCCATAACCTGCATGTTTCCAATCACTCACACACCCTGACACGGTACAGCAGCATGCCACACGGAGCGTTTATAAATGGACTCTAAAGGAGCAGTAAATACTTCGCCTTTATTAATCAAATGCTGGATGAATGCCTCCCCCCACGCTGTGCCGGTCATAAGAGCTGTTTGACCGTACTTCACCAGGCTGGTTTGCCACGTCATAGCTGTACACAGGTAGCTGGATTCATAGCGCTGAGTGCTTAACCACTGCACCGCCCTTCCTACGATTTACCCCACCTAACGCCACATTCTCAATCCACCGATGTGCCCCACTGCTAGGCGAACACAGCCGACGGTGATTTAAACGGGGATGAAAGAGCATGTATACGCATCGTCTCTCATACTTTCTAACCCACGTCTGGTACCGGAAACGTATCATTGAATTCGAAAACACGGACGTCGACGGGTAGCCGTCGGTCTTCTGCTTCGTCGACGTGTCTCCTGTCCAACCTATATGGTCTTTTCCCCAAATATTCTGCACAAGCCACCGCTTCTGGTGTTGGCATTTGCCAAAATCTTGAGGAGTAGCATTGTGGTGCTGCAGGGCATCTCAGGAGATGGAGCCACGTGGCTTGCGTCTCCTGACAAGCACACATCAGTCGGTTGCGTAGAAGCTGTCAGTGCTAAAACCGTCCCATACTGGCATATACATTACAGCACTCCAGTCCTATCACAAAGTCATTAAAGGCGAATTAAATCCAGAGTTCTCCCGGTGCACTCACTGCACGTCCTGGTGGCAGTATGTTCCAGTATTGAAAGATGAGACTGCAATTGTTGTTGAATGCGACGAGTGGCCAAACTGACATGGTTTGCAGCCGGATTTGTTGCGCACATTTCACGTATTTATTATTGACGCTGTAACTTACCCGGAGCCTGTCGGTAACCACCTATGAATGAAAACCACAACATTGAACATGGCTACTGAAATATCTCGTTCAGTCGTAACACTCACCACCGTACTTGGCAAATCATTGGATGGTTAAAATAAATAAAAATCTATCGCAGAGACTAACGCGATTACGGATAGGTTGGGTGGTACAGCAGCTTCAATGCGGCGATGTCAAAAGCGTGAATATCGCAATGGAGTTATCGACCGACACAGTAATTGTGTGCGGCAGCAAGTACAAACCTCGCGAATCTCTATTTGGGTACGCGTTTAGCGCAACAGCGATATGCGGGCCAACTCAAATGATGCCGCAAAATACGACGCTGTCCGCTTCGACCACGGTGGCTCGCTCGTAGCGGAATCGTGAGCCGTGCGGCAAAAGCAGCGTCGAATTTGAAGCATAGCCAGGAGTAAGGCAGGCCCACTTGTGAGCCGATGTTAACGGAAGCTACAGCTGTTACTGCCTCTACGTATGCACGCGGACATCTGCGAAGCAGAGCTTCGTGGCTCATCGGGATTCCTCCAGCATAAATATTCTGATTCTGAATGACGGCAGCGATGTCATCGTCGGAATGACGCGAGGGACCGCTGAGGTTCGAGCGCAGGCCTTCGACAAGCTGTAGATCGGGGCGTTATGTATGCAGCAGCTACAACAACAACCATCACCACACCGCGTGTCATTATGCATACACGACTCTGTAATGCATGAGCTAGCTGTGTGCAAAGGTTCACCAATGAGCTCTTGATTAGTAACAGTGTGTCTGGGTCGGCCTGCAGGGGAGGACGCCTTCAAATCGAGCGGGGTGGGATCGATCGTGGCCGGTGACGATTATTATAGTTGTAGGGGCAAAACAAAAACCAACCCACGCCGACCAGACACTACTAATACAATATTCAAACGAGTACTACGATTGTGTATTATTCATGCACGGGTCTGCCTCCATCATAAGGATACGAGAGATGTTCTTCTGGCTTTCATCTCACAGAATTATTTATATGGACCAATGTCTCTTACCAGCAAGTCCCTCTGTTGGGGGGGGGGGGGGGGATATACACGTGCAATATGCCAGGGCAACAACATAGCCCATCACCACACACGAGGTGTCCCCGTTTATCGACAACCAATTAACAATTCCCCGTCCATCGCAATGGAGACACGGATGGCATAGCACGATGCTGGAAGTACAACGCTGTGCAGTGCTGTACTGTACCATGTTGTATAAGGGAGACGGATGGTTTTGGCGTATAACTACAAACATATGTTGTTTTACTGTCACGATTACCCCTAATCTGTCTTGCAATTTTCAGAGTAGTCCATAGCCGTCAACCCATACGGCTGACCCCGTATTATTGGACAGGGAAATTGAGTTTTCGGGTTCGTGCGGTATTACAGCCGTTTCACAATACGGACAAAACAAATAATTGTGCCTGTGTGTCTCCCTTGTGATGGGACTTTGTAGGATGAACGTTGAGATTTATAAGGGCACGTGGGTGACCAATAAGGCCTGAATTGGTTTGCAATAAGGTAGGGGGCACTGATAAGGTATGGAGTTACAGTATTGCCTAATCAATGATTAAAAACGTCGTGTACACAACGTTTATTTGCCTTTGGGCCAGTAGGTTTAGTTTTAAGTCTTGTTGTTATTTACCATTTACGCTAAACGACTTCATTAGCAAACAGGTGTGCTGGAGCAACACTGAACTCGGCATTCAATGGTTACGAGCATTGAAAAAGGCAAACACACAACCATGTCCCTAGTTAGGGCTTCACACATTCATTGACGATATGCGACTACATATATGGTTGCGGATGCATTTTTAAACGAAGGATCGTTTGTTTTAAATCTTCACTTTAAAAATAATGCAAACCCCGTTTTACTCAGACACCATTTACTTGGGAAAATAACCATAAACTCAACGCAAACCTTTAACTTAGTATTTGATAAGTGAACCCGTACAAAGTGGATACTTCTGCTCATTAACTCCATATTTTATACAAGTATTCCAGCATAAAGCACGTGTCAATATGTCCTGGCCCACAGATTCATTTTAAATGGCATCGTTTATTTATTTACACTCCCTATCGATTTCGCAAACCCCCTTTTTAACGCAAATAAACAGCACCGATCAAAGCAAAGCTAAGAAAAAAACCCCTAACCACTGAAAATGTAAACACCAGTGAGCTATCCCAGCCAATCCCACAACACACACACACAACCTGGCAGTGTGCAACCCAAAATATAAAAAAAATATCCCAAAGCAGTAACGATAATTCAGTGACAACATCGACACACACAAAAAAACCCCCACCAAACAACGAGCGGATTCTGACGCTTTAAACAAATCGAGGGCTTGCAAAGCAAAAGGGAATGATTTATAAGCCCACTGACTTAAATGTAGAACCAAGCAAAACGCATCCTTAGCGGCAAAATATCATGATCGCAACGCTGCACTCTTGTTTATACTGGAGGAATCCGATGAGCTATAAAGCTCTTTTTCCCCTACACAAACGTCAATCAAACGACAACCACCAACCACTTAACGGGCGAGGGTGGAAATTCACGCGCTTTATAAACGCAACACAGAGCTTACAACGCAATTCTAAAACCCTCATTATAAAACCCAAGCGATTATGTGCATCCACCATCCATCCAAATGTGGAACCAACACGGATAATCAGTAGAGCAGCAACAGCCCAAGCGAGTTAAATCAATCGCACTTGAGGCCTGCAATTAACGTAAAACCAACGAGGCCGCCCGCATCCTCAGTAGCAAAACAGCGATCAACAACCACCAATGGTGGTGTGGTGGTTGCTGGTGGTGGTGTTTGTTGGTGGTGCTGTTTGTTGGTGGTTGTTGGTGGTGCTGTTGGTGTAGTAATAGGTTTTTACCCTTTTAGCTGGCACAAAAACTGACACCTTTATTCAAGGCATCATGTTTGCAATAACCACAAAACAAGCAGTCAAAATGCAAACAAAAGAGACAACTCTGATAATAATAATATGCACTGTGCTGTAGGGGCTGTTGGTGGTTGTTGGTTTGTGGTGGTGTTGGTTGGTGGTGGTGTTGGTTGGTGTTGGTGGTTGTTGGTGGTGGTTCTGTTGGTGTTGTTGGTTTGTGGTGGTGGTTGGTGGTGGTGGGGGTTGTTTGTGGTGGTTGTTGGTGGTGGTTCTGTTTGTGGTTGTTGGTTTGTGGTGGTGGTGGTGTTGGTTGGTGTTGGTGGGGGTTGTTAGTGGCGGTCGTTGGTGGTGGCGGTTGTTGGTGTTTGCTGGTGTTTGTTTACTGGTGTTTGTTGGGTGGTTGTTTGTTGGGTGGTTGTTTGTTGGGTGGCGAGATTCACGCCGCTTTGTAAAAGCCACACGCGCGGCGGGCCGCAGATGTCCACCCACCCCACCCACCACCCCCAAATCAAAAAGCCCAGCGTGTGCACTGTAATAACAACACCACCACCACCACACCGGGGGGAGGTAGAGTGGGCGGCTGTGTAACACACACACACACGCGCACACACGCGCGTAAGCGATACGAACACCAACACCAACAACAACAATCACAACAATGTTAAACGAAAGCGTCGCGACAAGAACTCGCCTTCCGCCGCCTCGCGTCCACGGGCCCGCACCAGACGAACCACTGGTACAGCATGCGCACACTCTGCCGCCACGGCTCCTGCTTGAAGCTGCTCACGTGCGGGCAACCCGAGAAGCTCATCGTTACCAAGATTTGCTTCTTTTTTTTTCTCTCTTCTCTTGGTAATCTAAAAACCCCGGAAAATTGCGTTGTGCTGTGTTGTGGTGGGTTTTTTTTTAAAAAAAGGCTAAATTAAAATATAATAACAGAAAAATTTAAAAAAAAGCTCCTTCCCCGCAAGGCGCGCGCGCGCGCGGGGCGAATTCTCACCACTGAAGGCACCGCCACAAACCCCGCCCCCTTCCCCCCACAGTCGCTCTTTTACATTTCCCACACCGCATCGGCCTAAGCACCCCCCGCATGCCCCCCCCCCAACCCTTACAACCCCCACCCCCATTGGCCGCTCCGACCAATGGGAGCGGCGCATGGTGAGCATCGCGCGCCCGCGCTCGGCCAATGGGTTGCGCGCGTGCGCTCCTGCCTTATGCGCGCTACGGATTTCAAACGCGGGGTGGTAGGGTGACCGTGGTGTGTGGGGGGGGCGTCAACGCTTGTGGCCCCGCCCCCGCTGTTCCCCCCACCCCTCTACAGCCCCGCCCCCTCCTACCCCGGAATGTCACTGTGGGAATACAAAACGCTCCGAGGGCAGAGTCATGCGGGGGGGAGAGGTGAACGTTGAGTCGACTCCGGCGTGTCCGGGCATAGGGGAGAGAGGGAGGTGAGGCGATCTCTGCCCTGGAGGCGTTTTGAGATCGGATTGCCGTGAGAAGTGTAGGAGAGGCGTGCGATTTAAACACCACGTGTGGATGAAGCTCGGGTTTAGTTGAGGGGGTCTCATGGGGGAGGTGGTGGTGGGATTAACCAGGGTGAGCACAGGGGGTTTACAGGGATAACTTCATAGCTGTCAACCCATATGGGTTACCCCCTATTCATGTACAGGGACATTGAGTTTTCAGGTCCATACGGCGTACAGCCGTTTCGATACGGGCAAAACAAATTGTTTTGTCTATTTGTTTGTGTTTCTCCCTTGTGATGGGATCTTTGTAGGATGAACGTTGAGATTTATCAAGGCACGGGGTGTCCAGTCTTTCAGTTTTATTTTATTTAAATTTATTTGGTATAGCCCTGTGAGCCATTCGGCTCTTGAATCGGGTGCAACCGCAACAAACAAAAAAACATGAACAAGAAAACATCTTAAAGTGATTATGTGACTGTGTGCAATCAGAAAATCCAAGAAAAGATAGAAAAATATTGTTAAAAAAAGCACCGTACACCAGTCTGAATTGGTCTGTAATAAGATAGGCACTGATAAGGAGTTGACATGTATGACAACTGTGATAATAAGAGCACTGGGCAACCGACAGTAAGCACGGTGATAACAGGAATAGCAGGGATAACTGTGATAGAGAGAGCAGGGGCAACTAGTTTAATCGTGTCAATATATTCACACCTTATCATGACCATAACCACACCTGCTACTACAATTCAATTATGAGTGTAATGGATTACACTGAGTGAAAACTGATAATTGCATTGGTCCAGTAAATTGATCATTAAAATGCTCGTGTTACTCATGATGCAATGATAACTGTGGTAATATGGCCAGTGTTATCCATGACATTGTTGTGACCTAAAAGCTGTGTACCAAATTTCAGCTTTCATGCCTTGTCGGGAAGTACCCCATGGGGTTTTTGAGACATACAGATGAAGGGCTTTGGTTTTTAGAACACTTGAGTGTAATATTAGTATGATTTGTTTAATTGATCAATAAATGTTGTTTTCTTTTGGTGGTTTTCATAGAAGCCCTCTTGGGTTTCCAACCTCACCTGCACCACCTTTTGTTTAACCTTTTTGATTTGAGCTGTTTTTCGTTTTTTTGTGTGCGCGAATAAATAATACAATATAGATTAAGGTATTTATTTAGATAGATAATATAATTAACGATTATTTAACACGTCGGCTTTCGCGACCAATATCATCCATGATACAGGTCTTTTGTGGGTTAGATCGCGTAAATATATAAATGTGTCATTAAAACCGCCACCACCCGACACAGCCAATTATTAAGGTTTGCCACATCAACAGAACGTGGCAATTCGTTACTAGAACCAAGCCACAATAGTTGTGGCTCTCCAACACACCGGTGTTGCTGTACTAGTAACGCATTTCCATGTTGTCTTGACGTGACCACCCTTACTAACTGGCTGTGTCGGGTGGTGGCGGGTTTAACGACACATACATTTACACGCTCTAACTAAAAATAAATAAAACTTATTATAAATTAATGATGACCCCTCTCCCCTCCGCTCCTCCTCCTCCTCTGCACCACGAAGCCGTCGACACTTCCGGGCGATGTGCATTGTGGGGAGGGAGGTCACGGCTTGTGGGGCCCCATGCCAGACGGCTCCTCCTCATCCTCCTCCTCATCATCCCCGCACCACCACCACCACCACGGGACACTTCCACTGCCATCGCCGCGGACACTGAGGGATGTCGGAATACGACGAATTTGAGAAGCAGCTGTTGAACAACAGGGAAGGTACAACAACAACGACGACGACGATGATGATGCTGATGATGCCAGGGTACCCCAGCCCCCAGCACAGGGAGAGGATTTGCTCTGAGCGATGCATAGTTTACAACAGTCGCGAAACACTACGTGTGTGTGCGTGTGTGCTACTGTGATTTCGCTGCTGCACAACACTTTGTCGCCTTTCTCGATTGTTCGCGATGCTTTCCTTGCCGGTGTTTTAGAGTCACGAATCGTGTCGAATCGCCGGGCTTACCGTGGCCCGCACGTAACGCGAGCCTGTATGTGTGTGCGTCTGTGTGTGCGTGTCTGTGTGCGTGTGTCTGTGTGTGCGCCTGTGTGTCTGTATGTATGTGCGTCTGTGTGTGTGTCTGTGGGGAGCGGTGGTGTTGCGGTTAGCGCGCTGCGCTATGAACCCGACAACCCGAGTTCGATTCCCGCTCACGGCCAAACCAGTGACGATTATCTGAACCGGTCCCGGGCCTCCCCTAGGTCGACTCAGCCTCAAATGAGTAACTGGTGCGGTGTGTGAACATCGCCACTAGGGAGGCAAAGGCGGTCGGGCGTAGTGCTGGCCACCCACCCCCTCGTGTACCGTTCCGGCCTTCATAGGTGCTCGCTAACAGCACTTGCCCCTACAGTCTGTTAAGGCTATATGGGGGATCTTTGTCTTTGTGTGCGCCTGTGTGTCTGTCTCTGTGTGTGTCTGTCTCTATGTGTGTCTGTATGTGCGTCTGTGTGTGGCGGTGAGGTGTGAGGGATGAGTCCGATGCCTTCTATGACCTGTCACAGGTGCTGGCTATAGTGGCCCCTCGGGATAGAGTCATCTTGTTGGGTGACTTCAATTCCCAAGTTGGTCATGATGCTGGCACCTGGTCTGGAGTGATTGGGCCAGATCAGCTCAATAACAACGGTAGGAGGCTGCTAGATATGTGTGCAGCCCATGGGCTTGTAATTACCAACACGCTGTTCCGGCACCACACAACATGGATGCATGCCGGGTCCAAGCAAGAACATCTGCTGGACTACATAGTGACGGACCAGCGGATGCGAGCCCATGTCCTTGACACCAGGACCTACCGTGGAGCTGATCTGCCCTCTGACTATCGACTAGTCATCTGTAAGATGCACCCAGGACCCCATTCCAACCTAAAGTGTCCTGGTCTCAGTTATCTGATGAAAGTTGCAAGCGAGAATTTCATCATCGCTTGCGGCTGGGGTTGGCATTGTCCCCCACTCCTCAGGATGTCGAGGGTAAATGTGACTCATGTAGCTGCAATGGTTGCTTTGGGTACGCGGTCCAGACCACCCCAGAGACCCTGGCTGACAGAGGAGGTGTTCAGGATAGTTGAGAAAAAGCGACAGGCCCACTGTCATCGGCTACAGAATCCCACGTCAGAGAATGAGGTTCGGAGAGCCGTGAGGCGCTGCATGGGTGGTGGTCGCGGATTGCTGAGGAGATGGAGTCTGCCTCAGTGGCCCGCGATCACAAATCTCTATTTAACTCCATCAAAAAAGTAACCCACACCTATTACCATCATTAGGGGAAAAAACGGTGATCCTCCGACCCCCAGGAACAGGTTTGCAGATTTTCTGAGCATTTCTGTGAGGTCCTGGGGGATGGGAAATCCCTCAGCCAGGACGGGTTCCACAGGATTGGAAGGATGCTCTGGTGGTCCCTGTAGTTGTTACAGACTGTAACAACTACAGGGGCATCTCACTTCTCAGTGTGCCGGGAAAGGTCCTGGAAAGGATTATTCAACATCGCCTTGCCAGGCACGCTGAGGAGAGGCTTGCAGAGCCCCAATGCGGTTTCAGGAAAGGGCGGTCCTGCACAGATGCCATATTTTCTGTCCGCCTACTACAGCAGAGGTGTAGGAAATTCCAGCAAGACCTACATCTCTGCTTTACTGACCTGGTCAAGGCTATGATACCATCAGTCGGCCTGGGCTCTGGGTTGTTCTTCGTGCTTTTGGAGTCCCTGACCCTCTGCTCACGATCATTAAGGACCTTCATGATGGTGAGCGGGCCTTGGGTAAAACTACGTGGCCGGGAGTCAGAGACATTCCTTGTACACCTTGGGGTGCGACAGGGATGTCCTCTGGCTCCCACATTATTTAACATCTATTTTGACTACGTAGTTTGTGAAGCCTTCAATAGCTGTCCCGGGGGAATCTCCATTTGGTACAGATATAATGGGAGGCTGATCGATGCCCGGGTGCAGTCAAGGGATGGCTCCCTTTTTCTCAACCACGCTATGTATGCCGATGATTTGGTAATAGCTGCTCATTCAGAGGAGGAGTTGGAGACACTGCTGCTGAGACTGGAGCGTGCCACTAAGAGATGGGGCCTTACCATCAGCCCCACCAAAACTAAGCACCTGCCTGGGTATTTTGTACCATCGGACACTCCCCCCCCCACAACTCCCAATCGGTGATGGGGCAGTTGTGGAGAGAGTGGAGAGTTTCCCATACCTGGGCAGTGTGCTTATGACCGGCTCCAGTTTAACAGCAGAGGGCTCACTCCGAATCAGTCGAGCGGCAATATCTTTTCATCGGTTGTGTAACGCTGTGTGGAAGCTACCTGGTCTGTCGCTCCGCACTAAGCTTCAGGTCTTCTCGGCCACGGTCATTCCCTCCCTTCTCTACGCTTGCGAAACGTGGACCCCCCTAATGGAACATCTTTGCAGGTTAGAAACATTTAGGGTAGCCTGCCTTCGATCCATCCTGGGTTTAACCAGGCTGGATTGTGTGAGGAGCTCGCAAATCCTTGAAAGATCTGGGCAAGGTCCCATCGGTGAGCTCCTCCGGCAGGCAAGGCTGCGTTGGCTGGGTCATGTAGCCCGCATGCCCAGCCACCGCATGCTGAAACAGCTTTTGTTCAGCCGGATCGAGGGGGCTAAACGGGCGCGGCACGGGCTAGAGAAGAGATGGAGTGATGTGGTACAGGAGGACGTGGAGCTGAGTGGACTTGCCGATGACTGGTATTAACAGTGTGAAGATCGGCCTCTGTGGAGGAGGCTTGTGAAGGATGCTACTGGGCAGTTGGAGGCATTCGCCCTCCAACAACAACGGAGGGCGGAGGAGCGACGCTCACAACAACGAGCGGAGCGCCGGGTGGCTAAAGCACAGCAGGTTGGCACAGTAGGGGGCACAGGTGGTGCATCAGCCAGTCATCTCAGTCATCTTAGTCAGTCGACCCGTGGCACTTGGGTCTGCCCCGTGACCTCCTGCCAGCGGGCGTTCGACACTTCACGTGGCCTTAAGGTGCACATGGCCTGGCAAAAGCGTCGTGGTGACGTCACCACCACTTAGTGGCGAATGGCGGTTGTTGCCTGTGTGTGTGTCTGTGTGTGTGTCTGTGTGTGTGTCTGTATGTGCGTCTGTGTGTGTGGAAAACGGTAGTGTAGCGGTTATCGCGCTGCGCTATGAACCCGGCGACATGAGTTCGATTCCTGCTCACGGCCAAAACCCAGTGATGATAATCTGAACCGGTCCTGGGCCTCCCCTAGGTCGACTCAGCCTCAAATGAGTACCTGGTGCGGTGTGTGAACATCGCCACTAGGGAGACAAAGGCGGAAGGGCGTAGTGCTGGTCACCCACCCCCTCGTGTACCGTTCCGGCCTTCATAGGTGCTCGCTAACAGCACTTGCCCCTACAGTCTGTTAAGGTTATACAGGGGATCTCTGTGTGCATGTGCGCGTCTGTAGACGTCTCGCCGGCGTTGTCGCTCCGACGGGTTTCATGACACTTTTTAAATCGACCCCTGTACAAGGTGGTAGTGTTGTGGTTGGTGGTGGTGGGGGGTGGTGGGGTGAAGTCCCGTTAAGTCGGCGACGCAGCAGTCCATGACCTGCATCGCTTGGTCAATCCACAGCTGGATGAGGCTGCTGCCGTCTCCTCCTCCAGCACGCCCGTGGCTTGTGGTGATGTGCAGACATTGCTACCTTTGACCTAAGGGCGAAAGACTAAAAGTGCAGCGAATAAATGCCGTTCTCGGGTGTCGCGTATTGCCAGTACTGTAGGTTTTTAATTGTAAACATGCTCGCGCGGATTATACAGTTTCGCTGGTTTGACGGCTGCCAATAATGACGGCCATCACCAGCGAAGAAGATTCGTGTTTTTAAGACTCGGAGTGGGTGTAAGGACCTTGCTATTGAATGATGTAGCGCGATTCGATTTTGGAATTGTTATTTTTTTATGTTAACATTGCAAATGTTAGCGGCTTCTGGTGCTTAGGGAGGGGGAGGTCACGAACTATAATACAAGTATTCTTTGGGTCTTTCAGTAAAGTCGCGTAAATAGGTTCAAAGAAAATAACAAAAAAAACTACGACGTTTCGATCGCAACACAAGCGTTCGTCATCATGACGACGGACACTTGTGTCGCTTGTGTTGCGATCGAAACGTCGTAGTTTTTTGTTAATTTTGTGTTATTCTCTTTGAACCTATCCACGTGACTTTACCGAAAGACCAAAAGAATATGAATTCCTGCATTCATGAAAGCTTTAAGTCAAGACGTCATAAATGTAATTCAAACCGTTAAGGTAATTGGGTTGGGGCAGGACACGAGACTGTTGCCATACAGCCAAGAATAATAACGTGGAAGCTAAGGAATGGAACGCGTCCTAGCGTTGTCATATTGAGGGGATGGAGCGATAACAAAATCTCGTTGTGTACTTTGGTGGACTTGCATAGGGAGAATGGTGGCGCCTTTGGGATTGATCACGGCTGATGATGATACAAATGGGGGGGGGGGGGGGGGGAGGGACATCGATTATTTATACACCCCGTTTGATGCATCTATCATATGCTAAAGATCAATATGATGTATCGTACAGACGTAACGTGGTGACTTCGAGGGCACCCTTTGAGGTTATATTGAGCACTTTTAAAGAGGTTCGTTGAATTAAGAGCAAGGCAGTTAAGTTTAAGAGATCTGCAACGGCATGTTATTCCACGCGGTTGTTTTAGTTTGGCGAGGCCTTCCGTAACGACACGGTATTGCATTTATCCAGAGTATAGAATACATTTTCCCAACTAAAAATCTCAAGACAAAACACACAAAACCCCAACTACAAATGCATCCTAAAGTTGAACACTGAAAAACAAATCCATATCTGAAACGTGCCCAACAAGCGCAGAGCTGCGTTTTTCGAATTCCACTTGAGAGACGGAATGGGGATCAAATGCAGTTGAAGCATGATGTTGAGCAATTTATAAAGTGATGCCCAGCGGACAGAACCTACGTTAGAATGGCAGCCAATGGAGAAATACACCTGAGTGGATGATCCCCTTGGAGCTTATTCAGAAGAAGCTCCCAGCATGTGTGTGTATGTATGTTGAACTTCTTTTGCGTGGTCCGTAGCCAACCGTGCTGATTGGAGGTGTTGGGCGAATGAAAACAAACTAAACACAAAGAGCAGTTATAAAGAAATGGGGTTTCTATCTAGATTATTTAAAATTGCACAGCTCCAATGGCTTCCTAATACCGGAAGGCAGAGCGTTCCAGACGGCCGCGGAAGCGCATCTGAAAGCGCGCGATGCGGTGACCGTCTTTGTTCGATGGCCCAGCCAAAAGCCGCTGCTGTGAGAATGAACGAGCCAAACGCCGGACATACCCAACAAACACACAAAACCCACCCGAAAAAAACATCGGAGGGCGACAAGGCACAGCCTCGAAAATCTACGAAATAGTATCAGGTTACAGTACGCGATCATGTGTCTGTTGTTTTTGCATTTCGCCACTCTGCCCACCTTGCCCGCCCTTCGGAAGAGCGGCTGGCGGAGCATGGAAAGGTACGCCGGCACAGCCACAAAAAGCGGAGTCGCAGTCACAGCCGGAGCCGGAAGAGGCGCAGCCGTTCCCGGGACCACAAGCGCCGCTCACGCAGGTGTCCTTGCCCTGCATACTCGCGTCTGCTAGCCGGGTCGTGCGTTTGTGGGTACGTCTTTGCGACGGCTGTAGTTATCGTGGCGCAGAAAGAGGAGAGTGTTACGCCGGAGGCGAGCAGAGGTAAAAGAGGGGTGAGGAAAATGCCAGGGGTGAGTGGGTTTTATTCTGTCCAAAATTATCTGGAGGTTGACACCCCAGGTTGAGCTGTGGATGAAAATGGATGGAGGTACTTTAATCAATTTTCAGTGAAATTAAATGTCATGCGCTCCCAGTGATGGTTTAGTAAATGTGATCATTAATCACGGGTGGAAACTTCTACCGACTCATAATGGCTTTACCGCCCCGGTTGACATAATTATTACCGTTGTTTCCTGCAGTCGTTCTCGCTCTCCAAAAAAGTGTCGCAAAAAGAAGGCTTACAAGTACTGGGACGTCCCTGCCCCTGGCTTTGAACACATCACACCGCTGCAGTACAAAGCCATGCAAGGTAATACGTTGAACGAAAGAGTTGATTTTGCCGTCTCATCCTGCGTTTACTTGACAGCATGTCTCTCGAACAGGGGCAATCCACACCGCTGCCAATGTGTACTTGAGAATCAGAATTATTCCTTCCAATCAAAAGTTTTATTTAGACTCGGGGAATCCGATGAGCGATGAAGCTCTTTTTCACGGATCTCCACTCTTGTGAGGACAAGCAAAATTCCCATAAAATATTGCTGTTTGAGTGTTCTTACATACCCCACCCCGCCCCAACCCAATAACTCAATTTGTCCCCAACATATCCACAGGATATATAAATTTTACAAAAATAGTCCTAAATCTTAATTGCAACAAAAATGAGAGAAATGGAAAGTGAGGAAGAGAGTTTAGAAATGTCTAAAACTGAGTACTATTAGCATGGGGTATCTTCTTCTTGGTTCTTTCGGTAAAGTCACTTAGAATGGAAATAAAATAATAAAAATAAAACATAAAATAAGATTATCACGACGTTCGGCCACAACACAAGTAGCCTTCTTCAGGTGAATGAACAGGACTGTCCAGAAGACAACGCTCAAGCACTGTCTTCTGAGAATCTTATTTTATGTTTTATTTTTATTATTTTATTTCCATTCTACGTGACTTTACCGAAAGAACCAAGAAGATGAATCCCCGCAGTCACGAAAGCATGGGGTATCTTTGTATTTGTGATTTTGATTACTGAGATAAGTAACGAAAGTACCGCATTCCTTCCCATCAAAATACGTCTTTGTTTGACTCTGTATGACAAAATTACTGAAGGATCCGCTGAGACTGTATTCTAGATTTACATCCACATTGGTGGTAAATCCCATGCCTTTTCTGGTAACATTCATACACATGGATACCTCTGTAACTCGGTGTCACAGAGCTATTTGATCAAAGCAGAGCTGCCCCACATTGATGAAACCCCGAGGGTCATAACACGCCTTCTGCAGCTGCTCTTTCTTCCAAGAGGGACGTGAACGTGTGGGGAGTGGTGTCCATGGATGCTGTCCTGAACACATCGTCGTTGACATGTATCTTCACGGCCAACACCAGCGACGATTATCTGAACCGGTTCTGGGCCTCCCCTAGTACCTGGTGCAATGTCTAAACATTGCCACCGGGGAGACAAAGGTGGCCGGGCGTGGTGCTGGCCACCCACCCCCTCGTGTAACGTGCCGGCCTTCACAGGTGCTGCTCGCGAACAGCACTTGCCCCGACAGTCTGCTAAAGGCTATACGGGGGGGACCTTTGTCATGTGGCGTGTGCTTTGTTGGGCGACCAGCGGCGGGACAGATTCCGGCGACCCCACTGCTGCTGCCGAGCGTGGCGGGCGAGGTGCCGGCCGCGCCCACACAGGCATTGGTGGTCGGCAGCCAGATGACGCGGCAGGCCCGGCGCCTCTACATCGGCAACATACCCTTCGGCGCTACCGAGGTAGTCCGTATTGTTGGCACGAGCGGGCACATGCGAGCAATCGCATGTGCCCGTATCGTGCGGACCAAAGGCGTCCCAGTAAATCCTGCCGCTTTTGTTGACTTTTTTCTTAATGTCCAATCGGTCGCTTTCCAAACGTGACGAACTCTACCTTGCGTGGCTATATTGTGATGAATGAAACAAAAAAATCAAATAATAAACATTATTTCTGAAGAATTATAGCCTTTCGATATAATCTGCCATATTTTTTTGCTCTCCAAACTTACATCGTATCCGATCATCGGGTGTATCGCAATCGTATATTAGTGTACTACAAATAAAAATGAATGCAATATTTTCTTATTGAAACGTGCTGTCAAAATGACAAAATAACACTTTGTCTTTTGCATCTTTTCTAGGAAGCCATGCTTATGTTCTTCAACACACAGATGAAATTGGCTGGCCTCAACCAGGCTCCAGGTGACCCCATCCTGGCTGTCCAGGTCAACCTGGACAAGAACTTTGCCTTCCTTGAGGTGCGTCGTGCAGCAAATCAGCGGTTCGAGAGCCTAGCATAGAGCATTAAGGTCTCATCCCTGGTGGCCTGCTCGTCTTGCCGAATTAAACACCTTCTGCAACAGTGGTTTGAAATGTTATCAACATCGTGCGCACCACACATGTCCTTGTTTTTTCAGTTAAGGTTTTAATTTTGCAATCGTGTAAATGTGGATCAAAGTCCACGAGTCTTGTCACGTTATTTCAACGCTGGGCGGACTGGCTATGTCTCAAATGATAATTTGCTACGTACTCTTACGCACCCGTGGCACGCGTGCAGTTCCGCTCGGTGGATGAGACGACGCAGGCGATGGCGTTCGACGGAATCCTGTTCCAAGGCCAGAGCCTAAAGATCCGACGGCCGCACGACTACCAGCCGCTGCCTGGCATGTCCGAGGCGCCTACGGTCCACGTGCCAGGTGCGGGTGCGCTCGGGGCACGGTCTCGCTTATACGACGCTCGCTGATATTGCCGTTGATGACTCGCATTGCGATGGCGCGTCCACTCGGTCAACTGTCGACGGAGCAGGCAATTGAACAAGCGTTGAACCGACTTACATTTTCCGTCGCATGTGAAATGTGGATTTCAAGATCCCTTTGGTGAAATGTTCAAACCTTCCCGCACCTCCGGTTAGCATGGTTGGCTACGTACGATGCGCAAGACGTTCAACATACATGCATACGTCCCACATGTGACCAGCCATTACACGCCATTACACTTGCTGTCTATAACCCTGACCACTCTTCTCCTGTGGTATTTTCTCCCGGTGGTAGGTGTTGTCTCCACTGTTGTACCAGATTCTCCGCACAAAATCTTTATCGGGGGCCTGCCAAGCTACTTGAACGAGGACCAGGTGGGATTTGGAACGGTGCAGCGGTTTGCGGTGGTAGCAGCACCGGAGCATTTCCATTATTTATTTTTGTGTTATGTTCCGGTTACGGTGTTTGAAAGCTTCCCTATATCATTGGGCCAATTTTCATGTACAGTAGATCGATTTAAAATGGCATGGTCTCATTTGGAAAATACATATAATGTATGCCCTCTCACTTTAGAAATGAGAACTGCAATACCATAGTGATATAAAATCCTTATTATTGACCTATGTAAATATGCTACGTGCTTTTGACGTCTATCGACGTGACTTTACCGAAAGACCCAAAGAATATATCCATATATGGTTTGACTCATTATTTACGCTTTGCATCCATAGCTTGTCCACTCAGCGAGAGCATGTGATTTTTTTTTGCATGTAACCCAATCTACTGCAGGTGCAGTCGCGAATGTGCGAGCAAACACGGTGCGACTCATATTTTTGAAAGTGGGTTTAGATTTAGTTACGTGCTACAGGCAAGACAATGCAGTGCATTTTATTTGTTTTTTTTCGGCTAACACTTTTAACACTGCAATCAATTTCTAAATCATTATTCGAAAAATGTTCCTCTTAGGACAAAAAAAAACCACCTAACTTTTCACCACACACAATGATTAATTAAGTGTTTGTAACAAACTTGATATGCCCAGCTTCTTTGATTATTCAAGAAAATATATACATATAAATGTACGGTTGTGTGATTGTTGTGTTTACCGGACATTTGTTGGCACAGTCCGATCTGTAATGGTGCGTGACTTTGTGCCACTGCCAGCGATAAACAAGGTCATAAAATTGAGCTACACTTAATTTGTAGCTATTGCAACTTGTGCATCTCAAGGATAGCATTCCATATTCTTGGTTCTTTCGGTAAAGTCACGTAGAAGGGAAACAAAATAATAAAAATATAAAACAATACAATTATCACGACGTTTCGACTGCAACACAAGCAATCATCATCAGCTGTGAAAACCACAGCAGGAAAAATTTAAATTTGAAATGTTCTTGCTGTGGTTTTCACAGCTGATGATGATTGCTTGTGTTGCAGTAGAAACGTCGTGATAATTTTATTGTTTAATATTTGTATTATTTTATTGTTTCCCTTCTACTTTACTTTATCGAAAGAACCAAGAATATGAATCCCTGCAGTCATGAATACTTTAAATGAAGATAGCATTCCAGTTTGATTTAACATTCTTACATTCCATCTTCCTCACGACATTTTATCCTTTGAAGTCGCCAGAATCGCTCCTTTTTGTCTGTCTTTCAGCCAAATTTTCTAAATAAATGATTAAATATTCTAAACGTAATATATCTGCAGACAGTGCTACAGCAACACAGTTTTGGAATGCCCTGCTGCTCGGTTTTTTTCCCCACTAATGTTGACTCGTGTTTTATTTTTTGTTGTTTCCCAATTCAACAGCTAGGGAGCTGTTCAAAATCATTAAGTCTTGGCGCGTAGTCCACCTAGTACTCTAATACTGATCTGCTGCAAACCCAGACAGTAAGAGATCCCAGGCAAGTGAAAATACAAGTGGCCCTTGGCAGTCGATTGAGTGAGTCTTTTTAAATTTTATTTTTTACTAAATAATGTGTGCAGCACGGAATGGTGCCGGGCTCTGATACACGTCAGGTGGTATATCGCTTGCATTCGTACAACGGGCAGCACCGTATACACAGATTGATTTTGAAGTCCTTTTAGGTGACGGTAGATGGCATTATTCATCAACTGCTGCACCCCTTAGCCTGCACGGAGACTCTTGTTCTCCGCCCACCAACACATGACGTAGTAATCATCTTGATGCCGTTTTTTGAAGCGCATTGATAGGTTTTGGTTGATGTGGGAAAATCGACTGTTGTCTATGAGGCACAGTGAGTATTTTGTGACCACAACATATTTAAAATATCAATAGTTGAGCTGAGTTCACAGCTTCCCCCAAACAAAATACATCTCAACATCCAAAAACTCTTAAATTCACATGTGGTAATATAATCACAGAACCAGTGGCAGGTGTATAAATACGTGGAGGCCCATATTTAGCAGTGGATAGATCATGGCAGAGAAGGTATGTTATCCCAGTGCATTGCATGTGTTGTACGCGCATGGGCACATGTGCTGCGCATGATGCACGCCCGTACATGCATGCTTACTGGACATCTGTGATTTAAAAAAAAGCTTTGTAGCTCATCGGATTCCTCCAGTATAAATGAAGATTCTGATTCTGAACGACGGACAAGTGCTGTTATTTGTGTTAAGGTTAAGGAGCTCCTCACTGCGTTTGGGCCTCTGAAAGCATTCAACCTGGTGAAGGACAGCTCAACCTCCCTGTCGAAGGGCTACGCTTTCTGCGAGTACGTGGACGTCAACATGACGGACCAGGTACAGGCGTTGAAGTAGCCTCGCCGCTTGCCGTTTTGGTGTCTCTCGCTCGTCGATGTAAAGGCTGCCGTGAGAGCCGTTTGAAAACAATTACAGAGGATGACGGCGGTGATTGTTAGCCTGTGTGCAAGTTGTTTATTAGGTGTTATGATGTATATTATCTGTGGCTTCATACAGCTTATTTGCAATAAGTTTTGATTTTATCTCGCACTCTTCATGCAAAGTATCCACAAAGGTACTTTAAAATAAAAACTGTACTTTAAACAAAAATATATAAACAATAAAAGCATTGGCCAATCAAGCCAGCTTAAGGATGAGCTAACGGAAAAAATAAAATTTTACATTTTACTCAAAGTTCAACGTTGCTAGAAATCCTGATATGACTTGGGGTGGAGTTGCAAAGGCAGGGACCATAACAATCAGAGGCCCTAGCATCAACTGAATTTAAACGACTTCAAGCCAGCAACAATAAAGCCGTTTTATTTAATATAAAGCTACCACTTTTTATTATATATAGGAGGCCCATTAGTCTGCCTGTAACCTTATGTTCAAGCTATCTGCAGATCAAAGTGCAGTGCAACACCAAACGTGCAGGATCATGTGGTTATTAACATACAAACACTCTTAATGATTATAGGAAAACAGCATTGACGTGAGGAAATTTTAATTATAAGGAATTATAAGGACATTTTAATTATAGGTAAACGTAAATACAAATGTCTTAAACCTTCCCGTAAAGATTAAAAAAATAGCTAACAAGTGCCGTTAAACATGTGCCTACACATATTCTTGGTTCTTTCGGTAAAGTCACGTAGAAGGGAAACAAAATAATTAAAAAATATAATAGAAATATTAAATTTTGATTTAAAGCTTTCGTGACTGCAGTAATTCATATTCTTAGCTCTTTCGGTAAAGTCACGTTGAAGGGAAACAATAAAATTATAAAATATATATAAAACAATAGAAATTCTCACGACGTTTCGACCATAACACAAACGGTCGACACACCTGATGACGACCGTTTGTGTTATGGTCGAAACGTCGTGAGAATTTCTATTGTTTTATATATATTTTATTGTTTCCCTTCAACGTGACTTTACCGAAAGAGCTAAGAATATGAATAGAAATAGTTTTATATTTTTATTATTTTATTGTTTCCCTTCTACGTGGTGACTTTACCGAAAGAACCAAGAATATGAATCCCTGCAGTCACGAAAGCTGTAAATCAAAATGTGCCTACACGTTGCACGCTTTGCGGTTGCAGGCCATCGCAGGACTCAATGGAATGCAAATCGGAGACAAGAAGCTCGTGGTTCAGAGAGCCAGCGTCGGATCAAAGAATGCTGCGCAGGTCCGCAGCACACTCCATCGCTCTCTTCATTGGCATCTGTTAAATACCACACTGTTGCCCAGGTGGTGAAATGTTAACTCCCTCACCTGGTATGGAGGAGGGTCGTGGGTTCGATCCCAACCCTGATGCCTGCTGTGTATTTAGAGTTTGCGGTGTCTCTCTCCCCGTGGTCGTGTGGATTTTTCTCCGGGCCCTCCCGTTTTTTCCCTCCACATTTAGAAATATGCGTTTTATAGTTTAGCTGCTATACATTTCCAAGTAAAAAGCCACTTCGTTGAGCTATCATTTGTGTCCAAGTCGCTTCTGAAAAAGAGCTATATAGCTCAGTTGACCTTACCTGCTAAAATATAAATAGTTTAGTTTAGTTCAATGCTAGGCTGCACAACATGCATGGTGGTAATCAGTACCACAGCGCTTCATGCAATTTAATTCCCCAGGAAGACCTCACCGAGTCTCAAGACTCATTTTCAGGAGGGTTCTACAGTTGGTCGTTTGGCCATTTCCATTGACGAGTGTTTTGTTTCTCAGAGGAAAACGTCGGACACTGTGTTGTAGAAAGAAAAAAAAACACTGTACAATCCGACAACACGTCGGGAGAGCTCCACCTAACCAAGATCATCGTTGCTTCGTTTCCGATATTCAACGTCGACTGAAAGCTCCCTCTTTGTTTTCACCGATGTGCGCGCAGGGCGCGGTGACGCAGGCGCCGGTGGCGCTGCAGGTCCCCGGACTGGGCCCCACGCAGGTGCAGCACAGCGGGCTGCCCACGGAGGTGCTGTGCCTCATGAACATGGTGACGGCGGCCGAGCTTGCGGAGGAGGAGGAGTACGAGGACATCGTTGAGGACATCCGCGAGGAGTGCAAGAAGTACGGCTGCGTGCGGTCGCTCGAGATCCCGCGTCCCATCAACGGCCTCGAGGTGCCGGGCTGCGGGAAGGTGGGCACAAGACAATAACTGCGCGTGACCCGGCGACGGCTTGTTTGCGCCCACACTTTGCGCCGGTTCGGCTCGCGATGACCGCATGCGAAGCGTTGCTAGTGGGTCTGCCGAGGATGTGTGGCAATATATGCCACAGGCATGACATTTTCTCTCTTAATGAGTCCATTTCTGATTTTGGACAGTTTTTGCTATGAACTGAATGGGGCTTAAAGAGCTGTGCTGATCCTAACTGATTGGAGATGAGATCGTGAGACTTCACAGCAACTGTATTGCTGATGATCGCATGAAATGCAATTGGGGATATATATTTTTTCAATGTTTTATTGAGCGGTACAATCCGACCTTGAATTAGCCTGATGCATGAAAAACCATGGATGAAGACACGGGTTAGAATAACAAGCAGAGAGCTGTGGTTAAATTTTAGAATAAGTTTCTTGCAGGTACCACGTGTTCATCTGAGAAATTGAACTTTGCCCATGAGTAGGCCTGTGCTCAATAGCTACCAAATGTGTTATGTTTGCAGTGATGTGGCTGCCGTTTGTGATGGCACTAATGAATCGCAGTCTGATTTTTCATTCTTCTCTTGTTGCAGATTTTTGTGGAGTTTTCATCCATACTTGACTGCCAGAGGGCCCAGCAAGCATTGTCAGGACGCAAGTTTGCAAGTCGCGTAGTCGTGTCAAAGTACTTCGACCCAGACAAATACCACAGGAGGGAGTTCTAAACAAATAATTCTCACTTAGTTTTTTTTGCCCTTGTCGCGTTATTTATTTGGATGGAATCACGGACGTTTCTCTCCACGTTCTGGGAGCTTTTAAGTTCCTGTTTTGTTCTGGTTGTACTGCGTGCTGTGTTGGGCTTGATGTACGACGTTCCGCTGAACATGCCCAGAGAGCTGTGGTTACTTCAGCTTGGAAGAAGCTCTCACGACGCGGAGCGAGGCGTTGGACATGCCGAACAATGCGTGGTACGGCCCCCGAAGACACATCGGAGAGCGATGGAATGCTGTTGTCGCTGCTTCTGCCGCTTGTTTTTTGAATGACTCCAGGCATGTGCACATGGTTTAGAATGACTAAAAAAGGGTTACAGGACATTGGAATGTTACGAAGAAAGTTCCCCCTGCAGTTGTAAATTAAAAGTTATTTTAATGATGGCAGTTAGATCAAAGCAGTTTTGCTTAATTTTGTGAAATCTTTAGCAAAAGCCCTGCGTTACTCATTCCCCATTAGCTAGATATGTTGACCCCTTAGGACATGCAAATGAATTTTTTTTTTTAATTTAAAAGTTACGTTTAAAATTACTTTGCTTTATTTTTACTTGGACGAAATTCAAGCAAATATTTGGCAACAACAGTGACGTGAATGGCATTGGTGTGCATACATGACGTTTGGACAAGAACAATTCTTGAAATGTACTAGCTAGTGCCGGAGTAATATAAAGTGCAAAGTTTCGTGTTTTTTTTATCTGTTCGTTTTGCTTTTTAAAACTGAAACTAAAAATAGCAGATGTTCCATTGAGATGAAAATTTTAGCAAATGTTGAAATAGTTTATCTTGACAGGCAGAAACACTACCTTGTGTGCACACGTTTTGTAAACTGCACCGCCTCCTGGCAATATAATAATCAGGGGGGTTGTGTGTTGTGTGGGGACTTTGTTCCTAGCATTGTCGTTTAAACTGACCTCGTAGAAGCAACAACATGCCTTCCACGTATGATGCTGCTCTCGGTTGTAATTTTAACAAAGCGGTTATTTTACGCACAGCAGACAGAGATCTATGTGAAACGCAGTTGATGAATAACCGTCAAATTAGCAATCGAACAACATCATGTTTGTATGTACGTATGTTGAACTTTTTTCGCACCGCACGCAACCAACCGTGTTAATCGGCGGTGTGAGGACAACAAACTAAACAAAAAGAGCAGTCTGTACTTAAAGGAAAGGAGGCAGACTTTAAAAGATTATGGAACGCGCACTCCCCAACAACACATTTAAACCTCCACCTCATGCCTGGGATTCTGGCTCAACGTATGCATACAATACATCCCCCCCAGCCCCAGTTGCATTTTTTCCCTTTCATCTCCACATTTTAATGTATGCGGTCAAAAGAAGAGAGCGAAGATCTGTCTGCCAGAAGTTCTGCGAGGCCGAGATGTCACCCTGCGTGCATCACGAGTTTTAGGACTTGCTGGCCTGTAACCAGGCTCCAGACATGGAAGCGATGTCAGTTCATATTCTTGGTTCTTTCGGTAAAGTCACGTAGAAGGGAAACAAAATAATACAAATATAAAACAATAAAATTCTCACGACGTTTCGACTGCAACACAAGCAATCATCATCAGGTGTGAAAACCACAAAAAGAAAATTTCAAATTTAACAAACGAAAATTTAAAATTTTCTTGTGGTTTTCACACCTGATGATGAAAGCTTGTGTTGCAGTCGAAACGTCGTGAGAATTTTATTGTTTTATATTTTTATTATTTTATTGTTTCCCTTCTACGTGATTTTACCGAAAGAACCAAGAATATGAATTCCTGCAGTTACGAAAGCTTTAAATCAGATTTCGATTTAAAGCTTTCGTGACTGCAATGATTCATCTTCTTTGGTTCTTTCGGTAAAGTCACGTAGAATGAGAATAAAATAATAAGTTGATAAAATAAAATAACACAATAATATTCTCACGACGTTTCGGCCACAACACAAGCGGCCTTCATCAGGTGAAGGGACGAGACTGTCTGGTAGGACAGCGCTTGTGTTGTGGCCGAAACGTCGTGAGAATATTATTGTGTTATTTTATCAATTTATTATTTTATTCCCTTTAAATCAGATGTCAGTTCAGTTCCTAACAAAGGAGATGGCACCGCTGCTGAGCAATGTGCACAACTTGATTGCGTGAGGTTATTGGCAAATAGCCTAATGTGTGACGGCGTTTCTAGACAAATCGGTAGGATTACCTATCATTGTCGGTGCTAGGGGACACGGTGAGCTAATAATACTTTGAGAGGAAAAGGTGATATTTAAACATGGGTGTGTTAAAGCGAATGCTTCATTCGAATAACAGACATCGTTGTAGCTTGCAGACTCGAGGCTCACAAGGTATGATTAATGAAAGATGTGTTGTGATTGACGATCACAATTTAACAAAGGAATAGTAGCCTCACTGTGATCTTAGTTAATACAATCTGATGATGCCCTGCATTTATAAATGTGCTGCTGTGTAAACATGTCTGCAGTAAATGAAATAGTTTGGTCGTATTACCAAATGTCACTTGTGTTATTGGTTTATACCATTTCACATGCCTTTTCAAAGGGTCGTCTGTAATATTGTTGGCAATGTCTTTCGCGACCTTTTGCAGGCCCCTCGAATATTCTACAAGGCAAACCGTGTTTAGTTTATCCATCGTTTGCCGTTCACGAGGTCACAACCTTGGGTCAAGTAAGGCGGAAGTGCCCTCTGTGAGGCTCGAATGAACTTGATTGGTAAGCAAGGGGGTGGTGTGAGGTCTGCAAGTGTCCTCGTGCAGTTAAATAACTGGCGGCGAGCAGTATGAATTAGCGTATGGTGAGGTTCTATTGCTGCTTGTGAATTTATAGCCGTTTTTGAGCACTTATTTGATAAAGAGAAACCTGGCACGAGTTGCGTGCGTGTTGGATTGATACCGTGGAGAACCTCTCTCCACTAAAGAGGCTGCACTACCACAACAGTGTTTCACGTTGGTCTGGTTTTTGTAGACGTCAATGTGAGCCCGTTGATATAAAAGGTTGTGTTGTGTAGGGTTGCCACCAGACCAGACGACCTGGGAATTGGCATCTGGTCGGGTGACATAAATCTATTTGTATCGTGAACGGCTACCTGTAGTGTTTGGAAGTGTGTTACTGTTTTCTGCGCAGTTTTCATAGGCCTCGGCTGGCTGAAAAATGTCTGGGTTTGGTCGACTGTAGAAAGTTTGACAACCTTAGTTGTGTGTGTGTGTTTTTAATGGGGACGTAGAACACAAATATGGGAATACTGTATAAGAAAAAATACTGTACAATTTAAGCTAAGCTTGTCACTTTAAACAGAACGTGAAATTTAAAACAAAGCAGTACGAAGGCAATAAAATTAAACGTGCTAATGGAATATATGTAAAAAAATATTGTAACTAAATTAACTGAATGCTCATGATGATGTTTAAAAACACTTAGCAATATTGAGACTGCCTGCCTCCACAGTTGTGTTGGAGTCAAGTTTGGAGCTTGGAACTCGTGGCTTGTGTTGTACAAAACGTGCAAAAATAATGTATCGTGAAAGTTTGTTATTATATTAAGGTCTATTCGTCCAGCTTTAACAGAGCGTGCTACTACTACGGTTGGTTTGCAACTCTCGTCACTGGAACGACTTCCTTCAAGATGGTGATGAGCATCGCTTTCTTGAGTTTGTGTCGAGTGGTTTTAGCTTACAGGCGCGGAAAGGTTACATACAGCTCAGTATTACTACCGAATTCGCGAGAACATTGATTCCCCCCCCCCCCCCCCCCCTCTTAGCTGACATGTTTCGTTTACGTTTGCCGCTTATATTTTCCGTAGTTGTAAATGCAACCAATGTTTCTATTTGCCGTTTTTAATCCCAGCGCAGTGAAAGACCCCCAGTTCGCAAACGACGTCTCAAGAACATGCACACTAACACACGCTGGGGCGGTGGTTGGTTTATAACAACAACAACAAAAAAAACCCCACCAAATAACACCGTTTAAAGAAGGAGAAGAGAAAAAAATTGCACGTGAGATTTGCAAGATTAAATTTCTGGGAACAAAAAAACTCATGACTGGAAAGTTGTTCCGCGAGGTCTCATCGCAAATTACTCCACCACCACCACTTTTGTTATGAATTCACTTCTAAATATGCTGTGCGTGTGTGTAATTTTTACTTGGTGTAAAAGTATTGCGGTTATTAAAAAAAAACACTTTTCATGACCGGTTCGTTTATTCTATTCGCATTTGTTTAATGGTATATCCCAAGTCGGTTTATGTAACTTGGTGTGGGTCTTTGATTCCACCCCCACACCCCCTACTGCCGGTGTGCAGGCGAAGGGGATATCGAAAGGGTTTGAGGACAAACGAGTTAAAAAAAAAAGTACCTGAACGTCAAATCCATCAAAATACTCCACGATTTGTTTTCATTTTACGGTACTGTACAAGGTGCCACAACAATGCCACAAGAAATGTGGTGCTTCCGGGATCTGGAGACCACTTTGAGAAGATTCCAGGCACGCGTTGACAATTATGGCGAACAAGTGGAGGCTCTTTTTACTTTGTTTCAAGCTATTGGCATACATTTGTTATGTTACAGTGTATATTTTCTGTTCCTTTTCCATTAAAAACGATAGTCCCATTTAAATGTTAACATTTTTTTGAAGCGCCCTGTATTTAGGCGTGGCTGGGAGGAGCGGTGGAAACGTCTGATCACCTAAGTTCGATGCCCAGCCACGGTTCGGCTGAAAATTTATTATGTGAACCAGTCCACCCACCGACCCGCACTGTCGCCCAGCGTGGGGGAGGCTCTCATCCAGCAGTGGATTGACACTTTGTACCTTTATCCGCATTAGGAGGGAGAAGTGAGGGAGGGAAGGTGGATGGGTGGGATGGAGGGAAGGTGAAGGGAGGGATGGAGAGTGGAGGGATGGAGAGTGGAGGGAGAGAGAGTGGAGGGAGGGAGAGAGAGTGGAGGGAGGGAGAGAGAGTGGAGGGAGGGAGAGAGAGTGGAGGGAGGGAGAGAGAGTGGAGGGAGGGAGAGAGAGTGGAGGGAGGGAGAGAGAGTGGAGGGAGGGAGAGAGAGTGGAGGGTGCACGGAGGGGAGGGTGCACGGAGGGGAGGGTGCACGGAGGGGAGGGTGCACGGAGGGGAGGGTGCACGGAGGGGAGGGTGCACGGAGGGGAGGGTGCACGGAGGGGAGGGTGCACGGAGGGGAGGGTGCACGGAGGGGAGGGTGCACGGAGGGGAGGGTGCACGGAGGGGAGGGTGCACGGAGGGGAGGGTGCACGGGGCCTTTAACGCAACAGCCGCAGTTGGAATTTCGCGATTGGAAAATTTTCCGCTTTGAGCCGCGCGGGGCGCCGTCGCCGGCTCCCGCGGGCACCACGTGTAGGCGAGGCCAGGGCGCGTCGCTGTGAAGGCCGCAGTCGTTGCCGCCGTGAATTATTATCTCTGGTTGTTTCCCAAACATTTCTTCCGCTTTAAAAGTTTTAGCTTTTCACATTTGACTCCAAATTTGTAACTTCCCACCCCCCCCACCACCACCGATAAAATATGAATGAAGAACTGGAGAGCGATGTGAGTACAGCGCGGGACGTTGCTACCTCGGCGAAGGCCTCGACTCTAGGCCTAGCCCAGTCGAGCTGCGCTTTGGTGTGGCTCAACAACCACAACCTCGATTTAAAGCTTTCGTGACTGCAAGGATTCATCTTCTTTGGTTCTTTCGGTAAAGTCACGTAGAATGAGAATAAAGGAATAAATTAATAAAATAACGCAATAAAATTCTCACGACGTTTCGGCCACAACACAAGTGGCCTTCTTCAGGTGAAAGGAACAGACCTGTCGGGACGACAGAGCTTCATTGTTCGTCCCGACAGGTCTGTTCCTTTCACCTGAAGAAGGCCACTTGTGTTGTGGCCGAAACGTCGTGAGAATTTTATTGTGTTATTTTATTCTCATTCTCCGTGACTTTACCGAAAGAAGACACGACCTCGATGTTAAACTGTCGTTGCGTCTAACATCAGCCGTTCGAAGAAGACGAGTAAGTCGAGCTGACGCTAGGAGCGGCAACAGAAGAAGCAGTGTTACCGGCGAATGTGGTTTTGCTGCTGTTGCGAGGCGATTTTAAATGGTGCTGTATTTTAAACGTGCATTGGCGTCTCTTGTCCATTGCGTAAATCGCGTATACCCCAGCAGCTCGTGTCCGGGATCAATTTATCCCCGATTCTGAGCCAGTTCTGCAACCGACTCAAAACGTACTTGTTGTTTCAGAGAGCCTACTTTCAATGTGTGATCATCAATGCGCGTACGTGATAACAAATGTTCTTACGTAGACGTGAATGTGTTCGCGGTGTCTTTTGGAGTTTGATGAGCGTGTGTAGTAGTAGTAATCGTAGTCGGTGACCGAGCGGTCTTTGTCTCTGGTTAAAGTGAGGGTTCGTGTCTGGATGAGTTTGGGTCGGTGCTTGAGGCAGGGTTTGACACGGGATTGAGCCAGGGTTTTGGTTCATGAGCGTGTCCATGGTTTAGGCGTGGAGTTTGGGGTCTGATTGAAGGTGTGGTAATACGGTTTGAGTTCGTGGTTGCGATCAGGGTTATGATTGTGTCAGGG